ATTCCCTCTCTACTCTTTTAGATTCCCACTCGCCTGATTCTGCTGCTACAATAAAGCTCCCAGAAAAGGTAAATACCAGTTTGAAAAAAAACAAAAAAACTCCACATGGGCCTCTTGTACAGACCTGCTTCTCTGAAAGGTATTCTTGTTTTATAGCCAGGCTGAAAGACACACTGAAAATTGATCCGCGCAGCTGCTTTCCTGCACTCAGTGACAAGTTTTTTTTCTCTTTTTGTTGATATGAAAAATAATCCACTCTACGTGTATGTTCTTTACATAATTGAACCTCCGGGCAGCGTCTGCCGCCCAAAATCTAATCCTCATGAATCTTGAATGATTTCCAGTAAGCTCTTCCTCACATTTAAACGACTCCCATGACGAACTCCAAGGACCATGTGAATCTAACACTGGTTAATGCTTTCAAGGCCGATGTGGGCGTTGCATAAGTAGTAAACGTCTCTCCTCGTGCACCGTGAGTCCACTCGTCTTTTTACTGTGATGTCTTTATAAAGCTGGACTCAGAGACTAAACAGTAAACGCTGCCGCTGCTGCAGGCGACAGAGAACGATGCACCTGTGTGAAGGTGGTGGGTCACATGTGACGGAGGGTGGGCGGAGTAGTTGGGGGAGCGTGGGGGGTGTAGAAGAATCTGTGCTCTGGAGGAGATCAGAGTGATTTTGTTTCTGTTCTTCCAACCATCAGTCTTAGTGATTTGTTTCAAGTTAGCAGATGAAAGTTTTGGGGAGAAGAAGGGCGGGGCCTCACTGTTTGCTTTGTAGCTGCCTTTTGTGTCGGTGACACCTGGGGGCGCTACAATTGAGCAGCGGCTTATGTCGACCACGCACCAGTTTGATGTTCTTTATTTCTTCAAAGAAGCTGCGCTTCAGTCGCTGGGTTCTTATATATTTATTTTGAATATATAAAAGTACTTAAACTATATATAAAGTATATATTCTTTCTATCAAATGTATTCTACATTAAATCCCTTTTAAACTCTTTGGCAGAGCAGATTTGGCCCACAGGCCCTGCTTTGGGCAGCCCTGGCTTAAAGTCCTTAAGAGCTAGAGATAATTGAAGGCTTTATTAAAGAACCCTCTTCAGTGCACATCTACAATCTGGAGTTTGTTATTAGTAAATATCTCGTTGATATTGAATCCAGACACTAAAACATCAGGTCCTCTTTGTAGGAAATTACAGCCATGCCTCTCCACCGCTAAATGAGTATCTCCTGCTCTGTGGTTTCAAAGATCTGTCACGATGGCTTTGAGGAGGCTGACGAGTATCTTGCGGCTATATCAAATGGCCGACAACTTCTTCCTCAAACTGGAAATTACAAAATGAGAGTGGAACATTCTGCTTTTGCTGGAGAGGATTTGTAATTTACTGTAATGGCTGACACATGTACCCACCATCAGCAGGCCTCTGGCTATGGAAATCTCACAGGAATCACACGGGGGGGCAGTGGCAGCAGCAGCAGCAGCAGCAGCGGCAGCAGCAGCAGCAGCAGCAGCAGCCAGGGGAGCCTACCTGACTGTTGGCATCAGATTGTGTGAGCACCAATATTACATAGATGCTTACAGATGCCTGTAATAATTAACACGTTTTCAGTGACTGCTCTCTTGGCTGTGGAATCATTAACAGGCTTTGGCCAAATTGGCAGTAAAGAAATGACGCCAGCGTCTGTGCTTGGAATTACAATCATGCTGGCAATATTGTAATCTCTGCTAAGAGAAAAACAGCGGATAAACACAAGAAAGTAAAAGCAAATGAACAAAACAGCAGGCAAGTACTCTGGCAACAACTGTAGTCAAATGTTGGAGGGAATTGGTTTGAAGTATCTGTACTTCATTAAGGAAAGCAGTACCCTCCTGACCAAGGGCGTCCAAACTTTTTTTGAAGCAGGGCCGGTTTTGATAATCTTGAAAAAGCCCCCAGGCCGGCGGCGACTTCAGACAAATGTATTTGATGCACGACAAATACTTTTGTTTGATTGGTAATTTAATTAAACACAATCTTTAAGGGTTTCCTGTAGATTTTAGGTCAGATATCGCAGCTAACACTAATCCAGCAGATTATACTGTAAATTAATTTGTGCCTCACTAGTCCTTCGAGGCTAACATGTGGTTGTCAATGCTAAGAGCCAAAAATCCAGGACAGAAAATGTCGTCCTTTGTCTATAAAGAGCCAAAAATCCAGGACAGAAAATGCTAACTATGCTAGTTAACTCGTCCTTTGTCTATTATTAGCTAAAAGTCAAATAGCTGAAATTAATGAAGGATGAACCAATGCTAACTCATATATAAATAATATATAAATTGTATGAATTTACTTTTTCTCTCTCTGAGAATAAAGTCTATAATCTGGGAAAACCAACAGAAAACAGTGTCACAATTTCCTTTTCTTTAGTGAAAGCAAAACAAAAGTGAATCTCAGGTTTGGAGACAAGAGCCAGGATACCTGTCAGGTTTGGGTCAGGCTCGATTGTTACTCTGTCGGATCAAGTTTTGACAGAAGAATGTGACCTAAGTCTGACTTTAACGTTCTCACAGAGAGTTTTCTTTGTATACTTCCGCGCAAGCATCTGATTAGAGAGACGTAGACATACCAACACATCAACGGGACATTTTTACCCAAAACCTCAGACATAAAGAGACAATTCACAACTTCCATATTGTATTTGTTTTCTCTACACCACTGCCCCCCCTCCCCTTTAGTTTCTATGAGGGTACTGTTTGTATTTTGGGGGTTCAGATCTGTCAGTCTAACTGTAAGTGTGCGATGAAAGCGGAGCTGGGATCCTGTGACCTCCTTTTGTCAGAATGGTCTGTGAACCAGTCGACAGTCATTTCCAAAGCTGTGAATTCCTCAGTGCCAGGCTGGCCTCTCTGTGACAGGATTTACAATGGCTGTTTGTGCTTCAAAACATGTTATTATTCTATATTTGCCTGGGTCATGTCAGCCTCCACGCAGACCTTTGTTACAGACTTTTTTGGGGTATTTTTTCACATCTCTCCCAACGCTAACGCCTTGAAGTCATTTATTTCTCACCGGGAAAGATTTAACACTAATTATCTCCAGATAATTACTACAGATATTAGCAAATATAAGGCTCGAGGCCTTGATGCTGCCAGAAGTCTCCAGAAGGTTCTGCAGATGATGCAGCACAAAATCACAATTTGTCTGCATTCGTTTTCTCAGTAATTACTTCCTGCAATTAAGAATCGAGGACACGGAGACGTTTCATCTCTAATCCAGTTCTAGACCATATCGCCCTCGGCCCTAGGTGTACGGTCCTCATCAGTGTCCTGGAAAAGACTGACAGACTGTCAGACGACTTCATTCCTTCCATTCCATTCCTTTTTTACTGGCGTATATTGCTCAGGTCGAGAACCTTCATCTATCAGACTCTGAAGGATATCTCAGTCACAATAATACTGACTGACAAGGTCACATGGTGTTAAAGGTGAGGGAGAGGTAGATGATTCTGTCCCTCTCTGGACAGAATCATAATCCAGTCTATGGATCAGAACCCAGTCAGTAATCTGGAGTCCCAGATGTAAGGCCACAGTACAGCTATAGTCAAGGGTTGGGGGTTGGATCTACCAGCACATCACAGGTTCTCAGTTTGTCTGCTGTGACACAAAGTACCCACATCAACAGAGCAGATCCTGGGGAGGAAGATCACTGACTACGACTGCAGGTGTGAAAGTCTGTCAACCAGCCTGAACGGCTCAGCACTGCATGAAATCGTGTTACCGTCTGAGGGTGAATCAAATATGGAGAGTTCAAGTAGGGTTAGATGTTCAAAGACAAAGTCTGTAGAAAACTAGAAGAATGTGACTTTAATGACCTCACACTAAAAAAGTTACACATGAAAAATACTGTGATTATGTGAGTCAATACGTTTTTGTCTTTGTCCTAAAAGACAGGGAGAGACAAGTCAAAGATGAATGGAAGATGTTTGGAGTGGAACGGTGGATTGGGTCAAATCCCTATGGTTAGGATGGAGTAGGTGGAGTGATGTAGGACAGGAGAGGTGGAGAGGAGCGGGAATGAAGATGACTACGCATTAGCAGAGATGAAGAAACTCAGATACTGAGTTCAGACTTAGGCAATGACGTCACAGATTCATTTGTGAAACTGGCTACGTGGGACTCAAACCTGAGTCAAACCCTTATCCTCAGACTTGGACTCTGACTCTAAAACCCTGGGGACCAGACTGGATGGTTTCTTCTACGGGTAATCGTCTAAATAACAAAAAATGGGAAGTAAACGTGACTGAATTCAACTTTTCTTTGGTGACTTCTGGGCCAGACTGGAACAAAAACACTTGGATGGGACGGGATATTTGACATATAAGACTGAGGACATTGAAGCTAGTGCTGCCAAGAAGAAAAGATCTTGAGAAGATAAATGTAGAGTTAAAAAAAAACAAAAATGGGCAGATGAGACAAACTGAGTAAATGTGAGAGAAAAGGATAAAAGTAAATTTCTGGCAACACTGACAAGAAATACCTCAGTTCAGAGTCAATTTTATATGTTATTGTCCAAAAACCTTAAGTTTCATATAGAACATTTTAGCAGAGAATACAATAAGTAACACGAGCGAGTTCTGTTTTTGCTAAACTAAATTTCAGAAGAAGGAAACGATCGTAAGTCTTAGTGATTTTATTCCCTGGATTCTCGTTCATGCTGAGACAAAGATATGAATGACTCTGCCAATATTCACCTCTGTCTGAGGTGTACAACGCCCCGAGCCTCCAGATGTGTGTGTGTGTGTGTGTGTTACATGTGCATGTGTGCGTATCCATTCAGACGGCCGCCCTTGGTGTGTGAGTCAGGTTCAAAGTCTAAACCCCTCCATCTGAGAAACTCAATACCTGCTCCAGCTTTACAGAACCGGGGGAACATCCCTGTGTTGATCCTTCCTGTTCAGCCCCCAAGGTGACACAGTCAGCCTCAGATACTGTATTTATGGGATGGAGGCAGGGCAGCCCCCACCCCCTGCTGCAGGCCTATTGTTGAAGGTTTGTGTCAGGAGTCTTGTCACCGTGCTGGCGTTGGATCAGGGTTGAGTCTCAGGGTGCAGAGGGAGACAACCTCAGGGCTCCTGTTGTCCACGGGGCGGACGCAGACATCTATCATATGGGTTCAAAGGGACAAGAGGATTTTCCTTTTGTGGAGTCAGTTTACATTCTGTTAAACACTCATGTGCCTGCAGCTCAACACAAAGTGCTCTACGTTTTATTGTCATAAAAAGTTCTCATGTGTGAAAACTTTAGGGCCAAAAGATTTGTTTTGTTAAAGACAATACTGCGTTATGGAGCTTCCTTTTCTCCCCTGCGGATGGTGCTATAAATGCAGCTTTAATGTCCATATGTGCAGAGAAAACTTTAATCCTGTAATTTTCTCATGTCTTAGTAATAATTTTCCCAGTGTGGGATCAATGAAGTTCAGTCTTAACTTTAACTTTAACTTTAACGATTTTGGTTTCAGGACTAGTGAAAGTTTTAAATCGAACCCTGAACAGCCAATTTCATCACTTTAAGCCTGTGTTTTCATCTGTCACGATTATTTGTAGAGAAATAGCTTCATTATAATCATAAAGCCAGACGCCATGTTTACTCTTGTTTATGCTATAGTTCAGAGAGGAAGGGTGGAGACTTGTTAAAAAAAAGAGGGGCGTTGGAGAAGCTCAGGGGAAACCTCGAATGAGAGATGAGTGAAGCTCAGGATGCACACACACACTCACACACACACATATACACAAACACACACAGCAGGCTCTGTGAGAACAGCCCAGACAGGGTGAATGACACTTGTCCCTCAGACTGTTCAGTCAAAAAGATAAAGCCACTCTCTTCTCTTCTCTTCTCTTCTCCTCCACCCACGATACACCTACTGTGTCACATCGCTGCTGGGGGAGAACATTTAAATGTGATGCCTCACTTGTGAGCAACAGGTTCCGCACAACAGCATCATCTCTGATGTAGACCGAAGGAGAAGCATGCTGTCACCGCTTCGGAGCTTTGGCATCGAGCAGGAGAACGACTCATGGGATGTAGTGGATGCAGAGTCAGGCTCAACTCTGGGAAAGCGCTCTCCAAAGTCTCCGTGTTCTTTACCATGGTCCTGATCTTCACCTACTTCTTCTACTGCCTCACCGCGTTCTGTGACTCGGCTCCCAGGACTATTTACAGCCAGCGCTCTTCAGACAGAGACTATGACACTTTGGACGATCACAGACGCGTGTTGGACGAGCTGCGGTCTTCGCCGCCGCCGCGTCCCCTCCTGGACGCACCACCTCCAGGGAACCGCACAGACTTCGCGGGCGCGGAGCACATGGACGCGCCCGGTCAGTTCCCACAGCAGACACCGGACGCTGCCATTGAGCAAGAGAGCGCGCAGAACAACGGCATCCCCGTGTCCAACACTTTCGGAACCAAGCGGTTCCCGCAGGCGATTATAATCGGCGTGAAGAAAGGAGGAACCCGCGCGCTGCTGGAGTTCCTGCGCATCCACCCGGACGTGAGGGCTGTCGGTGCCGAGCCGCACTTTTTCGACAGGTTTTATGACAAAGGGCTGGAGTGGTACAGGTGGGTCCCGGCACGGGCAGTGCGCCTTTTACGCACAGCATGAGTGAGTTTATTTACAATAAGTTCTAAGAATATCTGCAGTGACAGTGAAAAGAGCCTTTGGTGACAGAAGGCACCGAGAAGTCTTTCCAGAATCACTCTCAGCCTGTTCCTCCATCAGGGTCACCACAGTGATGTGGCACAGGGTCAACTCTCAGTTCTTTTCCTGGCCAGGATTAGTGACTAGGTGGAATCAAACCACAAACCATCTGTATGTCATACAGGAATCCTTCCACTGTTCCACTGTGGCTTCAACAAGTCTTAACACAATTTCTAAATTACAAAAAAGAACTAATACAATTAATTAAACCTAAATAAGTTGAATTTTTCTTTTTTTTTTAACTTAGCTCTGAGCTATCATTTTCTTAAGACCACGGCCCATTTGGGTCACATAGATGTAACACTTTATATACCTTATAGGTGTAGGTTAGTAGCTATATACTGTAAATATTCATAGACAGAAACATCAGGAAATGTAAACACAAATATGACAAATCCTGAACTTTTTGCTGTCTACATGTGATCAGATCTGTGTGAATTGACTGGGACTCCAAGTCCTAGGCTTTATCTCATGCAACGTCAAACTAAAAAATGTCACTTAAAAAACACATATAGAATCTCAAAATTCCCATAAGTGACTTTATGTTGGTTCCTATTTCTGCTAGAACCCATCTCAAAGTCTGGACCTGGTTTGAGTACAGAATTTTGACCTCCCCCGGTGTCTGGATATGATGAACGACCTGCGGTTCAAGTACCAGAGTAGCTCAGAGACACAATGACATTCAGATGAAACACAAGTCAGGACTTCCTGATTCAGTAACAAATCACATATGCCTTAAACGTTTTTTTTTCTGTCCGAAGAACAAAAAGTTCTACCTGTTAAAACAGTCATTAATATTTAACACCAACTGCTTCTCATTTAAAATTCATTAATGAAAGACGCAGGCATGAAAACGAGATGCAAATGTACGACAGGTTTTCAAGCTGTGAATGACGTGTCAGGGAGCTGCAGGATGATGAATGGCTTAGACAGCAGGGTCAGCTGATCATCAGTGTCCCCGCTGACTCCCATTCACCTGTGTACCAGCTCTGACGCCTCCTGCCAATAGAACGTCTGACCGCGGCTGACTACAGACAGTGATGATATATTCAGATCAGGCACAGCCAATATTTTCCCTGATGATCAAAATGCGGCTGGGGTCCCTGTAGAGCGGTTTATCATACTGAGCGTCATCCAAACCTCATTTATTCACCTTTGAATGACATTTCATATTGACGTTCTCACCTTGTTCTGAAAACTGCCCAGGAATCCAGACAAACGTCAAATCACATTCAGGTACTACACGAACTCACGCTGCTCAGGGCTAACTCAAAAGAGCCTCAGTTGCTGGTCACAAATTTTACATTTCTATAAAAGGAGGCAGATGAAATGCTCAACGGCTACTGTCACAGCTGATTTGGGGTGACCAGCCTGACCAGAGCTATCATTTGTGTGTAGTTAAGGCCTTGAGGAGGGATTTGGGTTCTGTATGAAGATGATCATCTCCAGATGCGTTGGAAGAGAGGCTCCGAGCTCAGCACGAGCTCATCGACGCCGTCAGAAGAATACTCTTTTTAGACATGTGAGTTTGGCAGTTGGAAGGTGTCATAAAAAGAGAAAGAGAGAGAGAGAGAGAGAGCGATGTCTGACAGGATGGAAACCGCTGATTAACAGCGACTTTGACAGCAGATTGTACATGAAATCCAATCTTCCTCTGACTTCCACCTCCCGACATTTTTAGATCTATTTTAAGTGAGAACACAGAAACACATGGTAACACTTCCAACCTAGATCATTTCAGATGGCTGCTGAGCTTCTTCTCTTTATTCACTTAATCACATACACATGCAGGTTAGCGCTCAGCTCAAATATATATACACGACACGTTCTTCACTGCTCTCTCCAACACATCATTTTCACCTTGTTAGAACACTTTCCTTCTGGCTTCTCTTTTAACTAGGCCTCGTAGTGCTGTTCATGTAAACAGTGAATCAATGAATATTTATTAGATTGAAGAAGTTTTGAGTTAAGTTTAGAATTGGGGTCAGGTTGGGGAAAGGTTAAAGGTCAGAATTTATCTTAACCTTGATGTGTCGCCTCTATTGCTCGCCCTATTGTTTTTTTGCTAAACGGTTACAACACCCCTCAGCCCCTGCCAGCAGATGGCACCACTGATGACTGCCTACAGTCAATGTTGTTCCCAGAGACATATTGTTTTTAGATCAGAATGTCTGACAAGTTATTGTTCTTTGTGATAATTCCAAATCCACATTTGATCTTTTCGTCTGGGAAACAAGTACAAACTGTGAGAGTTACGGATCAGAGTTGTTTCATGTCAGTTCATTAGATGAAACCAGACGTGTTCTGCTCTGTTTGTTACAGATGATTCACAGACATGCAAATGCATTGTTCTAACTGCATTGTCATCCACTAGACATTTCCTTCAAATATGTTTTCTATTTATTTTTATGCCAACGATCCAGTCAGTCTCGCCTTTTTTCCCCTCCACCCATGTGCCTCTGTCCTTGTCTGAATGTGTGAAAACAGGCCCAACAGAGGAATGGAAAACCCACAAATAGTACGTTGAAAATTTAGCAGAGCTTTAATGATTGTCTGTGTTGTTTCATGGTTTTGGTAAAAAATTGTGGAGTGAAGGGTTTCACACGAATCTCCAGAGCCACAACTGAAGAGTTTTTCCATGACACAATGGTCGTGATTGTCGCAGCTATGTCACCATGAAGGTGGTGGCCCGGGGCTGAGTGATGTGTAAATGAAGTCTGTTTTTTATTTGTGTCTCGTATCTTGAATTCATTACCATAAACAAATCGGGTTTTGATGTCGCGTAACAGAACAAACAGTGGTTGTTTCACAGCGAAGGAGGGAAGTTTTCACACAGATGAACGACATCCTCGGAAAACAATGAACAACTCTAATGTATGAGAAGAAGGTCTTTGAATTCAGACTCCAGGTCTCATCAATATTTTTCAAAAGCTGATCAATTGTTTGACTAACAGTCATGTCAACATCGACCATACTGAATGGATTTATATGAAAGAAAGAGCAAGGCAAGGTCAGCACTGTCTGAACATGACAGTTTATATATCATTCATATAACACAGATATGTAAATCAGACCTCAGTGTAATGATCCATTTTTAAATATAAAGATATGAAATTATTTCTACTGTTACGCAACCAGTTGTAAAATATCACAACAATTATTGACTTCTACCACTGCAGATATTTATACTTCATATTATTGATCATCATCATTTATCAAATTGAATTGATCATGCAGTCGTCTGATTGAAAAATGGCAAATGGCAAAACACCGATTCATTCTTCTACAGATTCATTTTCACACTGAAAATGTTTTTGAGCTTTGTGATATACTTGAGACTTTCAGTGAAGTACGTCTGATCTCAGTCTGTGTAGCTGTTGTTGAACTGCTTCAACAGGTTCTAAAAGCTCCACTCAGACCTCTTTGTTTAAGAACAACATATACAGATGAAAACAATCTCTCTCCACCCTCTCCATTTGGTAAGTTACGTAACTGCCGGGCATTTCAGTTTATGTTCATTGTGTTGTTAAAAAAGACAGAGGATAAATATATGCTGGGAGGCAGGTTTTGTACAATGTGTAACAGCCGACAACAGTGTTAGATGTGCTGGGGATGGACTTTACTCCTGTGTAACACAGAAAAGAAATTAACTGATGACTCTAACACTCTCCAAGGTAAGGGTTGTTTTTCCGTGTCCACGCTTGAGCCCATTGATGGTGGAGGAGGAAGTCGATCGCTGTAACAGATGGGAATGGTCTTTGTAGTGTTTTAATGGTAGAGGTTTTTTGGCTAACATGGTATGGGCTAAGTGTTGCGAACGCTCAAACTCACACCCATATGGTGAAGATTACAATAATTAAAGGCCCATTGTGGCCCATTTGGAGGCACCTGTAAAATATGTAGGAGCCTTTAGTGGTGGTAGCTGTGTGACGCAGTTGGCTCTGAGGAAAATGACGTGTAAAGATATAGTGGTGAATGGTAAAGTATTTAAAATGCCTGACAGCCGCTAATTTTCAGTAGTATTTTTTTTCACATATTTAATGATGAAATATTATTGGTTCAAAACAATCATTTTTAGTCAGATAAGTGCAAAAACAAATCAATGTGACCCTGTGATAAATATGAGGGCACAATCAGTGGATTTTATATTTCAGGTTAATTTCTTACATGTGCGTCACAGCTGTCACACCCACCCACCAACATGAAACTCCTGCCTTTGCTCCATTACCGCTTCCTAATTCTTAAGGTTTTTTTTTAAAGAAGCTGATAACTACACAGCCTTATTAAAAACCTGTGTGTGGCAACAGCCCTGCTGTCGTCATGTGGTTTCCATCCACTTCCTCTCAGGAGGAGAGAGATGATGGGAACGTCTGCATCAGTCCTGGAAATTGACCTCAGGGCTGATGCTGCTGTGACACGCTGCAGCAGGTACTGGATATTTATTTTGTCTTTGAACACAAGGCCTACAGTATGTACGGTTTTCTAGTTTAATTGGCTGTTGTGAAATAATGTTTACAACTTCCTCATCCAGGCTGACACCTGTCCTCGGGCCATGTTTGGTTGTATTATTGTGTTTCATTTAGCTTTTGACAGCGTTTTCTCAAGTTTCCGCTCAGACAAAGAGGCGGTAGACAGCATGGCAGCGCTCGCTGCATCTGTTGGACAGACAATGACGACCCCCCGGTCTGTTTAGGTCATGGTTACTGTCACAGTGGCATTACGATCAGTTGTTACAGTGAACTTCAGGCGAGGCTAAACCGAGAGCTAAGTTCTGACATCATAGCCAGGATGTCTTGCAGCCATCTTGGCAATACTGCAAACAAGCTCTGTTGTCGTAACCTTAGCTGCATGATATATATTGTCAGTTTATGTGGGTTTTGTTTGGTTATGTTATACTTTATAAAGGTTTGGGTGTTGAACAGTCTCTGCAGCACCAGTTATCACACAAGAACATTCCAACACTCAGACGTCAAAGGGGCCGTGATGTCATTTTACCTAAATGTAATGGCACTACTCATTAGTTACTGGTAATAGTAATAATAATAATCAACATTTTTAAATCAGCTCATTTAAGTGAACTGATTCAACAGTAAACCCACATGGTCTACGGTCTGAATCCAGACACAGACTCATAAATGATGTTGAGGACATTCTGGGGTTCAACTTGTCAGCCTGTTGTCCATGTATGACCCGCAGGCTTCTTCCTAACACTGCTGGGAAATATTTTTTATTGCAGTTTGTTGTTTACTTCCCATTTTACAGCCATTACTTTCCTCCACATACGTTATTGGATCTCAGCTCATAAACCTTTATGAACATGGTGTTTGTATGTGAAAGTCCACTCTTAAAGTTAACCCAAAATATTTCATGTTAGCAGTGTATCTTTGTTTTCATCAGGGACAAATTACACATAATCTGACTCGGGGGGAGAACGGGGGAGGGGGGGGGGGGGGCATTTATGTTCTGTGCACAGTGCTGTTTTACAGAGGATGTAGCTACAGCACTCCAGCAGGAGAAGTCATAACCTCAGAGGGGGGGCAGGAAGTCTCTTGGCCACATCCTTGTTGCCAGCATTAGCATTTAATCTTATGATCCAGACGTTCTACAAAGTATCAGTGGGCTAATCGCTACTATAACACGTCTGGGAGGAAACGCACTGGACTGTTGTGGCAGCAGGGAGTTCCAGACTGTTGTTCCTCGTCAGCACGTATCGTCCTGGAAGAATATTCCAGCTCATTCTGCTTATTTCTGGATTTTCATATTATAAACAGCTTTGTCCGAAGGCCACGTATGTATAAGCAGAAGTATAGATTTACACGTATGTAAAATTGATCGGGGAGATTAATCATCTCTGACCTGTGTGCAGATCCTTGACACCACCAAGGAGCAGATTTATGATCAAAAATTACTGTTATTGATCCTCCAATCATGAGACTGATTGTGTTGAGGGAAACAGGGATTGGAGGAGAGTGAGGTGAAAGCCACCGTTCATGAACTATTCATGAGGAGAGACAGACAACTTCTGGTCAATTACACATCAGTGACACTTGTCTAAAAGACTGAAGGACAAATCAAAGTCTTTGGATGAGAGAGGAGAGGGCAGACGAAGGGAGAGGGTTGTGTATGTGGTCTGTGCACACACACACACACACAAACACACACTGACAATCAGTCATATAGAGACAGACATATTGATCAGACCAAGATAAACCGGACAGACAGACAGACTAGAAGAGGCCATTTACAGCAGCCTTAGTGAGAATCAATTAATGGAGGTGGATTTGAATTACCAACATTTAAATAAGGTTGTCCCTGTCAGTTCTTTTACTTTTAGGTCAATTTAATTTTGCACAAGAACACAATGAGACATATGTCATTTTTTGTATTGATAATAATAAATTAGTGCTGATTTAGAGAGCAACTAAAGAGCAAATGTCATTTTTTGTATTGCAACAAACTTAACTCCAAGTTTATTCATTAAGTGCAAAAATCACAAAACTCCCTGGGTCGCAGGAAGACAAGACATGAACATCACAAAACACTGACCCCTAATGTGAGGGAGGTCTATATACCAGGGCACCAGGTGAAACTAATGACAAAGAACCTCACAGTCTGACCACAGCTTCAGTTTTCTTTCAGTCAGTGAAAACATTTCCTCCAAACCTTCATCTCTCCGTCAGTTCTCACAGTCGACAATTGTTGTTTGTTCACATAAAAACCATAAAAGCTTCTGTTTCGTATTTCCTCCTGTTTCAAATGAACTACAGAGAATCAAACCAACTGCACTCAGCAAAACGTTTGTTCTTCAACTGACTGCTTTTGAAAGAAATTAATTTCTGCTGCCATTTCTGCTGTCATAATTTAAACCAGTAAAGGAGGCAGAAAACAATGGGTCCATTTGACTCAGTGTATTGGATCAATCACTGAGACTAGAAACTACAATCACTAACAGACATATGTTAGTTTGTCATTGTCATGTCATTCGCAAATGTCCTCATCTTTATTCTAAAAAGAGAATCCACATTTTTAAAACCAAAACTTTTGTATGTATAATTATTTTATATCTTTCAGTTTAATTTTTGCTATATTTCACATTATAGCAACATTTTCGCAATAAATTTTATCTATACCAAAAAGTTTGCCAGATTGGATTTTTTAAAAAAAAGTGAAAGAAGAACGGCGATGCAGAGAGGGAACAGTGTACATACTCTGTCATCTGAAAGGCCACTCGTCTGTCAAGCCGCGACCTTATGCAAAAATCCGATCTGTGAAGCACACAGACTACTATTATTCAACTAAAAGCCACATGAAAGCTCTGTTTCCAGTAATATATAGAAGATGTGACGAGTAAATGAACAACACAAACTGCAAACAAACACCAGCCTATCTCAGCAGCTCGCCACCTTTTGCTCATGCTTCCTGACAAATTTGGACTTTGAGGTCCTTGCAGGAGCCCAGGGGGAGGCAGTGGGAGGGCAGGGAGGGGGGCAGGGGGGGTCTGCTCTTGCAGGAAGAATGATGGTTGGAAATCTGTAGGAAATTGCTGCTAAGTGGGTCTTGAGGCTTTGTGGTTTTTGACTCATCGGCACATGGTGAGTGGATGGTTCTGTTGTCCAGACCTAACAGTGTGTCAGACTAAAAAAGGTTCTGTTGGAGGCCTTTGGAGGTAAACACAGAGAAGTGATTGGAGCTTTAATCACACAGACTCGGAGGTGCTTTCATCTCCTGTGTGCAGTATGTAATGTAATTACAATGTCATTTAATCACGGGTCCACTGAAGTCAGAGTGTGATTTAAGGGGCGAGCAGCGCTTGATGGTTTCAGCTTCTGTATTGGAAAGTGGCCTGCGGTTGAAATCCGAGGTTGTATTTGACTAATTTGGGATCTTACAGCTCAGTGCATTTTAGACAAGTCAGATGATGGATGACAAAGGAAGTGGTAAATTAAAACACCTATACTCACTGCTTGGCCGTGTGTTATAAAATACCTACTGTATCTTTTAGCAACTTTAAGAATTCTGAAATATCGCTGTCTTTTCATCTAGGAACCTGATGCCGCGGACGCTGGACGGCCAGATTACCATGGAGAAAACCCCCAGCTACTTTGTGACAAAAGAGGCTCCCAGTCGTGTCTGCACTATGAACTGTCAGACCAAACTTATTGTGGTGGTCAGGGATCCTGTGACACGGGCGGTGTCTGACTACACCCAGACCCTGTCCAAAAACCCCGGGCTTCCATCCTTCCAGAGCCTGGCCCTGAAGAACTCCTCCACAGGTCTGATTGACACCACGTGGAGCGCTGTTCGCATTGGTCTGTATGCCAAACATCTGGAGAACTGGCTCCAGTATTTCCCCTTGTCTCACTTCCTGTTTGTTAGCGGTGAGCGCCTAGTTACTGATCCGGCAGGTGAGATGGGCCGGGTTCAGGACTTCCTGGGTCTGAAGAGAGTTGTTTCAGACAAACACTTCTACTTCAACCAGACCAAGGGCTTTCCATGCTTGAAGAAGCCTGAGGGCAGCAGCAAACCTCGCTGCCTGGGGAAGTCTAAGGGCAGACCCCATCCCCAGATCCCCTCCGAGGTTCTTCAGAGACTCAGAGACTTCTACAGACCCTTCAACCAATATTTCTACCAGATAAGTGGACAAGACTTTGGCTGGGATTAACGGAGGAGGGTCATGTGATGGCACAAAGAGGGAGCTCTGAATTGTTAATGTGTTTTTAATGGGAAATGACTTTAAAGCTAAACTGAGCTTATATTCTCAGGGACGGGAGGCAAAAACCAAGTCCACAAACTGTGACACTTTCTGGACTGTTCTGCCTCAGAGGAATCAACATGACATGCAGCACTGATCAGGTGTCACAGCTTTGTCCTCAAACAGACGCTGACGTTTGTGAAGTGCTGTTAATATGCAAGTTACACGACTAGTTAATGACTTAGTTATCAAAGCATTAAACCACTCCTGCTCATATGTTAATATTAAAATAAAGAAACCTGTACAAGAGACCAAAGAACCAACGTTAAATAGCTTTTTTTTTAAATATTCTTTGTTTGTTTTCCTGATAAAATAAAATAAGCTGATATTTATGATAACTGTCGATGTGAAATTCAACGGTTGCAACTTTTTTATGATTAAAAATGTATTTATTAAAACAGCAAGGCATCACAGGAACACTGCTGATGTGTGAAATGACTGGACACTTGAAAGAAGATGTCAAACTTCACAGTAAACTTCGATGTTGCTGAACTTGGAATTGTCTTTGTTGAAAAATAAATCATATTTTATTGTATATACTCTCTCTCTCTCTCTCTCTGTATTCTACAGCTCTTTTCCCAGTGATACCTCACCTGTAAATATTACATGTGCAACAAAGACCAGAGAATACATTCCATCTGTAGGTACTGTATTTGTTTGACCTGTCCTGGACAGCACAGACTGTATCTGCTGCTCACTTTTAATGAACTTCACATTTTTGATGTGTGATTGTTCTTCAGTCATTATTCATGCTATATATAAAGTATTCAAACCACAATGTTGACTCTCTGATTCCCTGCAGATCTGTTTGATTTCGTGTAACATGAACATTATTTTCATCTGGAAGGCGTCCAACTATTCTTACCCCTTTTTCTGTGGGGAGTTTGTGCGACAAATCCTTTCACTGAGCATCAATAGTCTCCTGGTTCAGTGCCAGCTCAAGTAAAGAAAAGATAAGATCCACTCATTCATACCATATGAGAGAAAAACACGAACAACTCATTCATTTCCTTCCACTTCATCATTTTCTGGAAAAGAAATATGCCGAAGATTCTTGTGGTATTTCACTGATCGTATGAATGACTGCCGTCCACGTTTTATATACAGTCCATGTAGGCAGCCAAGTTTAGATGAAAAACATTTTGAAATTCGTCCAACTAATGGCCTAAAGCCCCGGGTGTGTTTTCAACTGAGGCAAACACAACATGAAGTAAACACACCCTACAACAGACCTTATTAAAGCAGCATTGTTCATTACTTCCTCTGTTTGACATCATCTAACTGACGTCATGATCGATTGAAGAAAACCTGGAACTAGTGATGGATCAGACGCATAAATGCTGACGTCATCAATTAAGTGAAAAAAAATTCCATAGATCTATTATTCAGATGGAGATGAGTCCAAAACCACCTAAACAAATATATTGTCCTAAAATGGTCCCCACAGCTATAGTTAAACCAGGAGAACACACACACTGACAACCTCGGCTCTCTACATACATCTTGCCCTTTTTTTATTTCCGTCAATATTTAGGTCATATCCCAACTCATTTTTATATGTCTGGCATTAATTCTTTGTGGGCCTCAGTCAAACTTAAACAAGCCTGCACCACTGAACCTGTGCCAACTTTTATTGCTGCATATTACCAGGCTGGCTGTGGCAGCCAGGCAGCTGGCAAAGATGTTATCGTCAGCCTTCACAGGACCGTTCCATTAATTACATTTCATTGAATCAGCAGAGCTTCAGCCTCATTGTACCACTCTGACTAAACACTGGTTAATAAGGTTAAAAAAGTGCTGTTGCTGTGGAACAGGAGCCTCTATTACACATTTTGTCGACCCTGACTACATTCAACTCTGTGATCTATGCAAACAAGTCTGACATCGTTGCCCGTATACAGTTCGAGTCGATGCAGAGCCAGACTCCGCCCTGTGGTGGATAGTGGATCTGTAGACACCGCCAGTGTTTCATCTTGTTTCATGACTCTGTCGTCAGGAGTTAAAAGGTGTGAAGCCATTCACAAAATCCATGGTCTGGTTTAGTTCAGTCGCAGTCACAGGACTTGAATACTCACGGGTTGTAAAACCAATTTTCATTCATCCAAAAAAAATTTACCACAAAAACAAAAACAAATAATATATTTTCCCAAGTAATCGTTCAAACAATTTAATAGATTTTTATCATTACTGTTTGCTTGGTGACCCCACAAATTCATCACATTTTATAACTCACTTTTTTATCCATGGGCACATAGGCATGTAGACTAATAAAGCCAGGGCTCGAACTTCCTAACATCCTATATTTTAAGGGGACTTTTTGTTAATTAATCAACAATTGAATGGACCCTTTAATCCACAAGGGTGGAAGGGGGGCAGAGAGTTACAGGAAATAAATAAAAAAAATAACTTCCTTAACCCTCGATTCGTCCGTTCTCCAGGAGAGAGCGATTTGTTTAGCCTGGGCTGGCATGGATCTCCGAGGGAACTTTATCCCACACTTTAATACATGCCATCAATTCCTGCCATTGTGGATTTGTTTTTGTATGAATGGAAATTGCCCAATGTGGATTGAGTTAACCGGCCACTGTGACTGTGACGAGGCGTGATGAGGGATGTGTGCTTTGTGTGGTGATTCTTATTTGGAAATAATGGGCACATGTCAGACTAATTGGAAACACCCGGAGGGGAGGGCGAACCGGGCTGAAGGAAGAGGAGGCTGATTTCTACGAGGCAGATAAAACGTAGGATTAAAGCGCAGAAGTGGTTTTCCTTGGAGCAGCCATAAATGAAGATGGTTCATACTGAGGACTCCACACATTTTCCACCCATACCACAGACTCCTTGGATTCAAGGAAGAAATGCTCTGGGAGTTTTTTATGCATTCTGTGGTTTTGGCCCCACAATGTCTTGTTAAATTGTGACTCCGGCTTTAATTGATGAGAAACTAATTTGGGGCTGAGAGATTTTCAGATGATAATGGTAACATGGCAACTTTTGAGGCCTGTCAGACTAAAAACATTTACAGTAGGATTTTCCAGAGACATGCTTTGGCTGCAGTTATAATTTACCGAGTACCAGCTTGTGTTGCTGAGGCTATGATTGGAAAACTTAAAGTACCTTTGTTTGGCTGTGACGCTGATTGAGACGCTGCTTCTGAATAACACTTCCTTTTTACCTACACATTAACATCAAAACATGTCTGGAATAAAACAGTATACCCTGATTCATTTTGGACTTTAAGGCACAAAAACCAAAAATATAAAGAATTTAATTTAATTTAATTGTAACAACAAATACTGCTTATTACCTTGTTTGTGAGGTCTGTCAGTCTCCAACCTCCTGCTTGTGTCTGCTGTGCAATCAGTGTCATCACACTCACCTGTGTCTCATTTGTCTCACTCGTGTCACCTGGTGCCCTCGGTACACACACCTCTCTCCCTCACTCTCTCTTCGTTATTCTGCAGTCATGCTTGGTGTTCTGGATAGTTGTCCATTCTATATTCATGGAAAATAATAAATTAGTTTGTTTTCAAACAACTTCTAACTAACAATTATTCTAATGTCATGAAAAAATACTTTTAACTGTAAATATTGTTTACCTTTCTATGTTATCTTGCACTGGTCTCCCAGAGTTAGTAACTACAGAAACTACATTCTCTATACAGTCACTCTACCAATGATGTTGCACTTGAACTTTGGAATAGTGTTTTTCTGAGTTTGGCAATGAAAAAAAAATCAATTTGTGTACAAATAAAACTTATAAAATAAACATTACGTATTGACTAAAACACATTCATTAATAAACGTCAGCATACATGTGCATCCATTTTCTACACTCACAACTAAACAGGTAGCAGTAGCCGGGCTAAACCTTTAAAAAGACGTATCCGATGTAGCTACTTTTCACGATCATGACTTATTGCAACACAGCTGAGCTTTCCTTCAAGATCCCTGTTCATAACAGACACATGTCCAAGCCTGTGTTCACGTTGACTTATTTCCCCTGTGAAGCTAACAGAGATCTGACCTGATGACCTCTAGAAAGACACATATCACTGCAATAAGCCTTAGTGATGGGCTGATGGCTACTAACAGATGTTTGACCACAGTATCAATAATACAGTGTCACAAGTGGTATGAAGCAGCGGCTGTAAATCAGTGTAGTCCATTGTGATGTGAAAGCCAAGGCCTGGTCATGTGATCATGAAACCCTGGGAATGATGTGATTCCCCTGCATTAGTTCAGTACTTAAAGTTCACAACATTTATTATGTTGTAGGCAAAGCATTCAACAACTGACCCCCTATTATGTTGTAGGCAAAGCATTCAACAGCTGACCCCCTCCCCTCCTTTTTGGCTACTGCTGTCCTATGTTATAAACTCTATATTACAAATGGCCTATAAATACTTATAGACACATATTTTATGGGCAAAACCAACTTTTGGTCTCTGAGAAAGATTGATTATTTTCTTTTCTATGAGCTCTTTTTTTAGCTACATGACTGTTGTTTTTTTTTTACTGAGCCTTTAGTTTAGTCACAAATTAACTGGATTGTCAATCATTCAAGCAGAAACACAAGCGTGGTTGAATATTTTCTTCACGTCCTTACAGTTTTTTCTGTCTTTTGCTACTATTTTTTTGTTACTACGTTTCCTGAAAAGCCTCCCGGCACTAAATGTCAAAAAAACTCATAATTATGAAGTATGGTATTGCACTTTGTTTGAGAGATTCTCAAGTGAGTTGTCTGTGATAATTGCTTGTGTGAGATCAAAATGAGGACAAGTGATTCATCAGGGTCAGATGAAGCGTTTCTTTATGTCACCCATGATGTCTGTATGTCCAAAATCTGGCTCAGGGGCTAACTCTGTCACTTGGATTGATTTTTATGTGACCCTTGACTTCTCTTCATTTTATCGCCTGTGATGGACCATCAGAGAGTGATTTTCTTTTTTTCCAGGGGGAAGAAAAGAGTATCATCCTGGATAACATATACTGTAGGTATCACTGACTTATTTTTCCAGCTTTTCCTTATTTTTGGTTTAGATTTAATTATGAATAAAACAGCTGTTCAGTAAATTTTAGCCTTGAGTTTATTTCTGCACACCTTCTTTTCTGGAATACAAAGAGCTGTTTTTGCAATATTTTTTTAAACACCTTAGCATTTATTAGATATTTGAATATGTTTTTGGAAATAAAACTACAGTGGACTTTACTTGGGCTGTGGGCCTTAGTTTGACTAACATTGAGAAGCGTTTGTTTACCTGCCACATACAGTATTTTACTTCCAGTATATTTTAGTTTTTAGGTTTAACATGAGAAGTATTTGGCCTCTAGGTATTTTGACATTATTTAATCCTGATCTTTGACAGATGATGGACAGATACTACATTAAACGGACCAGAAATACCCCCACACCCCCACCCACTCCACCCCCACACATGTACTATATTTAACACTTTCTCACAGGTGTTTGGTGAAATTTCACATCTTTTTTTACCCTTTCTTTTGGGCGTGGTCCTCTGGTTCACTTCCCAGCTGGCTCAGAGATTTCCTGTCGTGGATGACATCATCATTGCTGGTTCAATCCCAGGACTGGGCCTTCTGCACATAATCTGCTGTGCCTTGAAAGTGTCAAATATGACTTCTAAGGCTTCAGCTCCATGACAGCACAGCTTCATGTGGTGAACGTTGAACCAGAGCTCAGCTCCAGCTTTGAAGCCATTGTTAGGCCTCGTCAGGCTGCTGATACCTTCACTCACATGGGGACAATGAATGGTATGATTCATATCTCATAAAACACAACACCTGCAAACACACACTATTGGCTGCACTGTTCTTACACTGAGAGGAAAAAAGGTTTCCCTGAGACCAAATCTCATTAAAGTGTTCTAATGATGGACACACAGGACCTGGAGACCCGTGAGGGTCAGGGATTGGGTAATGTGAACCTTGGAGATAACGTAGCCTTCAGCAGTGGAAAGGAAAGATTCTGGTTACAGCAGACTGGTCTGGGACAGGTTGACAGGCCGAGGCTGTGACTGATCCTGAAAACAGAAAGGACTGTGGGAACATCGTGGCAGGAACTTAGTGAACAGAACAGACGCTGCAGGATTCTGGTAAAGCCAAACAACCAAAGATATGTGTAAAAATGATCCTTAACAACAGAGTTGATTTGTCCACACATCAAATATGTCTGACAATGATTTTGGTTCATTTCCACATTATTTTAATTTTTTTAAATTTCCAAAAAGGTCCAGGTCTTTTAACATCAGTGTAGAAATCTTTTCCATTTTTAATAATTAATTAATACAGACTATATATGTGCATGTATGTGTGTGTTCTGGTCATGATTATTTATGATGCCTTTATTAGAAAGTTTTTTTTTCAAGAAGGTGCAGGGGAATTGGGACTGCATCAACTCCGTTGGGATATAGAACGGTGTTCGTGGCCAAAAAAGTTGCGGAACCGCTGCAGAAATCTAGCCATAAAAAACCTACAATTGTGTGACAATTTCAAATGCGTTTTGCCCTGAGCTGTCTATAACTTCTGACCCTGGAATGTTTTTGTTGATAAACCTTATATTAGGTATAATTGTGTATAATAACAGACAAACACAGCGCTCATTTAAACATGATGTTTGGCTGGAACTGCGTCCAACGTTCTCAACAAAACACAAAGTAAACAGCAACAATAATGTGTTTCCAAATTCAACAGGAACCATCGGTGACCAGGGCCAAACCAACAGTGTAAAACACGATACAACTATTTTCTCCACACGAAACCCGTGTGGAATAAACTACTTACCTTTCAGTCTTGGAGTGAAGTACATACCTCATAAATTTAGGCCGTGCTGTTGAAGTGACTGACGGAAATATCCATGAGTCAAGTGCTGGAAGATGGATCGTATTCCAAATAGAAAATACAGTAATTCCTAGAGTGGAAGTATTTAACTATCATTATTAGAGTATTTTCATTCATTATGTGTAATTTTGTGGTAGTTTTAGGTACTATGACCTTCCAATTCATGACTAATTTAAGTACTCTCCTAAACTTCATTTCAAGGACTCACTCTACAGATTTTTTTCTGTGCATCAACCCAGTGCTGTGAAGAAGAATCACTTCTGGCCGATCCCTAATCTCTACATGTGATTTGGCACAGTATTTATGGTAAATTATCTTCACACGTAGCAGACATGGGGTTACGACTCAAACCCTGACCTTCTGGTTGGAACAACAAAATTCTTCTTTGACGTGTGTGTGGTGGTTTACATATGTGTTATGCATAGCACCAGTTAAAATGGGGGGGGGGGGGGGTCAAAATCTAAAGCACTGAGTTAATTTAACTGTGAATTAACTATAAGTTGTTACTTGATAGATGTAAAATACAAAACACATTTATGCATTTAATTTAATTTTCTCGGTGCAAAACTGTGCTCAGATCATCATTTCTGGTAAATTGTGAAGAATTAGTCAACAGCTTCATTGATATATTTCAAAATAAATATTACAAATATTTTCATACAAAATCTTGTCCTGTTGTTTCCCATCCTTCTCCTGACAGAAAATGTTTACACACCTGGAGTTCGGTGATAACAACAAAAAGGATCAGACATACCATTCTTCTTGCTTGAACTACACTGCCACCTGCTGATACACAGTGAAATTGCTCCATAAAGTATTAAAACTGGGTATTAAATCCATCCTTTTCATTGGTCTACGAGGATTTTCTTCAACTTTGTTTCCATCAGTGGTTTTCTCTGTCCACTCTGAAGCTCATGGTCAGGACATCCTGGATCCCAGCCTGCAGCTCGTCGTGCTCCTGCACGGCAGAGACTCCTTTAGGAGTACCGGTCAGGATCAGGTCCCCCTCCTCCAGGGTGATGAAGTCGCTAATGTAGCTGATGAGATACGGGATGGAGAAGATCATATCAGCGGTGCAGCCGTTCTGTCGCAGCTGGTCATTCACCTTCAGCCACAGCGTGACGTTGCCTGGGTCAGAAATGCGCTCTTTGGGGATGAAGTCGCTGATGGGGCAGGAGGTGTTGAAGGCTTTAGCCAGGGTCCAGGGCAGACCTTTGGACTTGCACTCGTCCTGGATGTCCCTGGCAGTCATGTCCAAACACAGGGCGTACCCTGCGACGTGCTCCATGGCAGCAGACTGGGCGATTGATGTGCCCCCTTTCCCGATCACCACCCCTAATTCCACCTCATGGTGCAGGTTGCTGGTGTACCTGGGTACCAGAATCGGGGATCCTTCTCTGACATATGCTGAAGGAGGCTTCAGGAACAGCACGGGCTCGGTGGGAATGGCGTTTTTAAGCTCTTTGGCGTGATCTGCATAGTTTCTCCCCACACAAATAATCTTCCTGCCCCACTCCCAAAACTGTGATATGTTCCGTGCAGCCATCCTGGAGATAAGTTAAGGTTTAAACCGCTCCGAGGGAGTCTGTACCAGTTCACTCAAACTTTGACCGAGCCACAAGAACCTTGAACGTGAGTCTACGGCAAGAGAAAGGGGATATATTTTATAAAACGCCTTAATTAAAAAACATTGAAAAACATTTATTTAGTGAATGTATCGTAACACGTCACAGTCCTAATTACCCGGTTTAAAATGTATACAACGTACAGTTGTATGAAAATCAAAGAATTCCAATATATTAAGTAACGCTTAATTATCGACAGTTCCGTGTTCCTTTGATCGTGCCTATTTGGGGAGCCCTGAAAGGGGGTGGTAACGGAAGTAAGAGAACCAAACTTTTCTGGTTTACACCGAATTTGACAAGGCTTCAGATGCTGTTGTTATGTTATTCAGGTCCTTGGTCCGGGGTGCATGCACTCATATAGGAGCTGCAAAAGTCCTTAAATCCGGTACGATCACTCTTTTATTTTATTTTTTATCGTAATCACTCCTGTAGCGAAATTCGAGCACGTTAGCATGTGGACGTTACGTATTGTTTACCTTTTTCGTCGCGTCGCCAGAAATGGGGCTGTTACATGGCCATGGCTCTGGCCTGTCTTGTCAGATTACCTTCTTTTACATAATCCCCTCTGCTCGTGCAGCAGCGTCAGACTAGGGCTGAAACTACACGGTGAAAACCGTTGCTTGTAGCAATGGACCTTAACGTGGCGATTTCTCTGAGTGAATAAACGCCTTGAAACGACAATGACACTTTATAATTATAGAGTCCTCGAATGACTTAATTTTTTAAGTTTTTTAAAATTAAAACATTTACTTTTTTGTTTGTTTATTTGTTAATTTGATAGCGGTGATAAGAATGTTAAGCAACAATTAAAAACTGTTTTAATTTGTGTTTATTGTTTATAAATAGAGCACGTGTAGTTTTCCCTTGTTCCCCTGCAGGGGGAGCTAAAGGCATGTTATCTATTTCAGCCTTTCACCTCTCATCCAAGAGGCTTCTTTAGTTCTAACCAGTTAGAACTGAGAATATAACAGCTAATATATACTCGCATATATACCATAGTTGCCTGACAGAACTGGACAGATAACCTCAGCACACGTTTGTGTCATGACATGTTGTTGCTCACTGTGTCCCTGCTGTACAGTAGAACCTGTGGGAGTCCACGTCTGGGCAGCTGCTCTACTTCACAGTGCAGTGAGGAAGTCTTTGCTGGTGGAACAAGCCAACATGAGGGTTGAACTTCTGCCAGCGCTCAGCGACAACTACATGTACCTGCTGATCGATGCAGACACCAGAGAGGCAGCCATTGTGGATCCAGTGGAGCCAATAAAGGTTATTATTAACATTTACTCTGAGCTGCACAGAGAAGTTTCTCATACACTGTGGTTTTTTACCATGTGTTAGCCATAAAATGTGTATTTTAAATTATTCATAACATGGCCAGAAGTCACACTACAAGCATAGTTTCTTTACTTTTTTAGAAAAGGCAGATTCCCCAGAGTTATTTGGGAAAGTGGTACACACACCACGGTGATTGGCTGTTTGGATTATACTTAGTTATGTTTTTTTTTTCTTTTTCTTCTTTTGACAGGTTGTAGAGGCTGTGAGAAAACACAGTGTAAAACTTACAACAGTGTTGACCACTCACCACCACTGGTAGGCAACTTGACCTCAGTTTTCAGTTTTAAAGAGTTGAATTTATACATTAACAACTAAAGCTGTTTCTGTCAAAGGAGTATAGGAGAACACATTGGTTTTTGTTGACACTTACATTGTCATACATAAAGTGAGTTCCAGTTCTACCAGGTTAAGGAGATTTTTTTCAAGGATCACTAAGTCCAACTGCCACCTGTTTTACCTTCCCTATAAATAAATATATTTTTGAGATTAATAGAGATTAATCATGATCAATTAAAATTTGTTTAAACCTGTATGTAAATTAGGGATCACGCTGGTGGAAATGAGAAGATGTTGAAGCTGATGCCAGGCCTGAAGGTCTACGGAGGAGATGACAGGGTTGACGGTATCACAAAGAAAGTCTCTCATTCTCACAGTTTCAAAGTAAGACACACACACCCTATATCAACACACACACACACAAACAAACCCTGTTTTCAACTGACGTTACTCTCACTGTTGTTTTCACAGCTTGGATCACTGAACATTAAATGCTTGTTCACGCCGTGTCACACAACAGGTCACATCTGTTACTACGTCACAAAGGAGAACAGCACTGAACCCCCGGCCGTGTTTACAGGTGATTTAATGCAGTCACTAATCACACACCGACCTGCAGAGCTGATGAGGTCGTGAGCGAATGTGATGTCAGAGCGACTGACCCCAGACAGATCTCTGTCTCACTAACGTGTGGTGGCTGTAATGTGTCCGTCATCATCAGGCAGTAAGGACACACTGGTCTTACTTTTCCTGCAGGGGACACACTTTTCGTGGCTGGCTGCGGTAAATTCTTCGAGGGCACAGCGGAGCAGATGTACAAAGCCTTGATAGAAATTCTTGGACGACTTCCCCCTGAAACGGTAATTCCTGTTTGATGTGTTTTGACAAAGACGACGGCTGTCCGGCTACAGCGTATTAATCGATGATTATTTTATTGTTCCAGCGAGTCTACTGTGGTCATGAGTACACCGTCAGTAATCTGAAGTTTGCTCGTCATGTGGAACCAGACAATGAAATCATTCAAAAGAAGCTAGCCTGGGCCAAGGTACGTGGTTCCTGTCTCTTCGTCTGAGCAGCTGTTTCAGTCTTGTGATCCATTTTAACAACCACCAAAACTAACGCACGTGTCTGGGTGATGTCTGCAGGAGAAGTGCAGCCTGGAAGAACCTACGGTTCCATCCACCCTGGCAGATGAATTCACCTTTAACCCCTTTATGCGAGTAAAGTATGTGATGCTAAACTACACCTTTCAGTACTTACATGAACCACTTTAAAGTCCTGCCTGCCTGACCCTGTGTTTCTGATATTTTCACTCAGAGAAAAGTCCGTTCAAGACCACGTGAAGCAAACCAACCCGATCGAAACCATGAGAAGTCTCCGCAAAGAAAAAGACAACTTTCGCGTGCCGAAAGAGTGACGGCGTCATCGACAGTGTCAGGAAAAAAAAAATATTTTACCAAATAATATGGCTGACAGCTCTGCTCGCTGTTTTATTATTTTGGGTTTTTTTATTATTCATACTTTTATTATTTTGGGTTTTTTTATTATTATTCATATGCAGTTGCAGAAAAAACACAGTTGGCAATGAATGATTTACAAATCGTTAACACTGATTAAATGATTGCTTAATTTCAAAATGTAAGTATCAGAATATATTTTAATTCTTAATTGTAATATATTGGTAATATACAAACTACAGTCTTATTGTTTTTTTGTTTTTTTAAATTGAACAAGAACGTTGGCTGGAAAATGTTTGTCAAAAAACCCAGCACTTGGTTTACAATATACAGTAAATATAAGTATTTTATTCTTTGGTCTGTCCTGAAATATTTCCTATTGACAATGCAGCTTACAGTACAATACAGTAATAATATAGTGTAGGAACTGGTGATTTAGTACAAATGCCTGCAGTTCCCACAGAAAGGCTAATTTATGTGCACTTTTAAATTTTTTTTTGTAATCATTGACATAATATTATAGAATTCTGTGTTCGCACCTTCTGCTAAATACTTTAAGAATCTTTGTCAGATTAAATTGTCACCGATAGATGACGGTTGAATCATAGAAGAAGAGTTTATTTCATTTATTTTACAGATGTTCAAAACGCATTCATGTAGTAGGGAAAAGTAGGATAGCAGTTCATGTTTTTCTTTTTTGTTCCATATTTTAGGAGTGTGTGCTTTAGTGCAGTGTGTTGGCTGTTGCATTACCTATTAAACTGGTTGCATTCATGATGGTTGTGTTTGTTTTTTTGTTTTGTTTTTCTCTAACACATACTGTAAACGACCAGCAGCTAATGTGAATAACTCTAATCATTTACTCCCCACTCGTCCTGCCATCTGAACAGATTTGTTGAGTATATTCTTGGAAAGTTCCCAGCACCCAAATATGCAAAGTAGTGAAAAAGTACTGTATGTCCTCCACAGTAACCAGCATGACACTAATGTTCAAATATAAAACATTGATGCAAAAACTGAAAACTTCACTCAAAAGCCAGCCTTAAAAAAGCTTCTACCAATACTCTTCAAATCCTACTTTATGATTAAGTTTTGTAACAGATAATCCTAATCCAGCTGTGTGTAATCTGCGACCTCTTGCCTCGACTTTGGTACCATTTAGTTTCAACTATGACTTTTCTTTATCTACTCTGAACCGGATTGTAACTATGTTTTCAATCCCAGCCTCCAGCTCATCGTTCTCCTGAACCGGGGAGAGTCCATCCGGGGTGCCGGTCAGGATCAGGTCCCCCTCCTCCAGGGTGATGAAGTCACTGATGTAGCTGATGAGATAAGGGACGGAGAATCTCATGTCGGAGGTGCAGGCACTCTGCCGCAGCTGATCGTTGACCTTCAACCACAGATTGAGGTTCCCGGGGTCAGGGATCCGATCTTTGGGGATGAAGTCGCTGATAGGACAGGAGGTGTTGAAGGCTTTGGCCAGGGTCCAGGGCAGACCCTTGGCCCTGGACTCATGCAGGGGCCCAAATGCTGTCATGTCTAAGCCCAGGGCGTACCCTGCGACGTGCTCCATGGCAGCAGACTGGGCGATGGCTGTGCCCCCTTTCCCAATCACCACCCCTAATTCCACCTCATGGTGCACGTTGTCGGTGTACCGGGGCACCAGGATCGGGGAGCCCTCTCTGATATAGGCAGAGGTGGGCTTCAGGAACAACAGGGGTTCTGTGAGAGTCGGGAAGTTGAGCTTGTTTGTGTGGTCTGGATAATTTCGGCCAACGCCAATAATCTTCCTGCCCCACTCCCAAAAGCGAGATATGTTCCGTGTTGTCATCGTGAAGAAACCTGAATAAACCGGTTTGGAGAGAGTCATTAGGTCATCCACCCACAGGAAAACTCCAGGATGTGATTTAGAGGTGATTTCTTGACCTTAACAAGTCATTGTTTATACCACAGTACGACATACATGTTGTATTTGCAATCAATGTTCATTTGGACAAAAAACTACTTTCTGAACTGATGTTATTGAGCTGTAAATGTAAAGTTAAACTCCTACTCAATAAGTAACAGAGTCTCAGAAGTCAAGGTTAACACCGGGGAACACAGAGGAAACCAGAAACAACCGTTGTGTGTTCGTTTTGATGTTTTTAAAAATGAGCTGTAAATACAGTTAAACGTCAAATAGAAGAATACAGTTTTACACTGTTGTTACCGTGTATTCACGACGTGCCAGGTTTTTGCGTGTCAGTCAAGACCAGGAAGTACACAGCAACCAGCAGTGAACACTAGAGGGCGACTAAGTGCCACATACATAAAGAATTCAAGTCTGAAGAATTACACCACTTCTGAAGAACTCAACGAAAATTTCACTCAGGTGTCTTTCAATTTCAAAAGACTATGTGTTCATTTGGGAATGTTTTATATTTAAGTTTAAAATGCAACTTTTTTGTTGGAGCATTAAACTTTAAACATATGGGGACAATCACAAACATGTGTCCCAAGGTATTGTGAAGGTCATATGGCGTGATACACTTTAAATATAAAGCATATATATGCATGTTTTAAGTTTGAATGTTGTAAATTACACTAACGTTAAACTGGTCTGGATGAATGTTTTATGGCTCGATTAAAATGTCTGCTGATGTTGTCGCGATAACTTCCTGCTCTGTATTTTCCTCATCACAGCAAGTTAGAAAAAAAAGCATAACCCGAATCTGTCAAGCAGTGGTAAATGAATTTTCTTTGTCTTTAATACATATTATTGCACATTTTATGTTTAATGCTGGAGATATTCAGCGTTTTCGTCACACGTAATGAATCCGGAGTTAGTTTGGTCTGCAGTGATAGCAGGAGTTTATGTGAGATTAAGCTCCTGACTCATTAAAACCCTGACTCTCCCTCTCTCTCTCTCTGCACCTGAAGTGTCCCGCACGCGGGGGCGCGTGCGTGTGAGGGCTACCATGAAGGTAAAGGTGATCTCCATCCTGGAGGACAACTACATGTACCTGGTCATAGAGGAGCAGAGCAAACAGGCCATAGCTGTGGACCCTGCAGTGCCACACCGGGTGAGAGACACTTGGAACTATGATGCACACAACAGTATCATCACAACAAACTAACTCAACAGTCGTCATATATAACAACACCATGATAATGCTTTAATACACTTCCTGTTGTCTTTACATGTGAGATTAAGAAGCCACAAATGCATGAAAACGCCTTGTTTTTCATTGAAGAAGCCACAAATGCATGAAAACGCCTGTTTTTCATTATAATTAATTAATTCATCTAATTTCTTTGATTTTTTTTTCAACCTCCAACTGGGGACAGCTGCTAGAAATTGTGAAGAGAGAGGGGTTGTCATTGACAGCTGTTCTCACCACACACCATCACTGGTGAGAAGAAGCTCTCCCATGAAAATCCAACCTTTAAAATCAATAAAGCAAACCAACAACTCAACTTTTTCTCTAATCATGAAGGGACCATGCTCGTGGGAACGAGGCTCTGTTGAAGGAGGTCCCTGGACTGAGAGTCTTTGGGGGGGATGATCGGATCGGGGGTCTGACAGATAAGGTCACCAATGCTCAGGAACTCAAGGTGCTCACAATGTGTCACAAATAAAAATGATCTGCTTCATCTGCCTGGTGTCTTCCTGATGCCTTACTTTCTCCTCTCCAGTTTAATTCCATCAATGTGAGGTGTCTCTTCACTCCCTGCCACACCTCTGGTCACATGTGCTACTTTGTTTGGGAGGATGACTGCACTGATGCCCCTGCTGTGTTTACAGGTCTTTATCTATAAATATCAGGAGCTGGTGAACCAGTTGTAACTTGATCATGCTGGTTTAACCTTATGTCCCATTCAGTGTGTTTATTAGTACAATTTATAGCCTGCCCCAGCATGTGTGGATAAAGATAAATATATATTTTTCCATTGCATTGTTTTAATGTATTCTTTTCAGGGGATACGCTCTTTATTGGTGGTTGTGGACGGTTTCTGGAGGGAACAGCAGAACAGATGTACCACAATCTGACCCAGGTTCTGGGCTCTTTACCTCAGGACACGGTCAGTGCAAATATGACATGCCTTGTTTTCTGTTCTGCCATCAGACGGTTAACTGGCCTCAGATCAGCGCTCGACTATATCGCATGAGAAGGTTTAAAAATGTGAGTGTGGTTCAAACTGTACTGCAGTATAGGTGACATTAAAACTTGCTATTGTTCTTCAGAAAGTGTTCTGCGGACACGAGTACACCATTAAGAACCTGAAGTTTGCAATGCTGGTTGAACCTGAGAACGAGAAAGTTAAGGAGATGCTCAGCTGGGCCAGGGTGAGCTAGTGAGGCTCAACTTCTTATTAATACACTATGTCTTCAATATTTCAGCTTTATATATATATTTTTTTTTTAAATTATTATTATTTATCTATTTTGCAGGAGAGAGACGACAACGACAAGCCCACAGTGCCGTCCACCCTTGTGGAGGAGTTTGACTACAACCCTTTCCTACGTCTTTCGTGAGTTTTTCTATTCACTCATTGAATCCCACAACTTCCTGGTCCAGAGTAAAAGCCAAAAGACGGTTAATATTGTAAAAATCTGCAATGACTTCCTTTACATTTCTACACTTGTTGAGCTGTATTCAGTGGTGCTGTGCCCTCTTTTATGACTCATTCAATATTTGATTTACTACAGAGAAGAAGGAGTTCAGAAGTTCACCGGGAAGACTGATCCCATTGAGGTGCTGAAGGTTCTGCGAAAGAAGAAGGATAATTTCAAGAAGCCCAAGGAGAGACTTCCTCCTCATGCTATGTTGGCTTTAGAGTGGGGGCTTCTGCGACCCTGACATTCCACTACAAAACTTATTAAACTTATAAAAATATATGATGCATAAATCCAGGGCCGCAGTAGGCCCCTTTTCAGTTTCATGCCCAACAAACCTGGTCCACTTTGCTATGGAGTATATATGTATATTGGATATATAATATGTCGGGAATGAAATACAATAAAATCTTGTTTAATACTGAATTTAAATGTAGAACAAGGTAAATTGTACATATATATACAGTAATCTCTCGTAAGAAATCATCAAATATTGTAGGTCAAAAAGATTGCTCAAGTTGCCAGTAAATCACAAGGGGGCGCAGTCGTTGTGCAACGAGGGCGCAATCTTGTTGACAGATGGCTGCAGACTTTAAAGGTTATTGTCCCCTTTAGTGGAGGACGACAATGAACCGCAACAAAACAACTGGATCTGCTCCGTTTATGTGTGTGTGTGTGTGTGTGAGAGAGAGAGAGAGAGAGAGAGAGAGGGCAGGCAGGAGCATTATTGACTCTGATACACAGCACATGCAGCAGATCACTTTTGCTCCTCATGTCTCCTCACATCAAAACTATTATTTCTAGCCATGCACTCTTGTTTCTTCTCTTCTTTCTGTATTCTCATTATTATGGTCATGTGATTTGATGCGACATGTTTTTCTCTCTGATCGTGTTGGTTCACTTTTTGGCTCTGCGGTTCCCGCACTCTGCAGCAGATCTTTGTAACTGGACTGGAAGGTATGACGTTTATATTATTATTATTATTGTTGTTGTTGTTGTTGATGATGATGATGTTTGGCTAGGAACAAGGATAGACACTGGATATGAAAGAGTTGGTTAACAGAGATCGATTCAATGTTGGACAGATAGATCACCTTCAGAGGGAATTAACTAAAAGTTATCACGTTTTTCAAACCTAAATTAGTCCTGTTAATAGTACTTTATATACTTGGTCTCTCTAAAAACTCTATATTTTTTAATTGTACCATCAATAAAATAAGTCTCAAATCTAGAAAATCTAAATTCTTTTTTTTAACCAACAATTATCACTGTTTTCTTGCCTGTCATTCCAGCGGTTTTCCCTCGGCCCTGGACTCCAGGATCGTTCTCCAGGTGCGGCTGCGCTGCACTCAGGGCTCTGTCAGGTGGGTCTACCCGGGTCAGGCTTTAAGGGTGGTCCTGGAACCGAACCTCTCCTCCTCCATCTCCACCACCGTCTGCATCAAACCGTCCTCATCCTTCAGCGGTGCCAGCCTCTTCGTAGAACGCGGCGGCAGACTGGAGCTGCTGCTCACTGACGGACATCGGCCGCGTCGGGTGTTCTGTTTCCGGGCCGATGGGCCCCGCACGCCCGCCATCTACCTGCAGGCCAGCCCGCTGCAGAGTGACGGACAGTGGAGCAGACGAACGATGAGCTTCAGATATGAGGTGCTCAGGAACCGGAGTGTGGCCACGGACGAAGGCAGGAGCAGCAGGATGCAGAGTGAGTTCCGCCTTAAAATGTCAATACATCACAAACAAAAACAGTTTAAAAAAAAAACACATATATGGAAATTAAGAATCATAAAAACACCAAATATATTGGAAATTGCAGAGTACAATGGTCAAACGTGCTACTTTTGAACTGAAAGATCAAATTCATTAGGAGTTTGAGGCTAAACTGTGGGTTCAAAAAGGAATGTTTAAATTTCCTTAAAACGAAGAAATTATTTAAAAATATTTATAATAATATGGAATTCTAGGAAGAAAAAATATATATATAGTCTAGTTGCATTCCTGTACTGTTACACCCCCAAACATTTATTTTAAAAAATCCCCCGGTTCTCTGGCTGGTTCAGGCAGCTGCTGGTCACCCGTGTGTTTTGTCTGGATGTCTGGTTTCCATCCAGGGACAAAGCAGAGAGAACAGATCAGACCACAGCATGGCCAGAGGGCACCGGGCCAAGGCACTCAAACTGAAACTGCAAATACTCTGCAGATTCCTCACATGCCTCGTCATTGTCCACGACTCTCTATTAGCATTAATCCATATGTGGGGGCTTTTTCCCAAAGTGGTGATGTCATTCTCTGCCGATGATCGACATCTGCTGGTTTATCTTTTCTGTATTGCCAGTCTGGCAAGTGTTTGACTCCTGAAGTCTCCTGCATTGGCATGAGGTCATTCAATTAGCTGAGTACAATAGGAGTCAAACACAGGGTCAAGAAGAGTGGGTTTTTTTTTTGATATGCGGGCAACGTGGTGGGCAGGACACTTAAAGACACAAACACTAAGGCAGCATTCCTTCTTCTGGACCCTGGTTCCTTCTCTCTGTGGTGTGATGAGGTGAAGAATAGAGTTCAAATATGTGCGTGAACTCAAGGGAGGGGAAATGACAACACCTATCAATCTCTGACAGATGTACAAAACTTTGAGCCCTGCATGGTTTGAGTTTGACCGATTGCTCATCTTGAAATTCTGAATTTACTCAGCTGAAACTTCCTTCTTCCACAGCCTCTTGTCGACCCTGCAACGATGCAGAACTCCTGATGGCCGTCTGCAACAGTGACTTTGGTAGGTGGAATGTATTTTATCATAAGCACATCGCTGCAGTACCAACAAAATCCTTCCTGGTTAACTTTAATTATCTTTAATATTTGCAGAATACTGTTTTTCTTTCCACACTAAATCATTAAATGATATGAAGAGAAACTTCTTCCTTGTCTGTTTCAGTGGTCCGAGGCTACATCAGGAACATTTCCAACCACGTTGAGAGTCAGACATCAGTAGTGAAGGTGTCAGCAGTAAGAGTGTACTCGCAGCGCAGTCGGCTGTTTAGAAGAGACAGAGCATCTTTGGCGTCAACTCAGTTGGTTCCGTCCTGGCGTGGACAAATTGCGGCTCCCCTACAGTGTGGCATAAAGCCTGGAGATGGAGAGTTCCTCTTCACAGGGTCAGAACACTTCGGGGAAGCTTGGTTAGGGTGTGCACCGCGATACAAAGACTTCCTGTCCGTCTACCAGGCTGCCCGTGAGGCTCGCCTGAATTCCTGCGACTTCCCTTTAGACTGAGGAAGTGTCATGTTATTCAACTCAGCACTTTTTTATCTAATTCCAGTGCTGACATCTTTTAATGTGCCGTTAATGTGGCATCGCCAGCAGGGACAAGGCTGCCAAAGTTCTGCTGGAAACTCCATGTGGAGGAGTAAAACAGGAGGAAGCAGCGGGGGCCTCCTTCACCCCGGCTCAGGGAGGAACGGCTTTTGTCCTTTCTCCCATCACCGCCTGCCTTTGCTCCTAGGAGACTGGAGGGGTCGGGCTGCCGCTCCCTCTTTGTCATTCTCCCCTCAATGACTGTTGTTCACTTTTCAGCCTCTGTGGGTCAAATGACCCAAAGTGGAGGAGGGAGATTTCTAATCATCACTGGACATGTTTAAATGCGAGGATGTGAGAATGATGTCAGAATTCAGCTCTTTTTGATGTATTTATCACATAATCACATTTATGTACATAAAACACCTGATGCATTTGTAATAAAGGTGATTAAAACTGATTTAACTAATGAGCCTCTTCTCTATTTATACTCACAGTGTATTAAAATGGTTGGTTGTTGGATATGGAGTTTTTCTTCTACCTTAAAGGCACAGGTTCGATTCCAGCTCTGCATTCCCAAGACGACGGATAAACTGAGTTCCTCAGCGACCCTGAAAACAATAAATTGGTAGAAGATGAATATTTTCTATGAGTTTGTAGAAAAATTGTGTTTAAAATAATAAAAGACTAAATATAAATGCAAATTTTGGACCTGATGAGACCGATTCTTATTTAAGGTATAACAGCAACACACACTTGTCCTTTAATATAATTCTGTCCTTTAATGATCTAAATATCAATTTACAAAAATCAAAATATGCTTGGTTCAGATATTTCATTTAACTGTTTGAGATTCTAGCTTTAGTTACTAAAAGTTACTTTTTATATATATATTTTCCAACCCAAAATAATTTGAGCTCATCAGCTCCGACAGGCGACCTGCTGGGGCCTTTCATTTGTTTCCCATCATGTGCTGCATAAACTTTGGTTATTCTAAAGAACAGGATTTATAGATAACAAGTTTATTTCTGCCCTTCTCCTCCTTAATCACGGCCCATTCATGACAATCAGACTGGTATTAAAATAAGAAAGCACCAGCATTAAATACAACACAAAATCTCCTCAGATGACCACAGCTCTGAGCAGAATGAATCAGACCTTTCTTTTGACTTGTGGTCTGTCTGCATCAAGACTGAAGAAGACGAATGGACAGATGTGAGGCCCCAGAGCCCGGCGATCCTCCCCTCCGGCCCCTCCCAGCGGCCAGGAACAATTAATTGACTTTTAAAGCAACTGCTTTCCAAGCCTTTTCCACACTTGTCCCTGGCTGAGCAGAACGCACAAATTGGTGTGTTGAACTTTTTATGAGGACTAAATAGCTGCCAATGAAAGTGTAAATGACTGTGTGCTGAATGGGGCCCACACAATGGCCCCGCAGCGACAAGGCCCCCGGCCGACATAATGACCATTGTTACGACTGCTGTCATCCAGAAACCATCAGGAACCCATGAGTCCACGGAGTCTGTGGAGGGAAGAGTCCTCACTTAATCCTCATTTTCTCTTTGTAACCATTTCCTCCACATGTTTATACATTTCTTCATATTTCTGAATCTCTAATTGCAATATTGTCTCATGTTCTTTTTCTTAGACAAACTACATTTAGACTGATTTTAATAATGCCGCCTAACGTGACATTTTCACCATCAAGCAGTTTTTAATCCAGTAATAGGCTCCACAAAAACCAAACCACATGCTTTCCACTCACTTTTTTTCCATTCTTCCATTCCAGTCTCAGTTTGAAGCCTCCTCCACTGGTATTGTTCCTGGGGGGCACCATGTCAAATTTCTAAGCAAAATATAGCCTCTCTGCGGGCTTTTAAGACCACACAATTCTCATCTCTGAGAATTTCAGCGAGCTCTCATGGAGAACGAGCCCAGGAGGGCCCGGACCAGGAGCGGCTGCATGGTGCACCGGCAGGAGTCCACCCCAGACTGGGGGGTAATTGGTTTATCCCACCGCCTGGCTCGCTTTCCCATGTGGGCCACTGCTGTGGGGAGGCTCCGGGTTACAATATGGAAACAGCGTGATACCCTCCTGTGCCGGGCGAGCATTCACTGCTGCGGCTATAGAGAGCGGGGATGGGGAGCAGGAGGACAAAGCTGCTGCAGCAGAAATGTCTCCTGGCTTTGAAAAGGTCGCCATTTAGTCTTCTTTTAACAGTGAGCAGCGTTTGTGCTTGAAAACGTGAAGTAATTGAATTTTGACTATAGATGTTCTCAGTTCAACAGATAATGAGTTCAAGTTTCCTCCCCAGTGTTGTGGTCACTGCAGCACCTGGGTGGAGTCTGGTGTAACGACCATACAACAACTAACAATCATTTATCTTCTGACACTAACGCCATACATTCTCAGTGATTTATTTAGCATATAACATGTGGGAAACTGTGTTTCTAAAGTCTTCATCTTCCTCCTCATCATCATCATCATTTGCGTGTTCTTCATCTTCCTCATCATCATCATCATTTGCGTGGAACATCTTGATGCACTGTGATCTACTGGTCAAAACTCAGCACTGTAGCCTAGCACGCTAACTCAAATGTCAGGATTTAAACTATGTTGCTAATTTCCACCATCAGTATTGATGATTCCATAGAGGATGTACAGACAAAGTCATACGTTTTTTTGAAACAGCTTTGTTAGAGGCACTCTTAAACCAGTGGAGATAGATTTTTTTTTTAACTTTCCATATTTTTTAACTAGATGACTGTCCCAGAAAATACACAGTATGTGGTTATGTTGTACTGATAATATTGGTCACATGGGATTCACTTCAGAACCAGACGGATCTTCTTGTCTCCCAGTAGGAGTCTGCAAAATAGCAACACATTTTTTTAATGAGGGTAGTTTAAAAAAAAGAAATTTTGAGTCTGCAAAATAGCAACACATTTTTTAATGAGGTTAGTTTAAAAAAAAGTAAAACAATCTTAAATGTCATGTTTCACCCACCTGACCAGAACGGTTGCTAACAGACCTCCTGCAATGGGTCCGACCCAGTAGACCCAGTGGTAAGTCCAGTAGTTGCTCACCACAGCTGGACCAAAGGCTCTGGCAGGGTTCATACATGTACCTGAAACTCCCCCACTGATAACACAAACAGCACAACAAATATAAATATATGTGTATTTCCATAATCATTATCAGTATCCTTTCCAACCACTACATTTTTGTACTTGCCCAGCTAAGATGGTGAAGATAACAGTGCAGCCGACCATGAACGGTACCATGGGGTTCCTGGTCCTGGAGTTCACCGCCCCCAGCAGCAGCACCATGGTGATCAAACAGGTCATAGCAACTTCTCCAAACAGAGCTCTCCCCACTTGACCGTCTGACTGCAGCACATCAAACGCAGCTCCGTTGGCTCTGGCGTAGTTCTCCTTGGAGGTCATGCCCTGTTGGAAGCAGCCAGCCACGAGTGGAGTGTAAGAACTTTGACCATATCTCAGAGTCAAACTGGACATTTGTATTTGAATTATTCTCTATTATTTAATTCCTTTCAGGATTTTCGAGGAAACTGGAGCCAATGCCAGAAATCACCAGGTGAGGGCGGCGTGTATGAATTGCAGGACAACATATAATCTATGGTGTTCAATTAATCTAATCTGCACAAAGTTGAATGTGGGGGTGGAACTGGGGACATGCAAACTAACCACTGACATATTCACCTTTGCCATAGCAGCTCCCAGCATTCCACCAACCAGCTGACAGGCGAGATATGGGGCCACCAGATTCAGCTCCATGCCCCCACACAGGTAGATGGCCAGAGTGAACGGAGGGTTGAAATGAGAACCACTGGTGAAAGAAAAATAAAGTGAAAATAACCCAAAGACTGTAACAGAGAAGAAAAATCATTTTGTGGTTCAGAGATTCTCTGTAAATCTGAGAAGTTGACGAGATCTTAAAATAAAATGTACTTTTTTGTTGCATCAGTTCACACACTGTCATTAACGGCACAAACGCACTCTTTAGAAGTGAAACTCTTCATACAGGAAGTGATCTGTTTTCTGTCACGGCAGATCGAGGTGAAGCGGAACCACAACAGGAACTTTGCAAAAACAAGTCTCAGAAGTGGACTGACGTTTTTCTTCTTCTTCTTCTTTCACTTGCCTTTCTGTGGAACTCCACTGAAGAGTTCTTTGATCGTCTTTAAGCACTTCAGGCAAATCAAGTCAGCTCAACCTCGGCTGATGACTATTGATAACTACTGTCTCCAGTAGGTGTCTCTGTCTCCACTTAATCTTCTAAAATTCATGAACTAAATCCATCAAAACATTAAGTTCTATCTATGCACATTCTTCTTGTAATGCCTGGCCAAGGTCAGAACAGGTAGAGGGAGAAGACCAAGTAGCCCCCACACCAGTGACCACCATGTTGAGAGGCATCAGTGCAGATCACCACATGGCCATGCAGCTTTTTTTGACGATGGTCCTACCTGATCTTGGCCAAACAAGCCACGATGACAGCTATGGCCAGACCATGCACCAGAGCGGGCTGAAGTCTCCCTGTCGACCCCTCATTTTCTATGACTGACACGCAGCCGATGAAGACAAAGAAGGTAGTTCCCACCAGCTCAGCCAGACAGGGCTGGTAGATCTTCTCAAACCTGTTGAGCGCTGCTTCCACAGGAGCTTGTTTAGACCCTGGGGCCATCAGAGACATTTCCACTTCACCTGTCTCCATCGTTTTTTCCATCACAGGTCTTTAAAGTTTTTCCTGCAGGAGGTAAAGATGCACCGCTGCCTCTGACAAACTGATCAACGTCAGTGACTCTCCCAGACTGTGATGTTAGTCCACACACACATGGAGTGAACTTTTTCTCTTCGTTAATCCAAGAAAAACAAACTCATCTGGCTAATTATTCCAACAGCGCCGTGGCCTTGGTCAATAGTTCATGCGTTTTGCTGACGGCTTTGTGAAAGAGCTTAAAAAACAACCCGTTTCTGCCAGTAAAACCTAATCATTGACTGTGATGGAAGGCTTTTCAGACTGTGCTCTGAAAGAGAAACAAACCTTATTGATTATTATTCATGGAGTACGTAAGAGTTAAAACACATAATCCACGACTCAGGAAGAAAAAAAAGGTTATAAATTATAAAGTCGTATATCCAGTCTGAGTTAAACTCCTGGGTTAAGAAAATGTTTGCTTAGACAAGAATGGCAGCCCAAGTTCTTCCTCTCTAATGTTTACCCAAGAACAAAGTCTTGGCTTTTGTATCTAATCAGGGGGAAAATTGCACACTATTATAATCCAGGGGATTGAACTCATAGATTATTCTCCAACGGATTACACATTAAACAACAAAAACCTGCTCAAAAGGACAGAGAAAGAAAAGAGAAAGAGTCGACACCCAACGAACTGTCTGCTCTAACAGAACTGACACAAATCTATTTGGGATCAGCTGTTTTTTGAAATGGCACAGAAAATTCCCAGTTTGGGAAATAAATGACTTTAGTACAAACACAGTTGACATCGTATTCTCTTCCATGTTCCCTGTTCTTTTGAGAGGCTGTTGTTTTTAAGTTGTCTACACAGTGATTTGCAGCAGACTAGTTGTTCTTTGACATCTACCAGCTAAGAACTTAAAGGAAGGTTCACACTCAAGCATACACACACTGGTTGTGATGTCATGTGATCACTTCACCTTTCTAATCCCAATCCAGAATTATATCTTATCTCACAAGGTATACTTATTGGAGACTTGCAAGATGTCCCTACAGGGACGGAGGTGTCACCACGACAACAGTATTTTTCTTTGTCCCCACACGTATAGCTCCGTATACTAGACGCACACACACAAACTCTCTCTGTGTCTCTCTCTCAGACACATCCATACACACACACACACACACAGCAATTCAAAGAATCAGACTGTCATTATTAATATCATTATTAAAAAAAAAAGTTCACATGTCAAGAACAGGTAATCAACAGGTCAAGCATCATTGACCTTTGTATTTTAAAGTCCAGATAAGGAGCAGAGTGACCTCTGTCTTAAGGGTGAGGATTATCTTTAGGGTTTAAGAGCCTGAATATCATAAACAATGCAGCAAAGTCCACTGTACAGCAGAAAACCTTCCTCTGAGGAACAGTAAGTCGATATAGTTCCGTGGTTTCAGTGAGAATGCGGGTTAGATTAGAGTAAAGTTCGGACACATTAGTAATCTGGTATGGAGGTGAAATGATTCATGTCATTACGTCAACCTTTATCAGAACTGATATGGCATGAGTTATTTTGAGATCACGGCTAATGTGATCGCTTCTCTTAAGGACTTGGGAATATATCACGGTCGACCACTAGAGGGCAGCAGATCATCGTTAAAGCCAGAGTGGCCTTTGAGGGTTCAACTAAACTGAACTCAAGTCGGTCCTACAGGCCAACATTCCATCATCAGTTCCCTGGTACATTTTTTCATGCTACATAAATGCGGGTGCATATCCCGTTTGCATGACAGTAGAACTACACAATATACTGTATGTGTGTATATGTGTGTGTGTATATATATATATATGTATATATATATATATATATACATATATATATATATATATATACACACACACACACAAATGACCTATTGATCCATTTGCAATCATAAAGCACCACCACATCGGAGCTGGGAGTTTTAAGAGGAACTTGCTTGGTTGCTTTTTTTAAGGATATATTTGCATACATTTCACAGGATTTTAATCATGGTAAAAACACAGACCGTGATAGGGAAATCAATCTACAGCAGGTTATTATTTATTTCACACCATAACCAAGTTATTCAAATTATACACAGTGCCATTCATAGTGGTGTTTGTTTGTGCTTCAATAATATGCAAAATAGAGGACACAAAATAAAATAAAATCACTGGTCCAATGTTGTGGTACCACCCAGTTACACTAACCTCCTGTAGATCTCTGATTTAATGTCTTTAAAAGGGGTTATGATAGTGAAAGGCTCACCTATGGCCTGTGACCCACACTTTTAATTTATCTGACAGTGTTTCTAATATACGTTTTTGGAACAAGAAAAATAATCAATTAAAAATTACGTGTTTTTAAATTTGGAGTGTTAGCAAAAATGACTAATGAAAGTAATCCACGGCCATGTCAGCCCAAGAGCTGAGTCAGTGCTTTTTTTTTTCTTAGGTATCACATGTCAGTGTTGAGCCATGCAGCAGTACAGTGGGGAAGTCAAATCACTTCCTCCTTTATAACCGTGGCTGTACACAAACCAGTCGGTTCAAACAAAGCGGCACAAACTCTGGGCAATGGAGGGTCTGAAATGTGGCCGAGGTTTTTACGATTGATTGACTGATCTGTGACCTTCAAGAACTGATGTCACTGGGTTCAGTCGGGGCTCTAGAAATCGCTACATTCATCGTCAGGGTGTAAAGGAGAGAAACGGTTGGAGCGCAGCACTGAGTCGATATGGCTGCGACGTAGCGCAACTTTTGGATCAGCGGTGGATGAACGACGCAGAGCGCACGGTTCGACCCTAACTCGTACTGATCCGAGAACCAGAGGAGAACCCAGACATGAAGAAGCAGATTAATCGCATGAGACAGCTGGCCAACCAGACTGTTGGCAGGTGGGTGTTTGGTTTTGTGGCATAATGTAAAACAGTGGAACAGCGGGGCAGGGAACGGCTGGTGTTTTTTCACCGTAACTCCAACAACATTGTGCTCAACTCCTCCATTGTTATCAGCCAGTGTGGGCGGTGTCGGCAGGGCTGAGACACGTCTGTGCAACTTTTAAGAAAAAAACATCGAGCAACATTTTGTAGCCTTGTTATTTGAAGTCTGTCATTGGACACTTTCAGCAGAAACACACACGTGTGACTTTCTAACCGACCAGTGGCGACCCCTAAAGAGGTCCAGGGGTGGAAAATTGTTGGCCACCCCACTGGCCACCCCAGTGTGTGTTGTTTTTTTTAATTCAAATGAGTCAAGGACATTTTCTAGATTGCAAAATGCCGTGTTAGACAGTAAATCAAAAAGTTCTTGGACAAATTGAGAAACATCTAAATTTATGGAAATAATCAGTGCTAGGTTTGGGTAATATTACTGACATTGACCATTTGGTTTGGCTATGCTAAGCTAACTGAGCTATAACTCTCACCTTTGCTCTTCTTTGTTATGTTTAATGATAGCGTTATTTTTACATGAATTACTGCCACCTCAGAGGTTGAAACTTTGATCATTCCATATAAAGGACACAGCACATTCATCTGCACTCATTACTTCCTTGATGGTCTCCATTAGAGTTCCCCACAAATACCCTGTCGGCTCAGGCCTGGGATTCCTCACATGCATTCCTCCATATGTTGTGTAAGAGCAGTGAAACTCCACTGAGCACAGCTTACCTACTGAGAGGTGGAAGTGTTTGCAGGTTCACACCCACTGTGGATTGTGGACTGAGTTTAATGTGCCAGAAATCCTATGGTGCAATCTATAGCAGTGCATGACTGACAGAGAAGTGGGGAGTATGAGAAGTCGTGATTGATATTAGGAGGATTATGTGTCGTGATATTTGGGCTAAACGGAAATGGACAATGTCAGTGAATCTGGTTTGTGTACAGTTCCAGAATCACAGTCATTTGTCTCCAGACGGGTTAGGATGAAGTTCAACATGGATGAAACATTTCCATGTTTGTTGATTTGATTTACATGAAGACATCATGTGGTTCAGTGAACCCAGTTTGATCGCAGTTAAAACAGTTCCATACAGACATTTAAATGTAATAGATTAGACCTCCATAAAGGGATTACATTTCTGTTTCAGTATATTTGCGTTGTTTTGTACCAGGTTGTCCTTCGGGGTGTCGTCTCCAGCTTTTGAGAATCTATTCTTAGAATAAAGGCTGCGGCCAGAGCCAAGCTGTGTTTTAGTCCAATCAATGCAAATTCAATATCGATAGGAATCTTAAGATCGCTGCTGTAGCTCTGTCCATCCGAGGCCTGGCCGTGTAATGTGATCATATGGGTGAAAGCATGGCTGTTCTTGGAGACGATCGTGTCTAATTCCATCACTAACTGCATCTACACCTCAGACCCGTGGGCTTTGCCTTCAAACACCACACTAGACTACGGGCCTGCGTTAATACACAATCATTTAGACTGAGAACCCAATGAGATTGTATGCTGAATTTAAGATTCCGTATTTAAGTATTTTTGGAACAACCTCGAGCAAAATGTCTGCATAAACTGAAGGAGAACAGTTTCTCGGGGGACTTTGCATGTTGTACATGTGGTTTTGGTGTTATTTACACTGATTATTGATAGAATTTATGATGAGGCTGTTTCTCACAGCTTCTAGAAATAGAGAACAATAACTGCTGTGTGATAATCACGGAAAGTTAAAGGTCAAATAATAAGGTGGATGTTTCATGTCACAGGCTGTGGAGGTTTCCTAAGAATGTCTTTAGTGGCCGTGTCCAGGTTTCTGCGAACACTTCCACCTAGGTGTAATGTGTTTGTCCTGTTGCAGTCATCAACAAGCCACTTGACAAACCCTCTCCACGGCACACAAACATCCACACCTTACACTGTTGATATAACAAACCAGGTGACATGACATGCCAGGAAGTGAGTGAAGGTTTAGGAATCTAACAGGTCTGTCCAAGGATCCATGAAAACACCATGTGCTTCAGGATGCTAACTGAAATTCTTTTGAAGTTTTAGTGTATTTAGGTAAATGTGTGTGACATGCTAGTGTGTGTGCTGCAGGGACACAGAGCAAACTGTAGACAGGTCGGGCTGGAAAGACTAGGGCTGCTTTCTACCTCTTAGCTTTAGGACTGAATGATACCATGGCTACCATTTCTTCACCAACTCATTAACTTATAATTTTGGAAGTCAAATTGTGCTATTTTAAATCTTTGTTTTTATATAGGGTTCATCACAGAGCCGGAAAATATAGGAAGAACAGATTTAACTAATAAACCTCTTGGCGTTTTATCAATCAATAAGTAATCAACCAAATAATGTGTTGTTTTCTTTTCTTATTTTATATACATGTGTAAAAGAAACAGTTATATAAGTTACATGATGTAAGGACATGTTTTATCTCATGATGTCGACAACAATTTAACTTTTTTTATAAAAAAATTATAAAAAACAATACATTATCTATACTGAATATTTAACTCCAGCCAGTCTCCACGCAGACCTCACCTTAAGACGTGTCCCTTCACCCGTAGTCATAAATGACAGTGTTGTTTATGTTTTTATGTCGACATGTCTTATCCTTTTGTACATTAAGGGTGTGTTCGTGTGCTTTTATTCCTTGTATTTTTTCCACTTTATAACTTTTTTTTTGTCTCTGTGCAGGGCTGAAAAAACCGAGGTGCTGAGTGAGGACCTCCTCCAGGTGAATACAACACTCTTCATCACTGCTGTGTAAATCTTTTATTATTTAGCATTTCTTCAGATGATTAATCTCAGTAAAAAATAAGAACTAAATATATATATTTTTAGTGAAATATCTTCTTACTAAAATATCACTTCCTTTTTTGTTAGAGTTTTGTGGTTTTAACAGCGCAGTTCACGCTCTGTTCAGTTTTAAAATTGTTTCAGTTTTGCTCTTGAAACATAAATAGTCGATGAACTGACCAACAGGAAACTAACAGGGGACTTTTCCCAGCCATGCATATAGTCGTAAAATGATCTGATTTTCTTATCCAAAAGCTCAACTCAATCCACAGCTTAAAAAACAAAAAGGCAGAGGACAATTAGATCAGAAAAAGTTATTTGTCTAAGAATCTTTGATTTACCACAGTATAGAATTTACTGTGTTGTTATTTAAGATAAAAAACAATTCATTGGTTAAAGAGATGTCGACCCTAACTCTAACTTTATTATCACATCCTTCTCTGTAAATCACAGCTAAAAACTGCAGTAACCTAAGAGCTCCACTGCTGCTTCTACAGCTGTGGCCACAATCACTGATCAGGAATGTTTACAAGTTAATGTGACCTTTTGGTCCAGTATCTGTGACCAGTCTCTCACACTAGGTGACTGCTGAAGGAATACTCTTAAGTCCAGTGTCTCACAGACTCTGTCAAAGCCATCATGGCTGCACACACACACACACACGGTTGCACCAGTCATTTGCTCTGCAGTCATGGAGTTCAGTTGTACTCCGCCTCCAAGTTAAAGCTAGTATTAGAGCATTACTACATTACAGGGGTTCAGTCAGTACGTCATTCCACAGCAGCTCAGAGGTTTGGCAGTGGACAGGAAAAAACGTATGGTTTTCCACTCAAGGAGAAACCTGGCAATGTTCTGTTGTCTGCAGTTGTTGTGTGTGTGTGTTTGGGGGATGGGAGTGTTTTCTATGCTGGTTTTCTAGAGGGAGTGAGTGAGTGACAGAGTGAGTAAAGTAGAGAAATTCTTATTCAGTCATTGACGTTTTATTGCTGGCAGAAATGAACTATGATGTTCATCTGGTTCACACACACACACACACACAGGGACACACCCCTTGTTGAGTGTTTCTTATAAAATGTGATAAAAACTTGGATAAATTATAATCCAACAATATTCTGCTCTGAGCTACGTTAGCTTTAACAGCAGAAAGCTAGGTCTGTCACCTCCGTGTCATTGTCCTGAAGGTGCTGAGTGACCGCCCTTCATGAGAATGCTTTTAACTTTCACTAGTCCTAACTCCTTGTCCTGAACGACAGGAGCGCAGCGCTGTGTTAGACATTCCTTCAGCTACAGCTTTCAGTGAGGAATGTGATTGTCGGACGATCAGCGACTAAGGGGAAGTGGCTTGGATTTGTTCTGTTTTGGCACCGAAGATTGATCTCCGATCTGCCAATCGTACAGCTTGACTTTAAAAAGAGAGAGAGATTACAAAGAGACGGTCAGACTGATCTGCCTGATTACAGTGGCTCCTATGAAAACCCGTTTCTCTGTCTTACTGATTCACATACTAGAATATTTATCATTTGTCATCACATTTGAGACAGAAAACAGGATCAGAGAAAGAACTGTTTTTGACTTTCACACAGTCCCACACCTCTCTCTCTAACTTGAAATATGAAACCCCCGTGGTGTCGTTGTTCTCTTTTCTTTCCCATTTTTCCTCCGTCCTCTACTTTGACTGAGGCATATATCCTGTTTGGACTTGTCCCGTCACAGGGAGCAGGCTGTCAGACTGGATCAGACCTCTGCCTGCTTGGCCTCATACTGTCAGACACTCTCACTATTTCCATTCAGGATATACACTGGGCTGCTATTGTTGTGCTCTACCTTGCTGCTTCATTTTTCCACATTGGTTTGTCACTGTTGTCGTCAGTTCAACCCGCCTGTCAAAATATCAGAAGAATTCTGATAATAAAAAATAAAAAAATGCAGTGTGACCTTAATTGGTCTCAGTGCCTGGATTTGTGTACATTTTCTCAAAGCTCATTAATGCTGACACAACTGACAAACCAATATTATATATAAATAAATAACTAGAAATGTATGTTGGTAATATACAGCATTTTCAAACTAAAGACCAGACCAAACATTTGCTAATTGTGCACAATTGTTCCCAAATAAAAATGTGAGTATTTCTCAATTTATATTCTATTCTACCAAAACCAGAATACTCGGTAAGAGAAGCTGACACTGATAAGCACATATCATTAAACGCTACAGTATTTCCAGTGGTACCGATTACAGCATGTATGTTTTGCAGTGGTTTTAAATCACAGTTAGTCCGCCCTGACGCACTGGCACAGTTTGGTGACATCCTGGCTGCTCATTAGGTTCACAGCTAAAAGCAGCTCAGAGCCCAGAAAAACACCACCATTAACAACCTCCTTATTTGGCTGCGTCTCACTGAATGTCACACACTTTTGTGCTGCAGCCAGTCAGAGTTCCTCAAATCACTCACCTTAATACTTTCATTGTTACATACTCTCAATGTTGTCTGGAAAAAAAGGAACAAAGATGGCAGTGCCTGGCTGTAAACCTTTGAACAGCTCTGTACCGCCGCAGCCGACAGGAAAGGCTGTGTCTCTGTTCTGTTAATGGTTGATGTGTGTATATATACCACAACTGAGAATACTTGAGGGGACAGTTTGCCCTCGTGGTCCAAATTTTCAGTTCCCCACCAAGTCATAGTTTTTTTTGCAGTTCAGGATTTAGTTTGGAGTGAGGAATAGAATTAAGAAGCCGTATCTGGCCCGCGGGTCGTAGTTTGCTCAGGTCTGGGCTAGGGGGATGTATTATGTCAAAGTAAAGTGTGTGTGTGTGTGTGTGTGTGTGTGTGTGTGTGCTTGTCTGTGCCTATGATCAGGGAGTTTTCCTTCCTTTAACTCTATGAACACAGCTTGTTTGCTTGTGAGACTGTTTACTTGATAAAGTTTTTCCCTCAGGCAAAGTGACATGTGAACACAGTAAACCCTGTTAGTTTATAGTCAAACTGTCTACATTAATAATCTTTTTTTAAATGGGGTATTAGAATACCATCTGGTTCTCATTACCAGGTCATTATAAGATCATCAACTTTTATTTATTATAAATTAAAATAATCCCGTCTGCGGACCCTACCCCAATTGCTCCGTTCTCCGTCTTCTGGCTCCAACCGAGACGTCACCAGATAAAGACTTCCACGCATTAATCACAGCCGTGAATCAGTTTGACTCTGAGCCAGTTAGCTGGATCCAGGAAAAGAATCCAAGTCCAGCTGGGGTCTGGAACCAGAGCAGTGGCTGCAGGAAAGAAGGAGAAAAAGAATAATGTGTGTGAAGGATAGAAGTATTCTGTGCCGTGAGGAGAAAAGGATGGAATGAGATGTCGCCATGTGTTAAACCATCAGAGGAAGTAAAAACCAGGAGTTGCTGCAAACTCACGTCATTAAACTATTACAAAAATCCACACGTGTTGTCAAAAATACTCATTACAAAAACTGCTAAAACACTTTTTCAGCAAAACTGACCTTAAGCTGTTTAGGACATTTTGTCTTCCAACTTGAGTCTATGACATTTATGCAGACTTCTAGTGACAAGATGACACACAGTCTCACACTGCTCTCGCCCTGTGTTGCTCATTTGGGTTTTATGATAGACATGTTTTTTTCCCCTAACGTGTTTTTACAGATCGAGAAAAGGATGGAGGCGGTCCGCCTGGTCTCGCACAACACGCACAAAAAACTGGTGTCCTGTCTGCAGGGTCAGCTGGGCACCGATACTGAGAAGAGACAAGTAAGAATGACATGACTTCTGGCTGTCACACTGATGTTGTGGTGTTCAGGAAAGCAGACCTGAGCATTAAGGTCTACGGTGTAAAACACTGCCTTGTTCGCAGCACAGGCTCCATTCTGTTTATAAGCCTGACAGGGTGGTGCGGGTGTAGAATGTAGATCCTACAGAAATGAAATGTGAGTGAATCACTCTGCAGCCAGTGTCAGATTAGCAGAGACCTGTTATCTTCTGCTGCGAGCACATCTCCAAAACACACAGATATGAGGAGAACTGACTCTAGGCCTGGATCACTCTGAACTCACAGACTGACCCCAGTTTCATACACTAGACCACAGGGGAGATAAAGTTCTCCACAATAAACATGTTTCAGGGGGAAACGTTTTAGTGCGATTTTATTAAACATTCTGGACAACATTTACCAACCATTATCCAATCAATGTGCAACATTGATTAATATTTTTGACTTTTTCATTATTTCTAAGTTCAAAAAAGGAACAATGGCAGAATAACTCGGGACACTACTGCGTGCTTGATTAAACTTCAGACACTCGGGCCAGACAGGAACAGAAACAAACAGAAAAGGAAATGCTCAAAACAGACAAAACGCAACCTTCCAGTGTAAGAACTGCGCCATGACAAGACAAACAAAAAGATAAATGTCAATAGATATAAAGCACAAGTTGATTGTCATATATTTGAACTTTGGTTAAAATTCGTATTGTCTCTATAACTTTTTTCATACATTTTTTGAAAAAGTTTTTCTTGCTGTTGTTTTTGCAGAAAAAGCTGCCTCTGACTGCACTGTCCCAGGCCATGCAAGAGGGAGGCAGTCAGCTGGGAGACGAGAGTCTGATTGGGTGAGAAATGTAACTATTAAATATAAATACAACATGAGAAGCAGAAAACACTGATAAAAATCTCAGTTTAAAAGTGAGAAATTGAGAACTTTACCACAACAGTTTGCATGACAACATTACAGTAACTTTGCAGTGATTGAGATATTGCTAATGCTAATATTTGTGTCTATTTCTGTCAACAGTAAGATGATGGATATGTGCTGTGAAGCAGAGAGTAAGTTAGCTACGGAGCTGATGTATCATGAAGTGCAGCTGGAAAGAGACATCCTGGAACCTCTCAACCAATTAGCAGAGGTGAAACACACACACACACCATTAATGATGAATACATCACTCATAGAACTGTTAATTATTCATGATAATATTTAGTATTGGCACTCATAAGTAGATGATTTCTGTTTGTTGAAGACACCTAGTGGCGTAGACGAATATTGCAATGGAATATGCTTCACCTCAATAGTTTTTTCAGAATGCATTAGAAAGCATATGGTTTAAGATTTAGTTTGTCTCCGGTGGACCAAAAACAATTACAATGTGAACATGAGCGCCCCCTGTCCCACAGGTCGAGATCCCAAATATACTAAAACAGAGGAAGCAACTGGCCAAGCTTGTTCTGGACTATGACTCGGCCAAGGCCAGGTACAAAACACGCATCATTTGGCGTCACTGGGATTTTCATGCTGAATATTTAAATCAGAGCCAGTAATTTGTAGCTTTTTTATGTCTCAGTGTCTTAAATTAATCCTATCCTCGGCAGGTGGCACCAGGCAGCGAGGTCCTACAACCAGGCTGTGGTTTTAAAGGCCGACTCCCTCAAGGACGAGATGGATGAAGCTCTGAACAAAGTAGAAATATGCAAGGTAGAATTAGCTGATGCCAATGTTTTCCCACACTGACTCAAAAACATTGGTGACTTGTTTGACCTGACCAGAACATTCCAGCGAGGGCCACCTCATCAATCTAAGATAATGTACAGTGTAATGAAAAAGTCAAACAAAGAGGTCGTTGTGTGTGAAGCAGCACAGACAGCGGATCAGGACCAAACAACCTGCACTGTCCTTCAGAGTTAATGAATAATGTTGTTGTTTTCAAGTCATGTTTTTATTGTTCATAACTTCAGGATCAGCTCTCTGCAGACATGTACAACTTTGCTTCCAAAGAGGGAGAATATGCACGTTATTATGTCACGGTGAGTACGAGGTTTCACTGCAGTCACATACTGTAGTGAGGTGATTTGATTTTACTGCCTGCTTCACTGTTTTCTCTGTTTGACTTTGGTTTTTTCCCGGTTTTTATTGTGTGTCAGTTATTAGAGACTCAGGCTGAATACCACAGGAGGTCCCTGGCAGCTCTGGAGGCAGCTATACCAGGAATCCAAATGCAACAAGGTAAGCAGCTGCACGTCAGAAAACATATTAGCAGATACATCTTAAAAATCATTACCCTCATTTAAAAGAAGTTAAGCTGTGGCTCATATTCAGATTCAACAAACACCACAATGAATCAATACAAAAATGAAGCCGTGTGTTTATTCATCAGTTTACCTTTTCTTCTGCTTCCACATTAGTGCTCATGAAAAATCACAGCTTCCACTTACGTATTGTGTGAAGTGACACTTGTGTTGTTTTGACACAGACTCCTGGATGGAGAAGCCAGCCTTCGGTACAGCCCTGGAGGAGCACCTGAAGAGGAGCGGTCGTGACATCGCTCTGCCTATCGAGGCCTGCATCATGATGCTGCTGGAAACCGGCATGAAGGAGGAGGTAAGAACCAGAGCCATGAAAAACAAAAAGAGCACTCGGTGAAATTTATAGGCTAAAGTTGAAGATAAATTGACTGGAAGGAAATGTTGGTCATGTGACCTACTCTCTAGAATCGCTGGCAAACACAGTGTGGAAACAACTGTGGCCAACCTGTGGTCAGAGAGATTCTGTGTGGCGGGAAAATCATTTCGTGCATGTGTGTGACTGTGGCAGGTTTAGCTACACTTGTGGGGACATTTTATTTGAAAGAAAAATGCAATTGTGGAGACGCTGTCCTAGAGGAACAATTTAAGATTATTAGGCATGTGTTTCAGTTAAGAGGCGATGGGATGCTTTACATCTAAGTATGTGAAGTGCTCACAAAACACATGAACCAGTGTGTGTGTGTGTGTGTGTGTGTGTCAGCATCTGTTACCCATTAGAGTGTTTGCTCCTGAGCTCTTCAGAAAAAACCAAATCACTAGACTTTCCATTCAAGTCGAGTTAATAAAAGGAACGAAACTCCTGCTGTAGATTTTTTTTAACTCTAATTCTGGGAGAGCTTTTTCCTTCTGTGTATTTTTAGACCACCTCCTCAACTCAACGAGCCCAATTATTTTATATCCGCCCTGTTTACCTTGCAGGGCCTCTTCAGAATAGCTGCAGGAGCTTCAAAGCTGAAGAAGCTGAAAGCTGCACTCGACTGTTCCACCTCTCAGCTTGAAGAGTTCTACTCTGACCACCATGCCGTCGCAGGTACACTTTCTTTCCACACGTCCACAAAAGTGACCATCTGGTCCTCATCTACGTCTCATAGTTTTTGTCCTAACGTGCAGGCGCTCTGAAGTCCTACCTCAGGGAACTTCCTGAACCTCTAATGACTTTTAGTCTGTATGATGAGTGGATACAGGCTTCTAGGTAAGAACAGGAGTTAAACCTGTTATTGTCCTGTATAAAACACCCACCTCTGTGCTTATGAGCAGTTAATGCATTTCTGAAGCAGCGTGTACTCACAGGCTGCTGGACGTATTCCAGTCGTTGTGTAACGGTATAACCTATGTTTTGTTTCAGTATCTCTGACCCTGACAAGAGGCTCCAGGCCCTGTGGCTGACATGTGACCATATGCCAAAAGCTTACAAAGCCAACTTCAGGTAAGAACCCTGAGGTTCTGTTGCCTTCTTTTCTTATCCCCATTATAGAAAGGCTTTCGTAAAATAATTTAATTTGTTGCAGGTATCTGGTGAAGTTTCTTGCAAAACTTGCTCAAAACAGTGAAGTCAATAAAATGACTCCCAGCAACATCGCTATCGTCCTGGGACCAAACCTACTTTGGCAAAAGACAGAAGGGTGAAACAGCTGTTGTACCTTTAACTGACTTTTCTCATTAGTAAAAATATATAAAAAAGCTGACCTTCCTGTCTTTGGCTCTGTGACCAGGACACTTGCAGAGATGGCAGCTGCCACATCCGTCCATGTTGTTGCCATCATTGAACCTATAATCCAGCACGCTGATTGGTTCTTCCCTGGAGGTTAAACATCATAGTTACTGTTGAATTTTGTTTTTGCTAATATTTCATAACGAATGATTTGTAAATAGCTGCTTCCACCTAAAATAAGTAAAGTTTAAAGTTGTATCTAAAAAAAGATGGGAATAGTTGTTGTCTATAAATGGCTAATGTTGTACCCAGAAATATATAAAAAAGTACAAATCTGCCAAGAATATTACGCATGCTTTGTTTTCCAGTTCTATTTTCTAAAAAGAAAAATCTCACCAAAATCTTTGTTATATTTTCTCATTTTCTTTTTTCCTCTTTCAGACGTAGAGTTCAATGTATCAGACATGTTTGCCATGCCCACCCACCCGGCCACGCCAGACCCTGAATCCGGCCCGGATAGAAAGCGCCCCATCAGCCAAGTGGGGCAGGAAGGGGACGGTTCAACTCCCCGTAAAGACAGGTACCTGTCTCGCCCCAACCTCAGCCTCAGCCTGCCCCTCACCCTACCGTCTCGCCCCAAGACACTGGTCAGGCAGGAGTCTCGGGGCCCGGTGGTCTCGGCCCTTTATGTAGTGGCTGACGAGTCCATCACAGTCACTGAGACCCCCACTGAAGATCTGCCCAGTCCAGATTTCAAAGCTGTGCCTTAGACCATCGTAGCTGTTACTAATCTATTCCCTAATATGCAGGCTGTGTGAATGGAGGGAAATGGTGAGATTTGCTGCTCAGTGCTTCTCTATGATTGCATCCCCGCTCCACCCCCGACCTCCCGCTGCTCAGCCTAGTGTTGTCTCTGATAATTCACTGCCATATGTCAGCTCACAAAAAGACAACAGGATCAAAGTTACGTGTTTGAAGAGTGTGTTATTTCATACCTTAGGTCGATGAATCACATCTTTGGTTTAGGTCTGTAGCCAATAAATAGCCTGTTGTGCATTGTACATTAAGAATAGCAGAACTAGTGTGAAGATTGACTCCATGAAAAATCAAACCAGTCTGCGCTCTGTTCAAACCCCCCTGCGTCCCCCCGCTTTCATTTGTTGTGTGTTATTTTCACCACGTTTCTTTTAATGTGTCTGAGATTCAATCACAATCTATGCACTTGTTTTCTTCGAGGTTAGTACAGAACATGACAAATAATATTTTTGTATACATTTAAATATAAAACAGTTGATAACTAATCCATGTAGATTGACTCTCTTGTTTTTTTCTCTTGTGTACTCTTGTGTTATTTCCATTATTTCCAATTAAAGCCTAGATCGCTCTGTAGGTCGCTGGTTTGGTGTGGGCTTCTTCTGTTGCTTCGTTTTTGTTTGCTGCGGCATTTGTCTGCTCTGTCCCTGCAGCAGTGTCACAGTTCAATGCAGTTCTTTTGAAAAGAAAAAGAAAAAGTCACTGTTCCATGGTTTCATTTCTCTTTCTGGGGCTTCTTGTTTTTGGTTTCTTTACCTCAGGAAGTTGTGTCAATCTGTCTCTCAGTCTCTACACTCACTGTATTCTGTCTCTCTTTGTTGATGGTGTCCAGTTTGCCCTCCTGAAACTTCTCCCCTCTCCCCCCTCCTTAGCTCTGTTAACAAACAGCCGGAGCCCAGCCCACGTAGACCCATCGCTTTTAATAGAAATCAGCCTCAGCTAACCTCACCCACCTTCCAGCCTACGTCGCTCCCTCTGGGGGAAGCTGGGGGTCCAGCGCTGCCTGAGCCCCAGCCCCAGGCTCCAACCCCGACAGTAGAGGGTGATCAGCCCTGCCTGAGTGGAGCTAGTGTAACTGGTGGTGGTGTTACTGTTGCTGGTGGTGGTGCTGGGGTCCATGTAGCTACAGTGCATCCACAGGTTGTTACCCAGCACAGCACAGAGGAGACCAGGTAAGGAGCGAGCTGAAGTAGCTGCAATAGTCTGTCGCCTGCACAAGATCAATCAGCCAATCTGGAACAACTCTTCATTTTCTGTCATGCCTTTGATTGGTCTTTGAGTTCACATCTAAAACGGATGCAAAGAATTAAAGCATCCTGTCTATATCTAAGACTACAATCGCTCCACTCTTTCACTCTGTCTACTCTGATTTTTGTGAATATTCACCAAACTTTAAAAATGAATTAGTAATTTGCCAATGAAATAACCTTAATCTCACATCTTAATCCTTTAAACTGTTTTTCTTCCTAAGTTCCAGCACTGATGTTTCACTCGCTTGTCAGATGTGAAGTTCTTACAAACTAACATGTATTATATTTCTTGTATTTATGCAGCTCAGTCCATGAACACTCGTCCACCCCACCTCCACAGAGGAATGGTTCAGTTCACCTCACTGTGGGAACCCCCCAATCACAGGGTGGGTCCAGGGGACCCAGTCCACACATGGTTCGCAGAGGTGAGAAGACTCGCATGAGTCTGATGAAATCAGTGCAATGATAACAAGTTTTGTATTCAGCAGCCTAACTTAGAAGTATTTTCTAAAATGGGTGTCTAATAATTGTGTCCTAAACTGTATTTCTCCGTTAGGAACCAAGAAGCAGGCACCAGCTCCACCAAAACAGGCCAGCCCCTTCGCCTCGCAGACCAGTAACACACAGACAAGCAGCTCCCATCATCACCCACCCGTCCTGCCCCGCCGTCATTCCAGCAAAGACAGCCCAATTCATGCCCCGCGCCCCCCCCCCCCACCCCCCCCCCCCCCCAGCCCAGTAACCCACAGACAAGCAGCCCCCATCATCCCCCCCCCGTCCTGCCCCGCCGTCATTCCAGCAAAGACAGCCCAATTCATGCCCCGAGCCACCCTCCCCCACAGCCTCCACAGCCTCATTCAGCTCAGGGGGAGTCAGAACCATCCCCTCCCAGCAGCCCCACTCCTCCAGATACTCCACCTCATGATTCGCCCCACACCAATCCACTGCTTTCCTACCATTCTGGGTCACTCCCTCGTCCTTCTAGACCAGCTCCAAAACCACGACCTCGACCCAGCATGCCACCACCCCCACACCCTGCAGCTAATGACAACGCAAATGGTCTCCTTAACTCCTCCTCAAAGATCATAACAGGTAGGACTTTGCCTCATAAATGTTGATTCATAATGGATTTTGTGTAGTAGAATTATCCAAAAGATGTAAGGCAATATTAATAGTTTATGTCAAATGAGATATTTGAAAGTATTTTTTAACCACCATTTAACAACAGGAACCCAACTGCACCCAAAGAACCACGGAAGAATATTTATTTACTTTGAATTTATCAACCAATAACAGGGCTCCATGCAGCAAAGAATGGTCTTTGCACCTTCTCTTACAGGACAAGGCTTGACACCACTGCAGCCCAAATGTCAGCAGTCTACCCTGGTTATGTATTGACCTGACTGACAAGTCCCTCTGATTAGTTCTGCCTTCATTTAACTCATGACAGTCGTTTTAGAAAATTCGGGATTTTCTTTCACAAAGGTCTAAGGTGATTCATATGTGTGTACGCTTCCTAGGATTTTGTATTCTCAATATTAGAAATACAAAAACATTAAGTAGCATACCTTCAATTGGATGAAAATTTTATGCAAATTTTATTCTAGCGAAATTAGGATTTTATAGTTCAATTGTCTTTCAAGTTTCATACGTGTACCCAACTATTTGTATGTTCGTTATGTAAATGTTCATTTTAACATAAACGTTTAATTTGGGGATTTATTATGACCATGAAAACTTTGCTCCTGGGTTTAGCTTAGCTACGCTATGAAAGCTAACGGTTCCTTCCAAACGCTTTATGGGTTTGAACATTCTTCAACACACAATACTCCCACCTAGTGGAATATAATTTTCACTGGTATGAATTTTTGTTGTAAAATGTTCCATCAGTAGCCAAAAGCGGGAAAAAAACACCAACAAATAATACTACGATAGAAAACATTTTCTAATTCTGACATTAGTGACATGCAGGACCTGAAACTTTGTGTGTTTTCTTTCTCACCTGCCGCTCTCCTCCACTCGTCACTTTCACCTCTGTTGTAATTTTCCAACAAATCCACCACGGATCCCCCTGATGTTGCCCCATCCTCTTTCTCCTAATTAGTTCGCCTCTCTTGTGTATCCTTGTCTCCGAATCGTCGCTGCCACTGCCAACGTCCGCTCACATTAGTTTTTCGGAAACAAAAACCGTTCCGCGGTGCTCGGTGCTTAGCACTGCTAAGCTAAACAATCTCGTGGCGGCAGTCTGTGCGCAAACCAGCCAATCAAATCGCAAGACACAGCTTAAGAAAAGTTCAAGGTTCACCTTGATTTCAGAACGTTGAATAATAATAATAATAATAACAATAATAATAATAATAATAATAATAACAATAATAATAATAATAATAATAACAATAATAATAATAATAATAATAATAACAATAATAATAATAATAATAATAATAATAATAACAATAATAATAATAATAATAACAATAATAATAATAATAATAATAACAATAATAATAATAATAATAACAATAATAATAATAATAATAATAACAATAATAATAATAATAATAATAATATAATTATAATAATAATATAAAATATACAAAATAGAAAATAACAATGTAATAAAATAACGCCTTTGCCATGTGGTCTATTTTGAGGAAATTCCTGCTTCACCTTCACATAAAAAATACTAGAGGATCAATATCAACAGCATTGCTCACAATACACAGCCTGAAATCCCACGCTGCTTACCTGCCCATACTGAATTCATTATTGAGTTCAGGGTCTTCCTCAGACCACCACTGTATTTTTGCTGTCTGGCTTTGGTTTCACTGTCTCAGTGTCTCACACACTAAATGCCACTGTGGTGTTCTGAGCATGACAGGATGTGTGTAAATATTGCAGATGTCTGAGCTGACAGCCTGAGATGAGCTTTGCACAGCAGGTCATGGTAAGGGTGTGACTGGTGTGGCTGATGTATCCACCCCCCTCTCTTTTGCCCACTGCATGTTTGCTGCATTAGGTTTGTAGATAGTGCAGCTGTCATACTGCATACATATTAATATATGTCGGGATGTGTATGTGTTGCTGCCTAACCTCACTGACCAACATGACTAACCCGCTTGTGATGCTGAAAATATCCCTAACTGCTTATGAAACATGCTACTAAACCATATTTAACATGTTTGTTGCTGTTGCACTTAAGTTTGTTTTTTCCTGGCAAACATGGTATTGTAGAATAGCTCATGACTAACACACCAAGGATACACTCTTATGAGCCGCCACACAAAAGGCCCTCAAACATGATATATAATTGACTGTATTTGTTTATGAGAGCATCCTTTGTGTCTTACTGTGTGTGTAGACGTATGCTGTGTGCACTGGATTTGGTTACCATTGGTTTGTTGCTTGAACGTCAAGGTGAAATCTGACAAAGGTTCAAGGTCACAGAATACTAAAACTACAATCTGTCCTACACTCTATGGAGCAGACTGTTAGACTGTTGTTTTTCTTAACTGCCCAAAATGACATTACATTTACTATGCAACATAAACAAAACCTTTTGAGCTATATAGACCAAATAATCATTTTCATGTCAGGCACATATGTCTGTTATGTTTTCTTGTTTATCTTAATGCCCCAGTTGTGGGAAAAGATATGTCGCTCTTGGCAACTTCTCACTTGGGGAGCCATGTCAGAAACTGGACTCCAGCTTCCTCTGCTGGTCATTGTCCCTTTGTTCCACTAGTCAACTTCAACCAGCTTGTGTGTAAGCAGTTAACAAGATGCAGCAGTCCAGGTCATGTTGCATATCACATGTAATGATATTTTGAGGATTTTGAAACAAAAAGCATGGTCTAAGAGTCTGTTCTTACAGGTTTGCTATGATGTAGGACTATAAAAAATTGTTCTTCTTCTCAAGTCCTGTTGACCTTGAACAACAGCACTGTGTGCTGAAAATGTGTGTTTTTTTAAAGTCGAGATATCTACAACGATCTGTTTACTGATTGGTTTCCACTGTACAACCTGTATAGATGGAGGTCTGTCCATTAGGCCAATTGGACGAGCCTTTATTCCTGAGGTGACTGTGGAAGATGATGAGGAGAGGTCTGCAGATCAAGAGCCCGCCGCCAGTGAGACCCCACCCCTGAACCCTTACAGTGATACAGAGACCACGCTTCTCTAAGAGAAGAGGGACCGCTGCCATGACCGTCCACTGAATTTGATTGTCAAGAAGCAGATTTAAGACAATCCATCACTAGGCTCACAGGATGTCGTCAAGGTTTTCAGCTGTTGTAGTTTGACATTCCTGTTCTGTACTCTGGATATTGTGACATTGGACTAAAAATCCTTTCCAAAACGAGGCCCATTAAGAGCTAAAAACACAGCATCACCTTAACGTAGTATTTTAACTGAATGTGGGGATAACTTTAAACTGATGCATTCACAAAGATGTGGTGTTGGCTGATGTGTGGATCTTGCTTTGCACAGCAGTCATATACTTTTGATATCAGAATATTAAAGACCAAAGACAAGGCCAGGCCCAGGTTAGCTGCTGGGTTTGAGTCAGAGTTGTTGATGACCAAATGTTTTGAAAAGTGCAATATTAAAATGCAGTCCATCTTTCAGTAATGTGGTATGGTTATTTTTAGCCTTAACTTCCCACCTAGTCTATTATATTTGTTAAATCTTGTCATTTTGTGGGGAACAATTTTACTTTTTAAATAATATTACATTATTGTTTAAGCTGACTTGATTTTCCCAGTTTGAGAAAGGGTTCAACTCTGAGTTTAATTGTTATAATTTTTTGTTTTCTTTTATTATATTGTATGCCAATAGATATCTCAAGTGATCGGCGAGGTTGAGCAATGACCAAATACTGCAAATAAATTTAATTCCCACTGTATGTAATTTTTTAAGTACTGCTGTCAATACTTATCTGGTTGTGGTATTTTTGAGCTCCTTTGTTTCTCAGTATTTTTGTTGCTCCATCATCATAAATATCATCATAATAAAGGCCTTTGCAGCATTCTTTTATCTTTTTTTTTAATTAATCAAAAGTTACACACGCACAGTGGAAAATGGAATAGTTAAATTAGTTAAAAAGGGATGCGATTTTAATTTATTTTATTAAACCCTCACCAAGACACAGTTTGAATTACAATATCACTGCTAATGTATGTGTCTAAATGAAATGATTGTGTTTAAAAAGAAAACAATCTTTCACGTACAGTACACTCCTTTTTACGTGAATCAAACAAGAGTGTTGTCACTTCCTCTTCAGGCCCAGTATCCCATCATAAAGAAGGTTAAAGACAAGCAAATCATGAGGTTGACGTTGACAATGTTTCGTAAACGTGGCACTTCGTCCAGGGAACAGATGCTTTGTTCCGGTGCAGGAATCACTGCTGGATTTGTCTCTCCTTCTTTCCGTCTTTCCATCCCACACAGCCAGTAGATGGCAGTCACCAGCCTGGACTGGCTTCGAATGCTGCTCACTACGGATGAGGAGGTGTAAGAGTCTGGAGAAGTGAAGGGAATAGTTAGACAAAGTCTTGGTATAGTTGTATGGTGTAAACATACAGGTTGAATCAGACACACCTTTCCCGCTGATTTCCTCCGGCTCCATCCTTTTAACTTCCTCCTTATCTGTCATCACCTCGATGGTCATACTGCTCCCGTCCACTGTGGATATTTGCTCTGTGGGCTCCACTGTGTCAAACCTTGTGTACCAGGTCAGGCGACTGATCTGTTTAAAAATCCAACTTTAATGTGATATAGTGACCATCTTGACTCAAATTAACATTTATTTGCTAGAATTTGCTAGATTCTTAAATTGGTCCATGATTTTACTAGTTGGTATTATTCTCTTATTACTGCCACCTTCTGGTCATTTCACAATATTTTAGTTTCAGTGACTAAGACATATATGAGAGTTGGACATGAGACTGAACATTAAAAGTCAAGAGGAAAAGAATATGTTGTTGCACTGTCTCCATCACTCCACCTGCTCTGGCTTTGGCTCCTCTGTGAGCAGACTGACCACAACAACCACCACCAGAGTGAGGAAGGACAGCATCGTGGAGAAGTAAAGGTAGTGGACATTTTTCAGCACCGCAGGTCTGTCGTCCTCCTCAAAACACAGAGGTGCAGGGTAGACAAAGTCCAACACCATGCGAGTGCAGCCCACCACGATACCTATGGCCAGGCCCCAGAATGCACCCTGAGAGAGAGGAAAGAGAGATTATCATCACCCAGTCATGTCAGAGGCCATTAGTAATCATACTTTATAATACCTTACCTTTTCATTAGTCCTTTTCCAAAAGCAGCCCATGAGGAAGATGATGGACACTGGGGGCTGAAGATAGGTGCTGATGGATTGGATGTAGATGAAGAGCTGCCCACCCTGACTGGCCTGAACTACAGGAATCCACAGCACAGAGACCACCACCAGCACCAGCACAAACAGCCTGGAAATTAAACAACACAAATATTTGCTGATTTAAAAAAAAATGTTGCATGAGATGTTTTTTTCCTGTGTTCATGGTTCTGCAGAGTTTGTGTGTTTCATGGTAGGCCTGAAAAAGACAAACCTTTATTGCAAAACCTTTATCTCTGTGAAAAAGGCCTGGAAAAACTGAGCTCTGTGAAATTGTACTGGAAATATTTTTGGATTTACACAATGTTCAGCGCAGACGAACCTTCCCACCAGCATGAGCTCCCACTCAGATGCCCTGGATCTGAAACTCCTCCATAAATCCATGGTGAAAAGTGTGCTGGCGCTGTTAAAGATGGAGGTCAGTGAGGACATGAGGGCAGCGATCATCACCGCCATCATCAGACCTCGCAACCCTGGTGGGTAAAAACATGCAAAATGAAGTCAAAACAAAGAACAAACTGTAGAAAATGAGCTTCGACTGGTGATGTACGAGCGTCTCACCTGCTGGCAGCAGCTCCATCACCAGTATGGCATAGGCGGTATCCGTGCAACCCACGGGGTTTCCACAGATCCGTGTACAAGTCTCAGGGTCTGCGCACGCAACCTCATCTGCACAGGTGAGAGATCGATATTAGAGCTGCATGAGTTAGAAAGACATTCATGAGTGCAGTTTAACTGACAGATAAATCAATTGAACTTTGATTTGACATAATTGTCCTGCAGTATGTCAGTCATCGCTGACCTCTCTCCACCTCTCATCCAAGAGGCTTCTTCATTAGCACAGGCACTAAAACCCTTAAAAAAAGGGTCATTTTAGCTCAAACATTAAAGCTACAGTTATTTTGTTTAACTCCCTAAAATGTCAGGTGTGTAAAGAATAATATTTTTTAATTATAAAATGATTTCATACCATAATATTTCATTTAAACATCAATAAATCATCATTTGTATAAAAGTAGCATATCATGTCCCTTTCAAACTTGTTTGAATTGTTCATAAACCTAAACGTAGGGGAAAAAAAGTATTTGTTAGCAACCAGTAAAGAGAATCCTGCTGATCATGCCGGGCAGCAAAATAGCAAAGAAAGGCAGGATCTTCAGATAAGACGCCAGCAGTGAGCCTCCTTTGGCATGTGTGAGTGTTTTGGCCGCCAGGGAGCGCTGCACGATCACCTGCAGACAAACACAACAATCAAGTCTTCAAGCTCTCAAGGTTCCAAGGTTAATGAGTAATTTAAGAGATTTTTATCATTACCACCATGACCAGAACATTCTGCTGAGTCTGTTTGTAATTCTAAGAATCGAATTTGTGGAGGAGCAATACATTTTAAATGTTACTAGGATATTTTACCAGGAAATAAAACCAACATTCTTCATTTTTCCCTGTTCTGAGTTTGTGTTACTGAAATAAAAACGTGGCAAACAAACCTAAAATAATGATACCTAACAGTACAAACTACTTTTCTGTGTTTTATTTCATTTCTTTTTACCTGGTCAGAACACCAGTACCACATAGACGGAATGGACATGCCAATGATGATGCCGGGCCAGGGCAGGTCAGAGTTCACTGGGTCTCTGAACAGGCGGAAAGAATCGGCTCGTGGCATTCCACAGGTGGAGTTTGGCACACGGATGGATGGTATGGCCTGGTGGTATTCCTCCATCAGGGCATTCCAGCCTCCGACCTCAATGAAGCCTCCACACAAACACGTACATTTGGTCAGAATACGGCGCTGCTGATGATAGTGTCTCATTTAGAGTGTGACTTACTGAAGCCCATGAGGGTCAGAGCTCCTGCCAACATGATGGCAGTTTGAGCAGCATCCGTGTAAATGACTGCAGCAAGTCCACCTGGGAGGAAAAAAGTATTTATACTACTGTATTCTTCTGTTAAATGTTGCATAATATCTGTAAGGATATTTGAGCTTGTCTTTGAAAAAGGGTTAGTGTTCTTCTATCACAAGGATTTATTTAGTCACCTGCTACAGTGTAGATAGCAGTGACTGCCAGCAGCAGCACTATAGCCAGATAGATGTCCCACTGTAAGGCAAGCTGTATGAACAGGGCACCAGCGTACATGTCCACCTGTCAAAAACACCAACAGGGTGGGACACGCTCTTTATGAACCTTGACCTCGAAAATAGGAAGAATGTTTTTTCATAAATGCTCAACACTTAAAGAGGTGTCAAACTCAGGCCCGTGGTGTAATTATATTCGGCCAGATTTTTTGAGTATGTACAGTAAAGCAGTTTACAACAAATGGCCACACGTGTTGGTCTCTTACTGAGATCTTGGTAAAAATGTAAATGAACAAAGACAGGACTGCGATGAACAGCTGCGTTCTTCTGCCTCCGAAACGCTTCTGCAGGTATTCTGGCATGGTTGTTACCTGAAGGAGAAGAACACATCACAGTTCAGCGTGGTAACAAAGGACAGACAAAATCATGCACATGCATGTTTTGAGTGGGTACTTTTACTCTATGCATATTGACGCCTGACCCCAGAGGATATGTAAATGGGCAGGAAGAGCCACCCCAGCAGCAGCACCATCAGCATGCCCTGAAAATGAACATTTAGAACTTTAAAGATGCAGATAAAACTGCAGCTGATATTCTAAAACTGGATTTATATTACCATAATGTGTCGGGCGAGATTAAACGCAACCCCTTACATTCCACTCGTATGCAATGGCCCCGATCCCGGCTGCAGCTCCTGATCCTGCCAGACCGATAAAGTGTCCACTTCCAATGTTACTGGCGAACAAGGAAGCGCCGATCTGAACACAAACAGATCAGATCAGAGCAGCCATACTGGATGACCATGTGTATAAACCAATGCTAAACAAACTGAACTGCAATATAGTTGCTGATTCTCCTGTAGTATTTTATTACATCAAACTCTTCAGCCATATAAAAATATATATCTCTGACCCTCATGTGAAAATTAGGATTCATTTGATTTAAAAAAAATCAAATAACAGATACATATTGAGATACATAAATCCAATACATTTTAATAATAACAATCTTAATCTTTATCCTTAACAAGGGGGTTTGAAGCCAATCCCAGTAGTTAGCTGAGGGTGGGGTTAAACTCACAATTCACTAGTCAACAAATGTAGAACCAAACAACTGCCTATGTCAGTGTCACCTTTTGTGCCATGTTTTTGGACTGTCAGCACTAATCTATTTTTACCTCTATTAATATAATAATGTTATTTAAAACAAACCCCAATTATACACAATGGACCTTTAAATGACCTTTGTGTGTTTGACTCACAGGCCACCAGGTCATGTTCTTCCCAGCTAAGAAGTATCCGTCCACCGTGCTGCGCTTTGTTCTCCACATTGACTGAAAGAGAAAAAGAAAAAAGGGAAAAAAAATTCCTCAGCAAGACGTGTAGAAGAATGAACAATTCCTCACAGATATTCCTAAAGCACTGACCAGTGAAAGACATGTGTCCATGACTAAAACTTTTTCCATCTACTTCAACATTTCCTGTTTTTATTTTTCCCAGCAATGACTAATTCAGAACAAAAGTACTTACCCAGATGCCCACCGCCAGCACCAACAGGAAGTAGACCACCAGCACAACTATGTCCACAGTGACCAGAGTGTGTTTGGTCTCAGGAGCAGGTGACGTAGATGGCGTCATACTGGTCCCTAATGCAGGGTGATAGGTCATCTACAAACCAAAATGTGAAAAGGTTTTGAAGAATCGATTAAGAAGTACCCACTGACTTGACAATGTGGATTTTTAACACCTCACACTCACAAACAAGTAAATCCATAGAAGTTACTATTACAAAAAAAAAAATCAAATTCAAATGACAGATAGTTTGGCAATTCCCATGCAAAGTTCCAGGCTCTTTACTCACCTTTCAGCAAGTTTTAACACAGCGTTTCGTTCACAGCGTGTGGACTGATCTGGATTGTTTGGGAGTTCAAACTCCACTTTCTCCATGCACACAGCCAGCTTTGGTTAAAATATAAAGGATTTATAACTCCTCACTGGGAGGTGTCTAGAAAAATACACACTCCCACTGTCACTGGGTTAGTCTTAAAGACAACACTGTGTTCCACAACAGGGGGTGGTGGACAGTGACATCATCAGAGAAAAGCAGGGTTGCAGCAGAGCTGGAGCTGCTGTGCTCAGACGCAGGTTTTTCTCACCAGAACAACTCAGAGAAAGACAGATCTGTAACGGCTATTGAGTGTTAAGGAACGGAGCTGTGGGAAATGTAAGAACGTGTAAGGGGTGACATGACATCACCTTTGTACTGTCAATCTCATAACAGAGCTTTCCTCTCTGTCACTGACACACCAAACACCAAAGAAATACTCAGACAGACGGTGACAATTTCATACTGTACTTTATAGTCTTAAATGAACAGTAATTCTCTCTCAATGATCTGTAGTTTACACAGAGGAAATGCCAGAGCTTAACGTTAAAGTTGAAATCTGAAAAATAAATATCACTTTTAAGAGATTCGAGATTTCACCTGAACAAAGTGCTGACGGCTAGTGTTCTGCATTAATAGCTGGAAGACTTGTGAAATACTGCACAACTCCAAGAGACGGCTGTTCTCACGAGGGGCTGTGAGAAGAAGTCGATCACATACTGTAGGTTTTGGTCAGTCACAAAAAGTGCTTCTAAAATGAATCATACTGTGGCTTCGGACATTCAGTATACAGTAATGGTTCACAGTTCAAAGACAGGAGAACTCAAACTTACTGTTTAAAGAGTAAAACTTGGAATGGACTTATTGCACAGTGCCGACTCCCCGGTGCACATCACCATCTTATTACCATGAGCTCAGTAATGATCTAAATAAATAAATATATAAGAATGTTCCAGAAACAACCTGTCTCTCAAAAGTACCAGATTATTATAAATATGCAAATTAAAGGACAGAATTTCAAAGAAAACCAAAGTACATATTCTCCAAGTGCAGGGATTTTTTTTTGTGTTCATTTTCTGTTCATACTAACAATGTTTTAAAAAAACAGTATTATTTTCAACAAACATTTTGTACACCATGAAAGGAATCTAATTAAAAACTGTTGTAGCTTTCTAGTGCAGTTAAACCTTCTTTTATCTAGCAGAAAGAACACAGATTTTCAAGTTTTTACTTATGAAACAAATGGTGCAGAAAAAACGCCCACTTTCCGTTTTTTTTTTTTACAATACTTTCTATTTGTTTGTAAACTACTTTTTTACTGAAATTTTTACTTTATGAAATACCACAGCGGTTCTACAGCCCACAGTCTCTGTTCTGTAATTCCCTTCTTCATTGTGCTTCATACATTTTCAATAGAAGACAGATCTGGACTGCAGGCCGCAGTGGAACGCCACATTTGTGTATATAATATTGTGGTGATTTTGTCGGTGGAAACAAGAGAAAATCTTGTCTTTGTCATTTCGTCTCTTATACAGATGTAACAATGAGCTGTCCACCTACTGGACTTGGAACAGAACTTTAATTTTATCTAGATCTTAAGAAAGTGTAGCAACATTTTAGGAGTAAAGTTCAAAAATAACGTTGTAAAAATTCCTGGAACTTGTTATGGAGACTTGTGAGACAATGTTAAACTATTGTACAACATGTGTCTTGTTTATGCATAATATAAATCATGTTCTCACACGATAAAACCTAAAGCAACTAAGTAACAAGAAACAGTTGTGGGGAGGGGGTGTGGGGGGGTTCTTTCCCGTGACTCTTCCGAAGGCCGTTCACATACAGTGTCATCATCAAACAACTGCTACTAGGGAGTAACGTCTTTGTTCAACTCTGTGAAAACCCTGAACTGGTCAACCATGCACGTGCCGAGTAAAGTAAAACCCACTGAAGGAGACAGCGGTGACTCTGTCATCTTTGATGTAAGACGTTCCTCCAACAACTTCACAGTTTTTAAGAAATAATAAACTGCATTTGGATTAAATCTGAAATGACCTCCTTTACTCACATTTGTACACAGCCACTTCAGAGACCAGTGGAGAACCTCTTTGCGCCCATGTCTTATACACGTTTCACTGTTTGATACCCCCATTTCAAAATGAGCGCATTTCATCAAAGGAGTCACTCATGTTGATTCCTTTGATGTTGTTTTTCAGTCTTCAGAAAACTAAGCTACAGAACAAGAACTCATGTTACATTCATGGCGGTGGGCTGCTTAGAAAAAGAGCAAACTTAATAATCTATGGTTTCCTTAGAACCACTCTGTGGCAGTGGATATACATCTGAGATAAACATTTAGAGTTCAAAGTAACACCTCTTATTAAAGCTACATCTTGGTGCATATGATAAAGCTTTTACCACAAAAGTACATTGCTGCACATAAAGAGAGAAAACCTAGGATGAAACACATGTGGTTACTGTGTACTGCAGCTCAAGGCCTATACTGTTTTTTTCCTTCTTTTCTCCAAAATACAAACATATATTTAAACACGCCCTAGTATTATAAGTGCTTGCACAGGTATATATATACACAGTGTACAGCTCACCTATGAAGGTCTCTGTGTATTTCTAAGTGTACAGTATTGTAGATGTGTGTGTTACCAGTCCAGTGGGGAGGCCACACGAGGGCTGCGGGGGCTCTTTGGGTTTTCTGCAGCCTGATGATCACTGAGAGCTCTCTGTGGAGGAAACACACACAAACATTCATTAATAAGTAAAAAAATAACAACAACAAACCAAAATAATAGCTCTCTTGCTGACCTCAAACTTTTTTATGAACTCTGCAAAGATTCCAAAGAAGGCCTCCGTGTTGGTGGCTTTGCTGTCTTCTCCAAAGTAAGAAGCAGTTCTGCCAAATTCCTCCATTGCTCTCTGCTGCAGGGACTCCAGAGACTGGAGGGCAGGGTGACTGTTCTCCAAAAAGTTCTACACATTTCGGAGTCAAGGGCCCGCATTTGTTTCATGATTTCATCATCTACAACTCTGTTCTGAAGGAAATCGTACTTTAGTGAAGGATACGCCCATGACGACAGCGAAACGGTCCTCGGCAGTTGCAGGCATCTTCTGACAGGCTGAGCGAATGTCCTGGATGGTTGTGTGAAGGTCACTGAGGTCGGATGTGATGGTCCTCTGGTTGACTATGAATGTAGGAAAGACGGTGCTCATTATGACACTCATATTTAAAATGAAAAAAAGAAAATCCAAAAATGTTGTATTCTATGCTAAAATATTCTAAAGCAATAAAACAGAGTGCATCGACTGACCTTTGGCTGCCAGAGGAACCATCGTAAGTTCTTTAGAGAAATCCAAAACATCAGGGAAGTGTTGGCATAAGGACTTGACCAGAATATGGAGGAATGTGGACTTCCCATCCACCGTTTTAGTCGTGCTCAACTTTGGGTGACAGAATGAAAAACGTCAGCTGTGCTGGTGTGATAGAGAGGCATCAGAGTAAAAATGGATTTCATGAATGCAAGGTATACAAGGTACCTGTGTAAGAAAGTTAATCTTGAAGCCCGTTGGCTTGTTGGTTTTTGGCTGGCTGTTGTTTAAGTAATTTCCCATCGCCAGCACAAACTAAGTAAATCAGAATATTATAAAAAAAGAAAATGATTCTTCTGATTCAAGAAAAAAAAAACTGCATTCACCTTTGCATAAGAAATCATTTCTCTGTGAAGAGTGCGAAACAAACATATAGGACATTTTTAAAAATGTAATTTCATTGCCCTTCCCATCTTCCTGGTTACCTCTAGTATCTTAGCGAGTTTCTTGCTGGTCTTCAGTTCCATGGAGGCCTTACAGATGCAGTCAAACGCTCCTCTCAACTCCTCTGTCTTCTCAGGTAGAGAACACTTAAAGAGGAGGCTCTGGAGGCGCGTCTCATACTCTGGCACTGACAGCATCTGACAGGAGGCACACACACACATACACAAACAAAGAAAACACCTTCAATACCACAAACCACCCCTAGTTGGCTCTCTATTGGTCAGAGGGACACGTTAGGGGCCGAACACTAAAAAAAAAAGTAATAAAAGTAGTAGTAAATACAGTGGTGCTAAAAGCTAACAAATAATTTCAGTGAACAGTAAAATACACCAGTGCTACAGTATTGGAACTCTACCTGCAACACAAACTGGTCTGGCTCGCTAAGTTTGCTGGGATCCTGTCGGTACTCCTTGTACTTTTTGACCTCCTCGGCGTCAGGAGCGTACAGCAGGAGCTGCTTGATGTGGGTCTGCTCCAGTCTGTCCGTGGCCATGTTCATGAGCACCTGACGGAGCTCCTCAGGAGACAGCTTCAGGTGGGCTATCAGGATGGCTGGACGACAAGGAAGAAGTTAGCATTTTAATGTTGCGTGGGTGATATACGAATAACAATAATGAATAAAGACAAATGTGTTCGTTTCATACTTACATGCATTGTAGGCTTTCTTATGTGACAAAATTTCTATCACATCTTTCTTCTTGAACCCTTCCGGGTGCTGCAGTGACTCCGGAGCAGGAACTACAGTGGGATCAGTGCGGACACAATGCTAAATATTCATCTTATTATATAATTCCAATTCAGTCTAAATTGTTGCTCAGGGGTTAATTAGCTGATGATTAAGTACTTGATGAAGAAGTATTTGAAATATCAATGTAACCACTTGTACTTACTGGCGCTCTTCTGTGTCCCAAAGTGCAGTTCCAGATCCAGATACTTCACCATGTCGTGCAATTTATCGTAGTCAGAATTCGCTCCAAGCTACAAAAGATATGCACCTTAACCACACGGAAATAAGAACCTCTTGACTTCATTTTTGAAGTTTCAGTTATATACATACCATATACCAGCCTCTGACAACTCACCTGTCCCCAGATGGTTCCCTCTGAATTCTCCACCTGCTCCCAGCGCAACCTCTTCACACTCATGTGGTGAGAGTCCATCCTTGACAAACTTGGTCTGGGCAGTGGTGGAGGAGAGCAAGGTGGGGGCAAAGGTGGTGGAGGGGGAGGCTCGAGATGCTCTGTGGGGTCTGACAGAGAATGGGGCAGGGTCTGGGGCTGACTCTGTACATGTGATTGGTTCAGGTGGGCTGACTGGGCTTGTGGCTGGTTTTGGGATTGCAGCAAGTGATGTGAGGGCTGGGACTGAGGACGAGTGGTTTGGGTGGAGGACTGGACCTGATGCTGCAATTGGGGAAGAGGTTGAAAGGAGGAAGGGGTGGGCTGATGTGGTTGGAGGGGCTGAAAGGTAGAGAGTAGAGGCTGAGGCCTGAGGGGCTGCTGTGGAGGATGAATGACCTGAATCTGGTGCTGGTGGTCCTGTGGAGGGGGCTGTGGGGTCATGTGGTGGATGTGGTGAATTTGAGGTGAACCAGAGAGGTTGTGGGTCTGCTGTATTGAGTGGGGTCGCTGAGGGGAGGGCTTGGTGGGCTGAGGGTGATGGGTTTGGTGGCTCTGCTGCACTTGGTTTTGATTTTTCACACTCCTGCGGCTCTGGTGTGAGTGGTTGTCACGTTTGAGCTGAACTGGGAGGGAGGCCGGCTCCTGCTGAGCCTGATGGAGCAGCTCGGTGGAGGAGTGATGAGGCCTCGGTTGGTGCATCTGATGGGCCTGATGGAGCAGCTCGGTGGAGGAGTGATGTGGCTGACCACGGTGCATCTGATGATGAGCTTGATGAAGAAGCTCTGTTGAGGAGTGGTGCGACTGCCGCTGCTGCATTTGGTGAGCCTGATGGAGAAGCTCTGTTGACGAATGATGGGCCTTGGGTTTGTGTATCTGGTGGAGCAGCTCCGAAGAGGAGGAGTGAACATGGGCTTGCTGCATCTGTTGAAGCATCTCAGCCGATGAGTGGAAGGCCTGGGTTTGCTGCAACTGGTTCAGCATCTCGGTCGAAGAGTGATGCGCTGGAGGTTGGTGCATTTTGTTGAGCATCTCGGCTGAAGAGTGGTGCTGATGGGATCTGAGGCCCTGTTGACTTTGGTAGATACCCTCAGCATACTGAGCTTGTTGACCGTGGTGGGCTGTTGGATGGGCCGTTGGTTGATGAGGCGGAGGAGCTGAACGAGACTGACGCCGGTGGAAATGACTCTGGTGGACCTGCTGCTGCTGCTGCTGCTGTGCTTGGCGCATCACGTAGACAGGATGGTTGGGATGGTGATGGCAGGAGTCTGGTGAGGGAAGCGGGGGTAAGGACTGGTGAAGTTGTTGTAGAGGAAGATGTGAGTGGGCTTTTTGTTGTGTCGGCTGGACAGGCATTGAGTGATGACTCTGGTAGATCTGCTCTTGATAGGCTTGTTGCTCCTCGTAGGCTTGACGCTGCTCATAGGCTTTAAGTTTCTCGTAGGCTTTTTGCTCTTGGTAGGCCTGTAGCTCCTCTAGAGCTTTCTGCTCCCTGTAGGCTTGACGGTGTTCGTGGGCTCTCTGCTCTTGATAGGCTTGAAGCTCTTCTAATATTTTCTGCTCTTTATAAGCTTGGCGTTGCTCGTGAGCTTTTTGTTCTTGAAAGGCCTGAAGCTCCTCCAGAGCTTTTTTCTCCTTGTAGGCTTGACGCTGTTCATGAGCTTTTTGTTCCTGGAAGGCTTTAAGCTCTTCTAAAGCTTTTTGCTCCTTGTAGGCTTGGCGCTGCTCATAGGCTTTCTGTTCTTGATAGGCCTGAAGTTCCTCCAATGCTCTTTGTTCCTTGTAGGCTTGGCGCCGTTCGTACGCTGGTCGGTCCATGTAGATTTGCTGCTCTTCAAAAGCTTTTTGCTCCTCATACTTCTTTTGCTCATGAGCTTGTCTCTCTTTGTAGTTCTTCTCCTGATAGGATTGTTTCTCTTGGAAGGCCTGCTGCTCCTGAAACAGCTGCTCCTCCATAGACTGCTGCTCCTCATATGTCTGTCTCTCTTCATAGGCCTGCCTTTCCTTGTAGGTTTGTTTTTCTTGGTAGGCTTTCAGCTCTTGTATGGTAGCATGAACCTGTACATCTTCTCTTGTGGGTTGTATTTTATGGAGAGATTGCCGTTTAAGTGGTGGATTGCTGCGGGGCGGAGGTGGTGGAGGTGGTCCAGATTTGCGGCGAATAGGCACGTATGCCCGAGGAGAGTGTTCAGGGGTGTAGTGCAGCTGCTGCTGCTGCTGCTGTATTTGCTGCGGCTGCTGAGGCTGAGCAGGTGCTGATGTAGGAGGAGAGGAAGGAGATGGAGGGTCATTGAACTGAACAGGTGGGGGAGGAGGAGGTGTCATAGGTGGGGGAGGGATCTGGTCTGAGGATGAGGAGTAGGTGAGGGAGGAGCCGTTCTCCTCTCCACTACTGCTCTGAACATCACTTGGGCTGCTCAGCTCTGGAGCCACAAATCCTCCATTTTCTTCTTCATCTACTGCCAGCTCCTCTTCATTATCCTCATCCTCCTCATCGGGGAAACCCATCTGTACATCATCCTGACATTGACATTAATCAAACCTTTAAAGTTATCCAAGTTATTCCACATTTGAACATACTTCTAATGCAACATACTGTACATTTTCAAATTGTTCCAAATTGTGTTTTAAGGTAAGAGTTGAATTGTAAAAGAAATCAAATCAATTGTGGTCAACATTTTGGTTTAAAGTGATGACAATCTCTCATCTAGACTAGATTGAGAGAAATGTGAACTTTATAGTGGCAGGTGGGTGTCAGACCACTGCACCACCTCGGCCTCTTGTTTGAAGAACAATTACTTAACGTTGTTTCGTATGTATGTGCAGCACAAAATACAAATCAGTGTTGATGTGAACGTACCTCCTCATAGTCGTTCTCCGGAGTCAGAAAGTCATCGACGATGGACACCTTCTGCCCCAGCTGCTCGCTGAGAGCATCCAGGAAGAGATCTGTGTCATCTGAACGAGGAGGTTTGGAGAAGGTGTAACGCCGTTTGTTGTTGCGATGAGCCGGAGGACTGCACGGGAAGTCGTCAAGGTCTGGGGGTGAGGGTGAGGGAGCTGGACTATCTAAGCTGATGTAGGGGTTGGACTCCCCGCTGGTCTGGCTTGGCAGCCCTGACGGATAGAACTGGGATGGAGGGGAGCTGGACACAGGCTCCTGCCAAGTTGTGAGGGGTGAGGGACCTTTTCGGCTCCCTTGAAAAAAAGGAAACCCAAAAGACAGTGCATAAACAAAGATGACACAAAATCAGGACATTTGTATTCATGAAATTCAAAGAAACAAACATGTTTTGGGCTTTTAGCGTTTATATAAGTGCCTAAAATGTTTGTAAGCAGATAGTGACTATCTAAGGAACTCCAGGACATGCATTTAAATGAATATGATAAGTGTATATTTTAGTTCCACTTCCACCATCACCATGCTCTTTCCTTCAGGACAAATTAAAGGCAAACTACGGCCCGTGGGCCATATATGGTCCACTAGGCATTCTAATATGGCCTGCCAAACAGTACAAGGTAAAGACTAATTTAATTTCTTCTGTTTCATGCATTGTAAGGAATTGATTGTAATTTCAGTTGTTGCCACTAAATGGCAGCAGATATCAAATGTGTCACATTTTCTCTGAAAGGTTTAAACTTGTAGATATTATTTATATATTTTCACCCAAACATTCTTCATCCAACTAATACTGAATTTTTAACCCTTGTTTTGGCCCACAAGCCATATGTTTTGCCTACCCATGGCCTACACTTACACTCACACACCAATGTTAAAGTCAACCGTAAGCATGTCATGTGACTACCTGTATTAGCCTGTAAGGTAGGGGATACTGTGCGTGAAGGAGGATCCAGATCTAGTAAACTCTCGGGGGCAGGAGGGGGGCGGCTCTTCAGAGATTTAGACCTCTTGCCTGAATACAAGTTCTCCAGTTCAGCATACACTGCTGACAACTTGTAGGGTGTAGAGAGAAACCAAAGTCAGATGTCAAGTAATAACCATAATAAATATATATCCATAACCACAGATGTATTGCTACATACATTGGTGAGATTGCTGGGGGTCTCTGGCAGAGAGGTACCATCTCCTGACTGCCTCTCTCCAGGAGTCAACCTCATTCCTGGCTCCAGCACTGGCTCTGCCCGTATCCCTAAGTTACATTAGATTCATTAGAATGACTTTCAAGATTTTGCCTGGTTTTTGAGAAAGGGCTTTGGAATAAGGATCTGCTTTATTAACAATAATGACATGACTTTAACGATAGTGGGGATCAACTGTGGTCAATGTGTGTGCGTATTATTAGATTGTGGTTTCTAATATGTGTGATGTGGGCAGCTGCCAAGGGCAGTCATTTGCCCCAATCAGTTTACTCCTGCTCTCTACAGCTGCAGCTTAAGCCTTGGAAATCCAGGTCAGGTTGATCTCTAAATCACAACAACTTGTCAACCTCACTGCCTTAAATCTCTCAGGCCTCAAAACACACTATAAACTGTGAACACACGTCAGATTTAATCAAATGTCACAATTGCTGATCACTAAAAGAATCATGTACAACTCCGACCAAAGTCTACATAAATCATAAGTGATAACAACAGCTGTAAGCATTAGATGTTCTTAGTGATGACAATAATTTCTAAAATATGTGAGACGAAAATGAAGATTTGTACCCATGCCCAAATGTGTGCCAATGACCAGGTCATCAGAACTACGTCCCCTCACACTGCTCCTGTACGTGTTTCCTGTTACCCTCATGGAGCTGCTACGGCGGTGGGGTTCTGGGACAATCTCAGGCTCCGGAGGGGGAGGAGGTGGTGGAGGTGGCGGTGGTGGTGGAACTGGAACAAGCACATATTAGCAGTGTGGAGAAAGAAACTAAATGTGTAAGTAGGAAAGGAGCGCAGGAGTAAAGAATTCTTATGAGTCTTAAAAAAGGAAGTACAAAAAGGTAATGATGTTCACACACCTGGGGCTTTGAAGCCAAGGAAGCGTGAGATCTTGTTTTGGCAGTGTTCCTGCTCCTCATAGGTCAGCAGCTGGTAGACAAACTGCCAGATCACCTGTTTGGCTGGTGTATCCAGCACCGGGAACACATCTACGATCAGAGTGTCAACATTCCTGTTCCAAGAAGAAAAAAGACGCAATGTGGTATTTGGCCAAAGATTTGTGTGACTGTAATCTTTGCTTTTACATTAAACTAGGACTTAAGATAAAAGTTATTCAGTCACCTGAAATACAACGACACAACTTTGAATTTTTATTATCTCACCTGTGCTGAAAGAAATTCTCCAGAGCCTTGCAGATGATGTATCTCTCCTGGATGGTGAGCAGATGCTCCAGCTGTTGGCCAAAGGTGCGACCCTGGACCCTGATACTTGGAGGGAGAATCTCTGCCACCCACTGTAGGGAGCTGAGCACAGGGGAGTGGGCACGTTCTGCCAGAAGACCACCACCTGCAAGATCCTGCTCTGTGTGAGGAAAGGAGGGAGGGCCTTCCTCCACCACCAAGGTGGGCATGGCACCGCTGCCCTGCAGCATGGACACCACCTTCTCATGGGCAGAGGTCCTGAAGGAATAAACATGGAGAGTGGTAGTCATTCAGGAGTCAGAATTATTATAAATGAGTGGCAAGAGACAACTTTAATTTATATATGGAGTTCTACAAAAGAACTGCACAAGAATGTAAAGTTTATATTTCAAAAGAAAAAAAACTAAATCATAACATTGATGCAGCTTTGAAAACAGAACCTCATGTCAAGTCCGTTGAGAAAAAGGATCCGGTCTCCTGGTTTTAGACCTGCCTTGTCTGCTGGACTCCCTGCATAACAGAAAATGAGTAATAGAAATATGAGGAACTAATCCAGATTAAATAGTACATTACGAAACTTTAGTTAAACCACACTTTTGAATATAAATCAATCTTATTTATGTACGAAACTTTAGTTAAACCACACTTTTAAATATAAATCAATCTTATTTATAACAGCCAAAAGATTTCTAAAAAAGTCAATCCAATTGGGCATTTAAAACTTACCAGGAATGATAGAGTCTATCCAGACTGGAGCATGACCTCTGAGGGTGAAGCCAAAACTCATGTTGCCTTTGCAAACTCGCACTGTCCTGAGGGGAGAGACGTAAGCTTTGATTAAAGGACTGTTAACCATAAAGCAAATAATTTGTTATATACTAATTATGTGTGGTATATGTATTAAAATGTGTTTGCCATAAGGTAATATCGATAAGGTGTTCAGCTTTATAGTATCAGGGACACCCCATTGCCATTATAGCTCCCTCTACAGAGGAGAAAGAGGAAAATACACATCCTATTTATGCCAACACTAACTCAAAATTCCTGCAGGAGAATCCAGGGAAAACCCAGTTGTCAAAAAAGTTTTCTGAGCATTAAATATGATTTATTAATTACAAAACTTAAAAATGACAAAACTTTGTAAAACCCTGAATCATGAGCAGAGAAGCTCCGAGTGGACTCCCAGCTGCCACCGTATTCAGCTGACTACTTTAAATTCACATCCTGCTTAAATATGAACCTCCCTCAGGAGCTGCATAACAACAACACAGGCTGCAAGAAAGGGAAGAGTGGATTACTGAGACACTTCAATCTACATTTAAACATGATATGTGTGTAACCGTGTCATTTGGTAACTTTTTTTCATCAGATGATGATGTGAGAAAGGTCTAGGATCTGTTGGTAAAGGAAATGAAAAAACCCTGACACCAAACACAGCTCAGGTCCCGATCCATCCAATCATGTTTATGCTTTTTAAACACATCTTATGTTGAACTGTTTAACTTGTTATTATTTTAATTGGACGTTTAAGAATAACAGACAGATGTGTCACAGCATTTATACCAAAAACGTTCACTCGGTCGCTGCAGCATCATACTCACCTGCAGTTGGTGCTGCTGCCACTGGAGTGGCCAGCTATGAGCGACGTGGTCTTTCTCATGCCTCGGGTGGGTGGGCCGACACTTTCCTCTGCGTGGGTGCGTGGAACAGAGCTGGCACGGGTGGAAACCAGAAGGCGCTCCGGGTGGTCCTCACTCCGGCTGCGGCGAAGGTGGCTACGGCTAGGGTCACTGAAGCTCCGCCCCTTGAGCCTGCTCATCAGGCTCTGGGAAACCACTTCGTCAAAACGCTCCCGATGCTTCTTGGGAATGAAGATCCTGACAAACATGATGTATTCAGAGTCAACCTCAGACTTGACTTAGAGAAAAAAAGCTCTACAGCAGAGAAGATATGCTGCAGCTCCCAGCTCGGCGCCCCCACTGTTCTGACAGTGAAAAGATCATTTACAGATTCTTACATAAGGACGCACACACAAATGAAAGTTGCGTCAGAACATCATCGTAGCCACGAAATGAGCCAAAGATGAAAATGTTCCAGTTGCAGGATGCACTTAATTGGTTCAGAAATAGTTCAGCTGCCGTTATCTCATGGGAGATCCAGTGACGAGTGACTGGTCCAGCAGTAGCTGATGCACGAGTGTGTGTCGTTAGGAGCAGATGTGTGTGTGTGAGAGAATGAGTTAAGTTGTGCCGTTCTGTCACATGAGCAGCTGCAGGTAGGAATATCCAGTGACAGTCTGCAGCTAATGTGTGAACGGAGGGGAGCAGAGTGACAGAGACATTACTACCATAAAGCTTCACACTCTCTCTGCCAATGTTATATTTTACTCCTATTAGCACCACCTAAAAATCTACTGACGTTTGTCAGGGGAAGATTTGTAAGTTTAGAGCACTGGCCTTTCTCTTATCTGTTCTGTGTGTTACACACAGCAGAGATGACAAGATAACATGAAATGCGCACAAATGAGATTTCTATTACATTTATGAATTTAGTTTGGCCAAATTTCTCAAACAGGAGAATCAATTGGACCCGACTTTATTGGTGGGAGATGGGAGATATTTTCCAGTAGTGTCTAAATTGGTCCTTTATCAGAGATACTGAAATACACCTTCACCTCAGACGGTTGAACACACGGCTCATTTGCCTCTTTTTATTGTCTTTGGCATATTTCTTCCCACTATCAATTTTTATAGCTCCATCCTCCACGACAGCTCATCTCTTATCTGTTCATCTTCAAATAAAATCTCCAGAGCATCATGAATAAAAAAAGAGAAACGAAGACTCTGAGAGTGTGTTTGTGTATGAGACACGACTGCGTTCCCAAATGCCACTGCTGAAGGATCAGGTTTTTAGAACTGTATTTGTCCCTTGTTAAGTACAATTTGGGAATAAACAATTTGGTTTTATATATGAATAATTAATAATGACACAGAAGCTGAGCTGCTCATATTTGATGGTATAATCCCAGGATGAAATCATTCTTTTCTGACCTAAAACTTCTTCCTCTCAAACCCAAACACATAACAAGAATAATCCGTTGGACAAACACATGAACTAATTCATGTCTGGTTCTAAGGTTTCTCTCTTCACATCAATAAACACAACACCCTTGGTGTCCCTTTAACACACCAGTAATCTGTGGAGAGAATATTGTTTGAATTGTAAACCTTTACAACCTTCCAGAAACAGCTTTCCTCGATCACTCACCTCTGCCCTGGGACAGCCTTATGTCAACATTTAATGACATTCTAATCTAAAAATGTAGTCATAGCCTACACTTGTTCAGAGCCTCTCATCCTGCACCACCCTGGCTGTACTGTTGGAGACGTGCTGCTCACACTTGAGACAGAAAAATAGCAGATATCTTTTTGGGTAGATTTGGAAGTTGTAAAATGACAATAAAAAATACAAAACACACAGAATAAACTCATAGGTACAACGTGCAGGATTTAGCAACATCTAGTGGTGCAGTTTAGTATCACTTTGCTGATCCTGTTCATGATGTTAAAAAGTACACTGTGAAATGTAATTGTTTAAGCTAAGTATCCCAACTAATCGTTATTGTACGTAAAGTAAAATCAAATACAGCCAAATATAGAACACAATTGTATACTACATATATACTGTAGTAGTAGAAAGTCCAAGTGTGTACTTGTGTATAACACCAGCCATTAAGTGTTAAATGTGCAAAGAGTCATTCAGAAAAATAACAGCAGAGGGTAGAATATCCTGTCTGTAGGAGACAGTGATTAAATGCACCGTGTGTTTTTATTTTACAACCCAAGGACAAAACTGTTCTGGTTCATCCCAGCAGGGAGCCAGTCATCAAAGGAGCCCAGTGATTCTGGTCGGCGTTTCAACGTGAGTAAACTTGAAGAGGAATAGTGAGAGAGTGGAGTGAGAGACAGCGACGGTAAGAGCCAAGACAAGTGGGCAGAGTCAATGAGAAAAGACACAAGGGGACAGTTTGAGAAAAAGAGAGAAAAATATGACAGAAGAGAGGGAGAAAGAAGAGAACGAGAGATTTTTCTAGGCCAGGGTCAAAGAACTGCAGGGAATAGAGCCAGTCTGTGTTTTTATTTTCTATGTAGGCCACGGAATTTTCCCAAACATGTATGCATCATGACAGCTCCTTAGACAGTCTGCAGACAGGGAGAACTCAACACAACTCAACACAACTTCATTACTGTACATTTTTGCAACTATGGACTTCTGTTGCCTTTTAATTTGGTTTCATTTTAGAGCCAATCACTGAACAGTCCACAGTAACTAAAGGAATACTCGGCATCTTTTGAATTCCAGCTCAAACAAGTGAGTCCAAACTTTCCGGCCACCTTTGCTAAAGTTGGATGTAGGCCTCAGTGTGCCCTCGATTATAAGGAGGGCGAGAGGAGGCTAAAAATAAGCAGAAAAGAGGCGTGGATCAAGGTCACAGCACAGAGACAGATGAGCGGCAGCTAAAACCAGCTGGGAAACTCATTCCAAGGAACAATCTCATTCTAACCCACTTCTGATCAGACACAATTGATCAGATTAGCAGGGAGGAGGCAGAAACTGTAAGGGCTTGACTAGTGAGGAAGATAAAAACCTCAGCAACAGGAAGATTGGACAAAGCACCGAATATCATAGTCGTATAAGGTGGCAACAAACATCAAATTCAATCAGTAGAAACACAGAAAACAGTAAAACCAGTTCAGACCACATCACCACAAACACAGAGAAGGAACAAAGAAGAAAGAAAGTCCATACCGAAAGTGTCTGGACAGGTTTTTATCTCTTCCCATGACTCTTCAGGGCTTCCAGGAAGTGCCTGTGCTCAGTCAAGCCATGGAAATGTTCCTCCGTTATCTCAGTGAGTCCCCATCTACTTTGAGCAAAGAACGGCCCGGAACACGGGGAAAAGATGAGAAAAATGGAGCAGAAAGATGTCCTGGATCTCAAACGAGATTGCTCCACACCCTCAAAGCAGCCCAATGAACAAAAAGACGAAAAGAAAGAGAGGGAGGGAGAAAAGTGTAAAAATGGCTGCGGTGCACATCCCTCCACTCCTCTGAAACATCCTCAGGCAGCAGCAGCAACAGTAGCAGCAGCAGCTGGTCTCCAACTTTATCTGTGGAGCAGCACTTGTCCCTTGTTTCCATGTTGCACCAACTTCTTCGGGCAGCGGAAGAAGGAAAAGTGAAGGGTCACAGTGAGTTTGTCTTCTGCAGCAGTGCTACAGCATGGTCCTTGATAATGAGTCATCCATCATTTGACAGTGAGAGCTAGGGAGTGACAATTCATCGCTCCTCTCAGAGGAGGAAGGAAGAAAGAATGAGATGATGAAGAAAGGAGTAAGTGAGGAGGGAGAGAGAAGGAGGAAGGCCTCTGTGGAATATTATAGGCAGGTCAGACAGCACAAAGTGTGTGTAAGTGCGTGTGTGTGTGTGAGAGATAGATAGAGAGCAAAAGAGAGATGAAAGATTCTGTGATGTAAACAGACGCATTTATATAAATGTATCTATATATAAATAGATGAACAGACAGAAACAGGTAAACTGGTGGTTTGATAACATCAGGGTAAGAGTTTATATCTGGCTAAATTGATATTGCGTACCAAAACATATTAATATACTGTAAAAACGACAGTAGATTTATTGTCCAGCCCCAGTCTATTCTAGCCTCAAGTAGATTTATAATCCAGCCCCAGTCTATTCTAGCCTCAATGGCTAACTCTTATATTCTCCATTCTACTCTAATAATAAGTTTTACCAGCAGTTTAATTGACATACTACATACTGTATAATGGTACTGAACCCAAGCACTCAAATCATGGGCCAAAGAAACATTTATAGCACCCTCTGCAGGGGAATAAGTGTAGCTGACTCCTCTTTGTTTAGAAACAGAAACTTCTGAAATGCTATTAAATAGATAATTGTCATCTGAAAGCCTGTGTAAAAAATAAAAATGCATTCACACATGGGTGTAGTATTACATGAAACACCAATTAACACAAGAGCTGCCAGAACTGCTCATCATTCTGTCCGTGACATCTGTGGACAAGCGTGAACTCCCACACTCACTTCTGTGGATTTACAGACATTTAAGGAATTGACATTGCAGAGCGTGTCAGAAACCTAAGAGAGAATTTATTAACAGAAATAGGCTGCTCAAAAATAGAACACATCCCATGGGAGGACAAAGCAAATCGGCTCACAGACAGATTGTGCACAACGTAGCCCAGCTGCTAGTTTTTCAGAAGAACACAGAAGAAAAAAAACTTCTGGTTACCACACTCCTCTGACACACACCTGTAATTACCAACAATGTGTAATCTCTGTGTGTGTGTGTTAATGTGTGAGTAATAGAAGCAAGGAGACTGACAGGCGGCTCCAGTGACACACACACACACAAACATACACACAGTGATGGATGTTTACAATGTAGTTGTAATTAGGTCGTTGATTAGTTAAGTCAAATCAACAAAATCCACATCAGATAACAGCCTCATCAGTGTCATCATCAGTTGCCAAGTAGGATAAAAAAAAATAAAATTAAAAACTGAAATGAATGTTTTACTGTAAACAAAACATAAATAAAGCCCTATTTATATGTGAGTAAATATTGCAAGAACACATCCATGAAGAACACATACGGACAACATACGGACCTTTCATTTAGCAAGCACCAATGACAACCTCGGTGAAATGCTGAGTCACAGACTACCCAGAGTGTGGGTGCGATCCTCTGGAGACCATGAATATCTGTGTAGTACTTGTTCACATTCATAATACTTCCCTGGTCCCAGAACTCTGAGACAAGACCAGGAGGAGAAACAACCACCATGGCAGCAGAAAACAAACCCTTCATACGTCACAACATTATGGCAGCTACGGCTAAGTAAGGTAGAGTAGATAGACACCTGGAGGATTGTGGGTTCAATTCTATACTTAGATGGAGGATTGTGGGTTCAATTCTATACTTTTCAATTCTATAGGTTTTATGTCACACCCAGCTGGACAGCAGAACCTGTAGTGTTAAGTACTCTGAGTCCTACAGACTATATAAACACAGACCATTTAAATTTAATGGGCCCAGAAATAGGAAGGGGACAGAATGACTGAAAATTAACTTTCACAGAGGAAGAATGCATTTACCTGATGCTACGTGACACTGAAGTGACTCACACTTTTACAGGGAGTCTACAGTATGTCTAATTTGTTAGGGTGAAAAGCATGTTACTGAAGTTACCGGTCTTTCTGTACTCCAATAAATTTAGCTACTAAAACTAAAAAGGGTACATGAAGCCTATGGGAAGATACATCACCTAAAGAAGCAAACACTCCTTTTTTATTTTATTAAGTGCATGTACATCCTCCACACAGTCTTCATGGATACAGCTGAGGTGTGATAAATCATAAAGGCATGATTCAGAAGGAGAAAAGGTCTAACAAAGCTTTACTTCAGACCACTCAATCTTCACAAAATAAAGTGAATGGATGTTATATTTTTTTGCCAGCCGAAAGCACCAAAAACTAAAAAAAAACTTTCAAATGTTGTGTACCATGCTGTAACATCTCAATCCACCACCATCCTCTGAAACATGTCTTCTGCGGGAACTCAAAACCACATGAATTTTCAGCACTCACCTGAGACAGCAGCTCATTATCTTCCAGCAAAGACGTTCAAAGCAGAGGCTGTGTGTGTGTGTTTGAGAGACAGTGCCGTGTGTCAACACAGTCCAGTGATCTGCGCATTTTTCTGGTTTTGTTCCTGTGCATATCAGCTCCAGCAGCAGCAGCAGCAGCAGTAAACTGGCTGTACTGTATGCAGACGAGGGAATAATAAGGAGACGTGATGCGATCCACCCCAAAAAAAGGAGCAGGTATGAAAGGGAGGCTGACAGCTGACAGGGAGGAATGGGAGAGAGGAGCAGCTGGGAGAGGAAGTCCAAGTGTGTGCAGTGGTGATGTTTGTTAGGCTTTAGACAAATGCAGCAGTGATGAAAAGGTTTCTAACCAAACCCTTGTGAACTGAACCGAAGGAAAAAGTAAACAAAATAAATGATGTGGAACCTTTTGATAGGATAGAATCTACAAAAGGATTTTCATGCAGTTATTAAATCGTCAACTGTTTGAGCTGTACGTTGTCATGTTTTTGCCACGTTTTGCTCATTAGCTCTTTCGTATATCTTGGCTACTGTATCAACTTCTATTGATTTGCTTCATATACACTTCAGAACTAACTTAACTTAGCCTACAGTATGCCTACTTTTAGTTCTGTTTGTTCTGCTGTTTGTTAACCTTTAGTCCTACAGTGTGTAAATTCAGCCACCTTTGTTTTCTTCAAGTTATTGCCATGCTAGCTTTGTATTGATGAACTTTAGCAATTTAATTGTTTCCATCTTGTACTAATTTCTAAGCAATGAACAATACATTTATGCCCGAGAAGCTCAGATTACATTTGGATTAAACAAAAACATGGATCCATACTGTTCTGGACGGACAGGTTACCTGACATTGTCGATCAGCTGTTGATGCTCCTCTGTGATCAGGATATCAGGCAGGGCCTCAGCCAGACTCTCCACATCCCTGTCAGCAGCGTACTGCTTTAGAACCTCAAACAGCTGTTCCTTCACATCGGGCTCCTCTCCGAGCACGTCCTCCACCTGACAGAGACAACGACAAACGTCACTACATCACAGATACAGTAAAAACACTGAAACAAATCTGGACTTTTCTCCCACCTTCCTATTGAACTCCATTGCCTTGTGGGCCCGACTCTCCCTGACACTGTCTCCACTCTGTGACAACACCCTCATGCTGCTGCTCAGTCTCTTGGGTCGCCGGGCCATGCTAAGAGTGCCTAGTCTCAGAGGTCGACCCTGGGCTGCTTTGATCATGGCCGCTGCTGTTTCATGATGCTTTACTGGGATGCCGTTGACCTCCAAGACGTAGTCGCCCACCTTCAGTCCACTGCGAGCTGCCGGTCCGTTGGGGATGCTGTCCTCCACCATGAGAGGGCTGTCGCCGACTATGGTGAATCCAAACCGGCCGTCAGGACCTGGTGTGATGTCAATCTGAAATTCAATTCAAACTAAATGTTTTTTATCCTTTGTCAGCAGAAACAAGAAAAACATTTTGTCTGCGGCTGACCTGTTCAATTCGTGACACCACCCCAATGCTGGGTGGGACGGTCTTGAGAGTCTGAGCCAGAGCGATTAGTGCTGGTGTGCTGAGGTTGGTCACATCCTGACCCTCAATATCCACCACCTGGTCTCCGGGCTGCAGACCAGCCAGGAAGGCACTACTGCCCTCTACCACTGACAGGATGTAACTGGGCCCAGTGCCACCCAAACGGAAACCAAAGGCCTCTGGCCAGTTCTGATTGGTGGCTGGAAGACCAAGGTCTGCAGGATGACATGAAAACAGAAGAGTAATTTTGCAGGGAAAACGCATAAAATGTGCAGCCTGCAGGAACTTCCTAAAAAACTAAAAGAAAAAGTTTTTTTTTAATTCGTCTGCAGCATCTGGATTTTCTTTGGTCCTTTTCTTTTTGCAAGACGTTAGAAAGTTTCTGGGTTTATCATGGTGAAAAATAGACTGTGTTGGTGGCAGTAACGCAATTCAAAGTTGACAGCTGTCATAAAATCATTCTGCACACAGAGCACAAGTTTAGCTGCAGGGCACAACTGCAAATTAGCATCCACTCCTCAGGTTGATAAATGAACCAAGGATCTTTATCAATGGTCCCAGAAACATATGTGAATCATGTAAGAATTTAAAAAAAAAGAAAAAAAGAAACTTTATCTGGAGCAGCAGCTTCCACAGACAAACAGGCTGACTATAAAATGGAGGTCAGCTGGTCCGTGGGTTTAAATAGGGCACCATAGTGAAGATGCTGCCTGGCTGTCACAGCAGGTATGCTGCTCTCAGTAATTAGGCCGAGGATAACAGGACAAAACAGACAAGACTACAACGTTAATAGGCATTTTCAGAGGTATGCTGCTCTCAGTAATTAGGCCGTGGATAACAGGACAAAACAGACAAGAGTACAACGTTAATAGGCATTTTCAGATTTATGGACATATGGAATGCATACATGGACATGGGTTATTTTTAAATCTTGGTAATAAGCCCGGAAGCTGACCTGCTGCCCTCCCTCTGGTCACTGACCCCATTCTGCTGCAGTCCCTACAAACTTATTTTAGATTATCGTACATGTAGGACATTCATATTTTTGTGAGGGTTTTATTCTGCATCTCTGACTACACTTAATAAATCCAGTTTGTCTCATCAAGTGGCTAACCCACTTGATAAAACAATGTTTCCAATCTGACAATCACAGACCATAAGTGCACATTTAGAAAAGAAAAACACATTTCATACATGTGAGACAATGTTTGTAAAGGAAACCGTGTTAGAAACGATAAACAGCGCAGTGAAATGGTCAGTGTAAAATCAGCGAATTGATTATGCACCGACATTTATCAAATGATCAGCAGTGTTATTATGTTCACACTAAGTAATAAGAGTAGGAAAAAGATAAAAAGAAGATGGCAAAATAAAGACAAATCCAAACAAATTAAATAAGGAAACAGGAAAATAAAACTTTAAACTACATTTACCATGGAATGTGCAAATGTTACATTTTTAAAAAAGTGATGTAACTGAGAGAATAAAATAGTTAAAAAAGACATTTTTTTCCCACTCATTATTGATCAATGTATAAATAACATCTAAATTGCGGTAATTGACTTTTATTTCTGTTCTTTTGAGCCCGTGACCTAGATTGTTAATTTCATTCATGCCTTTTTAAGCTCTCTGTACTTCTACAGGAACATGATGTACACTTTACCGTTCGGAGTCGAGATAAGACTTACAGAAATCTTTGGAGGCACTCCGGGTTCCAGACTTGCTCTGGCGCAGGGAGAAGCGGCCCTTTCTGCTCAGGAAACGCCTCATCCTTGCCCGGCTTGCGGCAGGGCACGTTCCAGCCAGTCTCCTCTCTCCCCCTTCCTGGGGGTGGATGCAGCCAAAGAGTGTCCTCTGACACCCTCAAGCTGCTCCTCACCTGAGCCCTTCGTCTCCCTAAGCCTCTACCCACCTAGGTGAACATTTGAAGGCTATGTAGGCCACGGTCTCCTCGCTGGTTCTCAATTAACCAACCAGTGGTTCCTACGTGAAGACATACAAAGGTAAGAAGAGAGCACGGAGCATCTGAAAATCAGGCTCTCCATGCTGAATGAGCTTTGTCCAGCCTGAGTCCAGACCCTATGGCTGAGCGGTGATCAGAAAAACTGGGACAAGCTCACTTGGTCCTGAAGTGGTTCTTTGCAAGAAAAGGTACTGCAAAGCCCCATTTTTCTATAAATACGTACCTCTCTCTCTCTCTTTTCCTCTCTCACACCCTCACTCCCTCTCCGTCTCCCTCTCTTGCTCATGTGGATGGGGCCCTCTCACAGGGCCGGGGAGTGACCCAGAAACTGTGTGTTGTAACAGCGAGGGACACTTCTCTGATGATAGCATCTATATTAACCTCAGCAGCTCAAGGTTACTTTCAGAGAAGATCTGGAGGCACATGTGGGAGAGGAGGCAATCAAATATACTAAGACAAATGTACGAACTAGCTTGTGGTTCCTACACTTCCGTTAATAGGACAGTGATAGTAAAAGATTTTTAAAGTTTTAATAATAAACAAAATCCCTGCATGTTATGTTTAAGGACAATCAACAGTATACTTCACCTGTCAGTAATCAGCTTTGAAAAACTGTGGTTTGCCACAAACGTAGAGCTCCTAGGTATCTGTTTGTGAAGATCACAGCATAAACATTATATATTCAAAAACATTTTCAAAAACCATTTTTAAATGAAAAGCTTTTTAGTATAGTTTTTACTTCGCGTGATGTTTAAAAAAACGTCAAAAAGATAGCAACATATTGTTCTTGTGCAATAAAGTACATTTGTCACTGCGCCAATATGGAGGAAACACATATTTAAAATTTGTATTTGTATCGATACTCATTTTATAATTAAAAGATCTATTATATTATTGAACCAGTGCGGGCTTAATGAAGTTCACTCCAATTTAGCTACTTTAGCTTACCTTAGCCACGAGCTAAAGTAGCTACCTTAAACACGTTAGTGCTAAACTAAAAAAAACGTAATTATCCGAACAACAAAAACATTTTGAGCTTCGAAAATAATACGCTAGGTTGAAATATTCTTAAAAAAATACCGAACTTTAATTGTCCGCCTGCAGTGAACCAAAAACGCCGCAGCTTCTGAGTGCTGTCTTCGTTTAACGTGCACTGAAGCGGTCACTGACAAGCTGAATAAAAATACACTGTTGCACTGATTAATGTAAAAAATATATTTTCCAAATAATAAATCCCATATTTGTCCTACTTTGTTTTATTAGTGTTTGCTCCTGAGTTTAAGTGCACACCGTCTGCACTTCAGGGCTGACGTTACCTTCCTCTTCACAGGATTGTCAACTGTTTGTGAGGCACGATTTTTGTTTTCAATATTGGTCCTGCTCACATACGAATGTGGATCCGAAAATAGAAGTAGCATTTCATGGAGTTGAAAAATGTGTATGGATAATTTAAACAGAGCCGTAATCTTCACATTTAGACTAAAAAACACTACATAAATCAAATTTGGTATTCAATATTTATTTTTCAAAGCCACTGGGAGCTGCATGAAAAAGCCAGATGCAGAAACGGAGCCCCGGGTTGCCCACCATCCCCCCAAAAAACACAAACTAAGCTGCAGACAGTGTTTTAGTAAAATAGCATTTATTTGATGCAAACTCTGCTAAATTCACTTGACCACACATTATCTGCCATGCCATTAGGATGCACAGTGATGGACAAGCGTAAAACATCACATTCAAGACGTTTCATGACACAGCAGAATGATGCAAAGTATTTAAAAGACATTTTAATAATATCTAACATAACAAAAAAAAAATCTTCCAGGGAGTGAAGACTATTAGTTTCATAGTTAGCTAGCTTAACGGACACAGTGCTTCTTTTTCAGTAAACCATCAAAAACAAACATATAAATCTTTACACCTCATCAACACTTTGGTCATTGTCTTTTAACTATTCAAAGTCCATGAACGTCTGCTACAGAGGCCCAGATCGTAACACTTCAGAACCCATGTCCTCTTTGTCATACGATGACAGTCTGAATCTCCACCTCCTCTGGGGAGGTGATGACAAACTCCTCCTGCTGCTCCACCAACTGGATTTCCTCCTCCACCGTTCCCTCTGTAGTGACCATGGTAACAGTTCCATCCACTGTCTCCACGCTGCCCGACGTAGCCAGCAGCGTGCCATCACTGATGGCAGAGGCCAGGGTCATGGCCACCTGCTCCGTCAGACTCTCGGGAGTAGCAATGGTGATGGTATCGCCGCAGTCGGAAATGGACGGACCCTCCTCGTTCTCCTCCACATTTCGTACGATAATCTGAGGGCTGCCCGTGGAGCCTGCGCCCCGTGACTGGTTGACAATCTGCTGGACAACTTTCATGATGTGGTTTTCCATCTGCTGGGTGGAGGGTTTGATTACAAACACAAAACACAGTTACGACACAAAATTGTTCTTAAAATATTCTAATCAAAAGTCTAACAGTCTCTTCACAGACTTCAACCTGTTTTTCAAACTCATCTTTGTGAGGTTCTTTGTGTGTGTGTGTGTGTGTGTGTGTGTGCTGACCTCATTTTGGCCATCTTGAATGAGTGTGACCTCCTCTCCCTGTATTTCCTCCTCTGTCTGAGTCTAAACACATTGGGAAAAGAAAATCAAAGACTGTTGATTACAGAACTAAACACATTTCATGAGGCATTCAAGAAAAACAAAAAACACACTTCTCCTTATATTTAAAAACCAAACACAGCCCCTGCAGTAGCTCTTACCTTGATGATATACTCCTGTGTGTCTGCCACTACAGAGGAGAACTCCACCAGAACAGCATGAGGGTCTTCTGAGATAATGGCTGCTGTTGTCAGGCCGTCCACTGAAGTCTGCTCCTCTGACACTGTGACCTGTTGCTCACCAACGTCATCCTTCTGACAACCTCCTGGTGCAATTAAAACCAGGGTTTGGTTAAAGGACACAAAGTTTAAGACTATTACTTTATTCTACTCACCACACTGACCTTTAGCACGCAGGTGGCGATTGAGGGTCCCGTGCTCAGCAAAGCCCCGTCCACACTTTGGGCATTTAAAAGGCTTCTCTCCAGTGTGATGGCGAATATGTCGCACCAAAGAACCTTTCTCCCTGAATCCTCTCAAGCAGAATTGACACACATAGGGTTTTTCCTCACCATGAGTTCGCTGATGCACTTGCAGTGCATTCTGGGTGAGGAAAGGTCAGGGTTAGATTTCAGCATTGCACATTATGTGTTGGACATGTACAAAATTTTGAGACCAACTCACCTTAGTCTTGTATCCTTTGTTACATTTGGCACAATTGTATGGTCTTTCATCGGAGTGCGCCCTCATGTGCTCACGTACATGTCCAACTGTTTTGTACAGTTTTCCACATTCTCCACACTTGTACCTCCTCTCACTGACATGAACTTCCATGTGTTTCTTCAGCAGGTAACCAGTGAGAAACTCCTTTTGGCAGAAGCACTTAAAAGGCTTATAACCTAAAAAACATTTATAGATATATATTTATTTCCAGATAATCAAAGCGGTGGTGTCTCATTTATAAGTTTTACTTGCATTTTACCTAAATGGCCTTTGACGTGAAATCTGAAGTAATTTACCCCTTTAAAGGAGCGATTACAGTGTGGACATGTGTACAATTTTGTTGTTTGACCATCTTTAGCAAGTGTTTCCTGTAAAATAAAATAATACATAAAAATAATTTTACTAAAATGGCATTGAAATTATAAAAAAAAACACATCAGCTGATTGTTCCTACCGTCGTGGACATCTGAACCAACTCTTCAGCTTTCATCTGGATCTCAGTCATCCCCTCATCAACATTAGGACACTCAGAAACCACTTTTGTTGTTTCCTCTGTTTCCTGTGACATCTCCGCCACCACAGTTTCCTCTGTCTCTAGTGCAATGCCCGAGTTAATGATGGCCTGGCAGATGAGGTTGTCACCAGCGGCTGCCGCTGCAGCTAGAGCTTCAGCCTGAGACTGGTCTACTACCACCTGATTGGAAGAAAAAAATTCTAGAATGTAGTAATGAGCCTATATCATATTTTCTACCTGTCCACAATTTCTCCACTCACCTGTTGCTCCTGCGTTGTTCCATCCACCTCCATTGTGAAGTGGACCTGATGCAGGACCTCCTGAGTACCAGCCTCCACCACACTGACTACAGCTGTCTGAGCCTCCACCATCTCCTGAGCCTCCACCATCTCCTGAGCCTCCACCATCTCCTGACTCTCCACTATTTCCTGAGCATCCACCATCTCTTGAGCCTCCACCATCTCTTGAGCCTCCACCATCTCTTGAGCCTCCACCATCTCTTGAGCCTCCACCATTTCCTGACTCTCCATAATCTCCTGCTCTTCAGGCTGCTGCCTTTCCACAAGCACCATCTGTTCCTGGCTGTGCACTGCAGCTTGTTCACCATCAACACCTGCACAACACAATTAAAAGTCCAAGTCAACAGACAGTCGGTTAGATTACAGCTTTTTTGTTTACAAGATGAAATATTTTATTTTAAATAAAATCTTACCTTTCTGTACACCATCCTTGCTGACCAAAATTTCTTTGTACTGTACAAATCGAATCTTTTCTGTACACGGTGTAATAGCCTTAAGGTGTCGGGTGAGGGCGCCGGATTCTCTGAAAGACTGGCCACAGAGGGTACAGCGATATGGCCGTTCATCTGTAGTAGAGGTAAAAATAAGTTACAGTAGTGCCATCATCGTGTCGAACTGAGATGACTTTATTGCTACATTTCTGCTATGTACCAGTGTGTCGACGATTGTGGCGAATCAGAGAGCCTTTAGTGCGAAATGACGTCCCACAGAGGTCACATGAGAAGTTCTTCAGGTCACTGTGGGTTTTCAAGTGAGTTTTTAAAATGTTGTTCTGTTGAAAAAAACAAAAACAAAACAGTGTTAAAATAAGAGTGTTTTTACCTGAACTTGCAACAACTGGTAGAAACAAATAAAACTGAAATTTACATAAAACACAACAGCTAGTCAATTCATTATCAAAGAAGCTCAGGGAGGAGTGTGCATGATACCATATACTATAACATATTTTCGATATATGCAAACCATTGAAAGAAGACACTTACAGTTTTAAAAGTCTTTTCACAAAGTTGGCAAACGTAACGTCCGTCAGGGTTAATTTTGTAAACAAGTTTCTCACTGTCAGATGTGGATCCTTCTGTACCATCTGACTGATCAGTAACTTTGGGAGAAGCGACTTTCTTCCTGCGACCTCGACCCATGACACTCCTAGTTTCATCTGTGTTTAAAAAAGACCTTTTAAAATCACATCACAGATTAAAATAATTATATATTGAGTGTCAAGTGTCAGTCTCAGTGTCCATCCCGTCACAATTAAAATCTCGGAATTCACAATGTTACCAGTGTAAATATTACATTGGCAGATGTAGAGCTTACCTAAAGTGTTCTTCGGTTGTTCATCCTCAACTGTTTTCACCTCAGAGGCGACTGCTCCATTAGTTTCAACCACCTACAAAAATTGCAAAGACCAACATAAGCAATTTTCTCTCCAATGTAGAAATCATTCATATTTATTCCAATGGAGCATCACCGACCTCCTGGTGGTCTCCTCGTGTGCTCGTCTCCCGCCTGCAGCTTTGGTGCTGTTTGTGCTGAATAAAGGCCTCCAGAGAGGAGAACTCTGACTGACAGCGGCCACATTTATGTACATCTTCATCTACCGACACACAGACAAACCGACTGTGGGTAAGACAGATTCACAGAGTCTGTGTTGCTGTGAATTCAATGCTCAGAAAAAAGCAAATGCTGCTAAAGAAAGCTAGCTGTTAGCAACACTTCACGGTGAAAAAAGACGTAGTTAGCCTAAGCTATAGGGTGTAACCTGTAAAAACGTGTGAGATTTGGTATAGACGACTAACCTTCGTCTCCCAGTGTGGTGTGGATTGTGATTGTCTCGCTGCCGTTATTCGTTTGCTCCCCCTCTGTCTCTGCCGTATGATTATTTTCTACATTCATGTCGTTCCACTTCTCCGTCTCTGTCGCAACGCGGATAGAAAACATGGCGGATTTACGGCCCCTGTAGTCATAACAACAAAATGAACGAGCGTGTCACTGGCACATACAACAATAAATGCACCTTAATTATATTATATTTTTTATTTATTTAGTTTAAATAAAGTATAAATAAAAGCTTCTTCCATTTAATTTACACGTTTACTTTATTTTGTGTCTTTTATTCTATATTTGTAGATTCATTTGCTTTTGAGTTTGAAAACTATTAGTTTTACTTTTAAATTTGATTTTACAAGAATAAATAATAAAAATAATTAATAAAAATTATTTTATATGTCACTTTATTAAAGTTGCACACTGTGTTCTGAAAATAATTACAGGTAAAAATGCTAAATTAAATAAAATAATCTGCACAATTATGTCAAAGGCCACATAATAATATCTACTTATATCTGACGTAATTTACCCCATTGTAAAATGTTATAAACTAATTTAAAACACCTCACACACACACATACGTGACAGACAGACGTTTGACGTTTTACCCAGATAGCTATTCACGACAGAAAAGTAAACAATGAACACTTTACGGCAGTAAACATGGCGTCGCACTTCAGCGGTGTGTTACAGTTGACAGATCTGGATGACTATATCACTCCGTCTCAGGTAGTAGAATATCTATAATACTGTCTTTAGCTACATTCACAAATTTGTATTGAGATTAAAGTGTCAGGTAAACGGAAGTCACGTCTCCGTCAGCTTCCAGTCCTTTCCTTCGACACCGTTATGAAAAAACAGAAAAATACGACAGTTAAAAAGCAATCTAGCACAGAGAGGTTCATTTCAATGCGTTTTATATGCTAACAAAGCCTCATGAGCAGAGACAACACACCATCTTCTCTCGTGATGATATACGCCTAAAGTTTAGCATGCTGCTAACGTTAGCTTTGCAATGACATGTAACCTTTGCTTTATTAAATGTGAATTTAACCTCGATATACGCTCAATTTATTTGCATTTTTGTAAATAACTGGAAAATATTTATGCAGTGTATTTGATGTTTTATTTGTTCACATCATTGATTCTCAGGAATGTGTCAAACCAGTCAAAGTCGAGAAGAAACAAGGCAAATCCGTGGCCAAAATTCAAATAGAAGATGATGGAAGTTACACCCAAATCAATCAGGTGCATTATTCAGCCAATAAAATTTTTTGTGGATAAGTCGTCTTTTTTTTTTCTAAATTTGATTTTATTCTGTATTTATTCTCAGGTTGGTAGTAAGACAAAGCTGGAAAAAGCAAAGATCACTCTGAATGATTGTTTGGCCTGCAGTGGCTGCATTACGTCAGCAGAAAGTGTCCTCATCACACAACAGAGTCATGAAGAGCTTTTTAAAGTGCTACAGAACAACAAGGTACAGGTAGTTACAAGTGTATATAGTTATGAATCCACCTCTTCTTTCAGCCTTTGTAACAGGAGTGTAAACATTTGTGTGTCAGACTGACTTAAGCAAACAGAAGGTGGTGGTAGTGTCAGTGTCACCTCAGTCCAGAGCCTCCCTCGCAGCCCACTATAACCTCAGCAGTAGTGAAGCAGGCAGAAGACTAACTACTTTTCTGAAACACATCGGTGAGTTCAGATTCCTTTAGAAAAGTAGTTAAAGAAAGAAATTAAAAATTTCACTTTCACAAATTTTCAAAATCACTCTTCAGGTGTTCATCATGTGTTTGACACGAGCTTCAGTCGGACCTTCAGCCTCCTGGAGAGTCAGAGAGAGTTTGTGGAGAGGTTCCAGAAAAAGGACCAGGACAGAAAAGTTCTTCCAATGCTGACATCTGCCTGTCCAGGTATTTCCTCCAATACCTGTCATGTACTATTTAAAAGTACTATTAGTTATTTTTTTTCTATTCCATCGTGAAATAAGTGTTGTCACTGACTGTAGTACAACACTGCTATACTTGGTGACAACACCATCATGTAAATGTACTTCTTTTAACATGTGTATGATTTGCACAGGTTGGATTTGCTATGCTGAGAAGACACACGGGGAGTTCATTCTCCCATACGTTAGCACAACACGCTCCCCTCAGCAAATGATGGGTTCACTGGTCAAATGCTATTTTGCTGAACAACAGGTAGGGGTTTGTTAAAGAAAATACTATTTTTTATTATCCACTTAAAACATGCCATAAATGTATGTTCTGTAGACTCATGTACTGTATGTACTGTGTTGTTCTCAGGGCTTGAGTCCAGAGCAGATCTACCACGTGACAGTAATGCCCTGCTTCGACAAGAAACTTGAAGCTTCAAGGTCAGACTTCTATTTGAATGAAGCAGAGACCAGAGAAGTGGACCTGGTCATCACCTCAGGTACTTTTGTACTTTGTTATATTTTTGGTGTATATTTAAGGGATATTTTAATCCTAATTTTCACTGTTTCATGAAGGGGAGGTTCTGAAAATGTTGGAGGAAGAAAACACGTCCCTTCAAGATTTGGAGCCTGCCAGTCTGGACACAATGTAAGTTTGTTGCTTCTTTTATGTTACACCATAGAAGAGCATTATTTTGAGAATGAGGATTAGATATGATTTTATACTTTACAGGTTCAGTCATGTTAGTGGGGATGAGTTTTGGAGCCATTCTGGAGGTGGATCGGGGGGTTACCTCCATCATGTCTTCACTTATGCCGCCAAGCATCTGTTTGGAGAGGAGGTGAAAGAACTTACCTACAAGACTCTCAGGTGAGTTTCCCTCAGTAGGATTTAGAATGAATGACAGTTGTCTATCCTGGATCAGAATATGGTAAAAAAAACATTTTATAAAATAAATAATTGTTTCAGTTTGCATACCTTCTGGTTTTTATGTTATTTAAAAAAAAAATCCATCTCCCTGCTCCAGAAATAAAGACTTTCAAGAGGTGACCCTTGAGAAGGATGGAGTTGTTCTGCTAAGCTTCGCATCTGCATATGGGTTCCGTAACATCCAGAACCTGGTTCAAAAGCTAAAACGGGGAAAATCTCCGTACCACTTTGTTGAAGTGATGGCTTGTCCTTCAGGTAAGGAGCACATCTATCTGTAATGAAAAAAACTTAAACTGACAATGCCTTTTGGTACAAACACAATTCTTTCTTTACTTTACGCTGATATTCAGGATGTCTAAACGGTGGGGGGCAGATAAAGGCCTTACCTGACCACAACCAAAAGGATCTCCTCCAGAAAGTTGAGGAACTCTACAAGGCAGAGTGCCCCCTGACTCCAGAAGAGGACACACGTGTGGCTGAAATCTATCAGTCCTGGCTCCACAGTGTTGGAGAGGAGCGAGCCAAAGAACTGCTGCACACACGGTACCACGCAGTAGAGAAGCAGACGAACGGACTCATCTTGAAGTGGTGACGAATGACTGCAGAACTGTGGAGGAACAGAGCTGTTTGAAGCACCATAAAAGGCTGAGATTTTTAGTGATGGGACAAATTGTCTGAACCAAATTATGTGTATTAACTGAGAAAGTAATTTTCTTCAACATACCATTTTTTTAAGATTAAAAAAATCCATGTGTTGCAGCTGTTACAGTAACAAATGTGAAATGAGTTCATACAGAATATATAATTGTTAATTTGTATTATTAAACCAGATACGTATAAATGTGTATATTAAAGGCTGATTTTACAGTATGTTATCAGGCAGATTTACTTTTGTAATATTTGATTGTGAATTATCTGTATTACAGACACTGACAGAATAATCCAACTGATTTATTGAATAAATACTGAAATAAACGGTGTGAGTTTTCTGTGATAAAGCAGCAATTCATAGTTGTCATGCACCCTGCCGCCCTGCCAACATTCTGTACTCCATTATCAATAAAGCAGCAATTCATAGTTGTCATGCGCCCTGTTGCGCGTACATGTTTTCATGAGTGTGCCTGGATGTAATTTGCAGTACATTCATAATATTGGAATTTTAGGTTTGAGTAAATACACAGTAAAAAGCTGAATGAATCTCAAGAATGTTAAATCTTAAGATTCAATTACAATTTAACATAAAGCAATATTTAAATAAAAAACCTTAAAGAGCCTTAAACGTAGGACCACAAACGTGACTCGAAAGTTGTGAGGAATTGTTTGCAAAGCCTCTAGTCTAAATGGTGTGATTATTATTTTTAAGTAAAAATATTTAAAGAACTTACAAATAAGGTAACACCACTTAGAACCGCAGCTATAGTCAAGTCATTTTTAAAAAAGTGGATAATAAATGGATGCATGTGTTTGTGTGCCTGAGCTCCATCTAGTGGTGATTTTGTGCATCAAAATCTTTTTAACAGAAGGCTTTCCACCCTCAGCAGCGGGAGAAAGCTATAACTCAGCAGCTGCTTGTATTCTAAATAGATACACAGTCAGATACGTCACCAGCTTTAGCCAATAACCATCCAAGGAGGCTAAAATGTACTTCGAGTGCAAATATGATTTTGGCACTGGTTCAAGGTGTTGTTTACGGTTATGTTGGCGACCTCTTGTGGAGGTGAAACGACTCCTTGTCTCGGAGGGCTGCACACACGGAGCTTCTTGTTGTGTTTAACTTCTAAAAGGCCAGAGGCAGAAGCAGATAAAAGGGCCGTGGTTTGTGATGGATATGTCTTTGAGTTAATTGCACTCACATGGAGAAATGCTCCAGATGTTGACTCATGCAGCTCCAAGGAAAATCCCCCTGCTGCTCAAATCACTCCAAACTTAAAAACGGGCCTTAAACTGATTAAATATCATCAGCGGATGTCAACCTAGATTAGGAAATACAGTCATATTTGCAAAACGCTTGCAGTTGTTATGACTGCATGTGAAAAGGGGGGAGAGTTTTAAAAACAAGACCTTACCTCCGCCTCTGCCTGAACAATGAGGCAGTTGGACAACGCGTGGCCGTGACGTCCCGTTGGTGAAAGCTTTGTCAGTGTATAGCATTAAAACGGAAATGAGAGGAGAGGGTCTTCTCTCATTTCCGGGTGGATGGGTGGATAAAGACACCAGTCAATAGAAAAGATTTATAAGAAAGGCTGGGAGATGAAAAGTGGAACACATATGGTTTGGTTCGCAGATGAAAAAAAAAAACAAAAAATAAAAATAAAAAAAAACCCCGTACATTTAATGACCTTCTGCGCTCCACAGAATCCGTCCTATCTATAGAAACCGCTGCAGCCTAGACAACGCAGGTGAAGCCCACATGTGCGTGCTGATTGGATGTAATTATTTACTAATGCTGTATTCTACGGCTTAAATCATTATTTACCTGACATTGTGTGACATTGCCGTATCGTTTTGCACAAGTACAAAAAAAGGATTTCTTTACACTCTTATGTATTTACATATTTATTTATTTATTTATCGGGATCTCTGACCTTGGGTCTAGTTCAGTTCAGATCAGTTCGGTTCAGTTCGGTTTGAGTTTAATTTATTCAGGCGCTTGTATTTTGTATAGTTTGTATATTGGGGTTTGAAGTTTTATTTATTTATTTTTATTTTTTGGCCTTGTTGGAGCAGGTGTCACAGGACAGGTTGGCCTGGAACGGTGTGGAATTTTGGGGTTTTCTTCTTTATCGCGGTCAACATGATGTTGATGTTTCCGGAAAATTAAATAGGAAATAAATTGAAATAGAAAGAGAAAACGTCTACATGCATGTTTGCTCTGGCTCCTGTTGTCTGTCGTGTTTTATTCACCCTTGAAAACGCTGACCCATTATGAATAACTGTCAACATGATTGTAGTGTTGTAAAATTATGACGACAGGGATTACAGTACTTCTTCTTCTCTTCCTTTCGGCTTTGTCCCTTTTTTCAGGGATTGCTACAAAATAAATAAATAAAAGGAGTTTACAACAATACAGTACTATAATGTCTGTATTGACTCCTGGGTCTTTCATATATACAAATTTAACTTATATGATTATTTTCATAATCGCACGTTTAATGTGTCTCCACACAGGCCTTCTGGGTAAATGTGTGTCATATTACTTTTAAAAAATAAATAACAAAAGCTCTACATTAAAACGTTTGAAATTGTACTTCACACAGTTTCTCAGCGCCAGTTCTCAGGTCTGTAATTTCAGTCCGCTATAATTTAACTGTAATTACTAACAATGTCTGAGATAAACAGGTTTTAACCATAAAGGATGACGATGAATGAATGAAGAAGAACGGGTTCAGCCAGTTTTACTAACATTATACAAATTATTACATAAAAAGTGTCGCTCATGAGACTAAAGGTCAATGACGGTGGCTTTATTTAAATAAAACAACTCATTTACATATATATATATAAATAAATGTATCTTTCCTCGTTCGGGCCTTCACTGTTTGACGAAGTCATTCCCAGATGTCAGTTTTGTTGTATATACAGTGTACACATACAGGCCTGTATATTTGAGTTCAGTCCAAAAATAAATAAATAAATAGATAATGTTTAATACTTGACTTGAATATTTTTTCTTTTTTGCTAATTTTTCGTCTTGACCTTTCACCAGGCCCATTCATCAAATAAAAAACGGCACAATTTACTCTCCAAACATATTGTTTTAATTGTGACTCAAAAACGTATATATAACGCATACAAAATTTATTTCAATGCTGTGGAACTCGTGGAGGAATTTATATTCCCTAGAAAATACATTTTTATCTACATTAAGTCTACAGTTTTTAATCGTCTTTATTTGTTGGTGGTGAAAACATGTTCGTACAGAAACTTTTTTTTTATTAGACATGGACTGGAAACGTAAAACATCCCCCCAAAACAACTGTTCCTAATTGTGTAACACTGTTTGAACAAAGCTGCTACACCGTTTCAAATGTCAACAACATGACAGCATCCGGGTCATTTGTTATTTTTATTTTTTTTTTCAATTTATTTTTTCTCCAACAACGTATTAAATATGCGCATACTCACAGGTTGTAGAGTAACATATAAAAATATAGTAATACAGTAGGTACAGTATGTTAGATGACAATGACGTCACGGGTGTCTCTCATCTTTTCTCTCTGAAAAAGCCCTGGTCTGTGCTGCTCTCTCTGATGGTCACCGTCAACAGGTTCATGGTCACGTCTGTCACCGTCACCCGGTCCAGGTTGGACAGACTGGGTCTCCACGAGGACGCCGCTCGCGCAGGGAAATCACACGTGGACTGTGACTGTGGAGCACGGCAGGACATCTTCACCTGGTGCTTCATCTTCTCGGGCTGGGAGACACACGTCCTGCGCAGACTCTCGGGCCTGCTGTGTCCCCTCGGCTCGCTTGTGCGCATGTCTGGGCTGAAGGCGCAGGTGTAGGCCAGAGCTGCGTCACCGGGGAGTCTGTGTTCACCGCCGGGTTTGGGTGTGATCGTGGTCTCCACCTGGAACCTCTTGGTGAGCTGGATGAGGCTGCGGTCAGACGCCTCCTTCACTGTGTGCTGATGGTGCTGATGGTGCTGATGGTGGTGGTGGTGCAGACGTCGGCTGCTGTTGGACAGATCGCCCTCCTGCACGGACCTCGCCCTCTTCGTGTCCGGCTCCGCTGAGCTGCTCTCATCATCTTCATCGTAGTGCAACTGCAGCTTCGGTTTGCGCCCTCGCTTTTTAGGGAAACGACCCAGTTCTTGGAGCGTGGAAGCGGCCGTGGGTGGTGTCGCTCTCGGCCTCCTCTCTGGTTCTGGTGGTTGGAGGTGGACGCTTTCTCCTCTATTGATGGCGCTCGGAGGGAAGATTGTGGGAACCACGGCGCGTAAACCCTCCCGGGCTCTGGGGGTTTTAACTGGCTCCGGGACCGGATAGGAAACCTGGATCCCTCTGGGAGCCTCTCTTCGGAATTCATACGATTTTTCTTTGGCTTTGGCCTGAGGAAAAAGTAAATAAAGTGAATGAATAAAATGAGTTCTCCTGAGGGAAAACTTGAAGGTCTGACTCCGGACCAGAAGATATTTTTAAAGTTAAGTTTTGAAAATGAATGAAGGGCAACAAAATTTAAATATGTTACAAAAACCGCCGGATAATTACGGCTTATAATTGAACCTGATTTATGTAAATTAGAGCACAGTCAACTTCTTCTTTTTTGTCTTAGGAAATGAGACAGATGTCATTAGACCGTCCACCCACCTTCAACAGGAAGGTCTCCGGTTTGGGTCCCCGCTTCTTCGGACCGAACTGCTCTCTTTCACGTTCCCTAACAAACAAAAAACGAACAGCAAAATACAAACAAACAAAATCAACATAAATGATTACCTTCAAAACTTTATTTAATTTTTTCCGTTATTTTCACGCTCAAAAAAGAGTCGGTCACGTGTTCTCAAATTTTACAAGACATTTACAACCTATAAGGACAAAAATAGTCCAAATAAATTCATTTACTTTGACAACCTGTTCGAGTCCGGGGCAGACCACCAGCCCCGCGAACACAACTTCACACTTCAGCTGTGAAAAGGCTCAAACCTTTTACTTTCACGCGTTGTTTGCGTGTCCTTTAAGGATATGTGTTTTTGCAGCGCACGGTGCTATTCCGTTTTGGCACAAAAGCAGTGGTGGAGGGGAGCAGAGAGAGAGAGAGAGAGGGAGAGACTGAGGGAGAGAGAGAGACTGGGGAGAGACTGGGGGAGAGAGGCCTACTGCTGCTGCGCTGTCAAACCCTCACCTCTCCTCGAAAGCTGCGAACAACCGTGCGTCCAGAATGTTTTCCTCCGGCTCCCAAGTGCTGTACCTGCGTCACACACAACACAAATGACAAGAGTTGGACCCCACACTCTGGTCGTCCTGACCCGCTAACACGAACGTTGGCCCCACTTTGATCTAAGCATTTCTGCTGCGCACATACGCAGCATGCATTCTCCGGGCTACGTAGCGGACGGTGACGCACCGTGAACCCGGCCATTGCTAACGCTACAGCTGGGGAATTTGAACACAAACATCCCGTCTCTTTAGCGCCACACTGCAGCGGTGATAAACCGTGCCGTCAGAGCCGGGCTGCGCCGCGCTGCATTTCAGGCTCAACATGGAACGAATAATAATAAAAATAATAAAAAAGCCCTCCATGAGCTGAGTAACGATCAGTGTCTGAGGTGCAGTTGTGCAAACGGCCAGGATGGAGCGCTGTCCTCTCCAGACTCGTCCACAATACTCACTTCTTCGACCAGCCCTTCCATTTCACCAGATATTCCCAGCGACCCTGCAAAAACAGATCGAATCAACACAGTTCGATTATCAACACAACGCTTGATGGCGCCGCGCAGATATATAGTTGCGTAATATGTGAGGAGAGACAGCCTGTGTGAGTGTGTGTGAGGGGGGGCAGCAGCGAATACCCGTCTGATCCTCCGTTTAATGATGGACTCTGCTGCAAAGACGCTCTCACCCACAGCGGAGAGCTCCATTCCTCACCATGCACCTCCGCTGTCCCTGTCTCTTTAATTATTTTATTATTTTTGCTCTCCCCTCGTGTCCTCCTCGGGTTGTTTAATTCCGCACATCCCATAATACGCAATCTGAAGAGGACGTCATGACGTCTTTCTCTGTTGCCAGGCACCGCGGTCGGTAGGACGGACCGCGGTGCAGCGCATTGGCTCGGTTGTTGCTACGTGCTCGGCTTTTCCGAGCGCGGGGGAGGAGTCCCGCTGCTCCGGCTGCTGCACTGGAATCTCTGGCACAGCAACCGAGCGAGCACAGTCACGGGCTCCCGGAGCGGATCCACGGAGCCCGGAGGTCCACGAGGGGGTGACGGGCCACCGAGGTCGGGCTGGAGGAAATAATAGAACCATGACTTGGAGGAGCAGTCCAGTCAGCAGGACAGGGCTGTGGATATTAGTCCTATCTGTGCACACTAACAAATAATCACTGAATCCGAATTTGTTTAAGAAATAAAATAAAATAAATAACAAATATACATAAAACGTTTAAAATCACTGATGCTGGCTCCTGTTGGGAATAACAAATATACATAAAACGTTTAAATTACACGTTCATTGATGCTGGCTCCTCCACTCAGCTCCACTCAGACCGGCCTGCAGGTCCATAACGTGAACATGGGTTAAAATGTCACTTCACTGTAATCTGTGACAATTGTTCAGATTAAAAACAGTGTAATCTCATGTCGAGCGGTCCAAAAGTCACCACAGCCTTAAAATCGAGTCTTCCTGTTACTACCGTCCTTAGAGTCAGTCCAGATTCTCCAACGTATAAGATATATATTTTTTGTTTTATACAGAACAACATTTAAGAAATTAATTATTTTTAAATCATAATTTTATTAATATTTAAATAGGTGGAGCCCGATCCTCCGCCCATCACAGGGCCACACATGGAGACAGCCAACTATTTGTTATGGTTATGGTAGGAGTCAACCTAAAAATAATAATAATAAAAAAAAGACTTGTTTTATTTTTAGTTCCTGTTGCGTCTATTTTTTCTGGCGCATGCGTGTTGTCCTGGGTGGGGGCCGCAAATTGCAAATTGTTTTTTTTTTTTTCAAAAAGACAAACTTTCTCTGACAACAGGAACACGCGCACGAGCACGCGACGTTTAACATGTGTGGTTTTATTTTTTCCTCTCATTGTTTTGCAACGCAAAATTTAGTTGTTATCACGCACTTTGAATCCTGGGAAGAAAAGAGATGACAATAGACGAGGTGTTCAGTTCACCGGAACATTCATTTACATTTTTTTTAAACTTTTGCCCCGACGTTTTAAAGGTGTATAAAACAGAGAACAAAACTCTACATTAGCACTGTGGGTTTTGGGCGTTAGTTAAAAAGCAACACTTTTTTTTAAAAATCTGTCGGGTTTTTTCTATCAGCGATATAACGTAATATAATATTTTTATCGCGGTACTTATTTTATATCAAATACTATTTTTCCATAGATGAAAATCGAGACACAATAATAATAATAGTCACAACAATTATGATAAAAATAACTACATTTATTTAAAAATATAATAAATGTGTTCACGCTGTGAAACCTTCTATTTCCGGTCGTTTCCTACATTCACCAGATTCACATACGAGCTGATGAAACTCACTCAAATATCAACATCAACAGTGAATTCTCCGCCGCAGATTCGGTAAAGAAACATGACTGACTCTAACGTCTGGACCTTGAAGTCACTCAGGCCTCTGTTTACCCGCAGAGCAGGGTCACGATGGAACCATCTGGAAAGTTAGGATATTCTGATGAAATCCTCTGAACAAAATGAAAACAAAAAACAATTTGGAATTTAGATAATTGTAATTTTCAGAATTTCTTGCTTTTGTTCCATTTTTATATCTACAAAAACAGCAGAGCAGACATCAAACTGAATAACTATTGTTATCTAAAATAAAAACATTAAAAATATTTTTTATACAAAACCGGGATCATAAAAACAGGGAAGGAAGCGTTTGTCATTCAGGTTATTTTTTATTTTTATTTAAATATTAATTGAATCCATGATGGTATTTTAGATTTATTTATTCATTAAATGTTAATACACGTCATGTTAACATTTAAATTGTTACTTGTATATTTTCTTTATTATTATATTTTTTATTTATTTATTATTACATTTATCTATACCTTTACTATAACTGCTCAACCTTTATAGATAATTTGTTGGGATTTTTTTTAAACAAAAAACAAAACGAATACTATAGTGTTTATTCAGCCAGTATTTGTTTCATCTTTGCAAATTTAACCGATGAAGGAAGATCAAATTTGAAGAATAAGATTTTTTTTTCTATAGAGGCGCAGGTGAAACCGGGGCGGAAATAGAAACGTCAACACAGAAACGGCGGCAGTAGAAGAGAAGGAATATTCACAGGTCCATACGGACAAGTACCTCGTCGGACAGGGGGGAGACGGGGGAGGCAAAGAATGGAGGGAGGTTGAGTAGAGAGACGGGAGAAGACATGGACCTGGACACAGTCAAATAAACCCTTCAGATGCTACAGACATGGCGGCAGCTTTATCGACTGTGCCCAGTGTAGACTGATGATTGGTCACAATTATACACGGGCAAAAATTCAATATAAAACATCGGGTGCGGAAAATAAAAGTTTTTTGTTCGGTGATTAGTCGATTGTTAATTAAAACAAAATAGTGTAAAAGTCTGTGCAGATGGATGTTTTTAAAAGCGCACAGTGAAAAAGACTTTGTCAGCGTCGTTGTAAGAATTTATAGAGATTTCTATAGAATTCTATAGAATCTATAGAATTCTAGAGTGAACATCGTGAAACACTGGGCTTTAGGTGTGGG